GGCAGTTGTGAGGTGCCGTAGTTAAGACAGAAGATAGAAGACTGGTTGACGAAACCGTTGTAACAGATGACGAAACAATTGTTGTTGGAACGGATACACTAGTGGATGGAGAGCTGCTAGCTGGAATGGAAGAATAGACAGTTGTTGGGGGAGCCAAAGTGCTGCTGGGTGGTTGAGGACTCGATGCAGTTGATGGGATTCGTGCCGAAGTTGTAGGCGATAAAGTCAACACCGATGGCGACTTTGAAACATATGGGACTGATGTAGTAACTTGAACCGTTGTTGGACTACTGGGCTTCCGTGACGAAGTGGGTTTGCTAGTTGGTGCAGAAGTAACAATTGTTGTTGGAACGGATACACTAGTGGATGGAGCTGCTAGCTGGAATGGAAGAATAGACAGTTGTTGGGGGAGCCACAGTGCTGCTGGGTGGTTGAGGACTCGATGCAGTTGATGGGATTTGTGCCGAAGTTGTAGGCGACAAAGACGACACCGATGGCGACTTTGAAACATATGGCACTGATGTAGTAACTTGAACCGTTGTTGGACTACTGGGCTTCGGTGACGAAGTGGGTTTGCTAGTTGGTGCAGAAGTAATAATTGTTGTTGGAACGGATACACTAGTGGATGGAGAGCTGCTAGCTGGAATGGAAGAATAGACAGTTGTTGGGGGAGCCACAGTGCTGCTGGGTGGTTGAGGACTCGATGCAGTTGATGGGATTCGTGCCGAAGTTGTAGGCGATAAAGTCAACACCGATGGCGACTTTGAAACATATGGGACTGATGTAGTAACTTGAACCGTTGTTGACTACTGGGCTTCGGTGACGAAGTGGGTTTGCTAGTTGGTGCAGAAGTAACAATTGTTGTTGGAACGGATACACTAGTGGATGGAGAGCTGCTAGCTGGAATGGAAGAATAGACAGTTGTTGGGGGAGCCACAGTGCTGCTGGGTGGTTGAGGACTCGATGCAGTAGATGGTGTTTTTGGACAGAAGATGAAGGGGGTGGTGGTTTGGTAAATACGTATGATGATGATTTCAGCAAAGAGCTTTGGGGAATTGATGATGTAGGTGTTGATGACTTGATAATAACAAATCCAGTTGATGGCAGTTGTGGAGGTGCCGTAGTTAAGACAGAAGATAGAAGACTGGTTGACGAAACCGTTGTAACAGATGACGAAACAATTGTTGTTGGAACGGATACACTAGTGGATGGAGAGCTGCTAGCTGGAATGGAAGAATAGACAGTTGTTGGGGAGCCAAAGTGCTGCTGGGTGGTTGAGGACTCGATGCAGTTGATGGATTCGTGCCGAAGTTGTAGGCGATAAAGTCAACACCGATGGCGACTTTGAAACATATGGGACTGATGTAACTTGAACCGTTGTTGGACTACTGGGCTTCGGTGACGAACTGGGTTTGCTAGTTGGTGCAGAAGTAACAATTGTTGTTGGAACGGATACACTAGTGGATGGAGAGCTGCTAGCTGGAATGGAAGAATAGACAGTTGTTGGGGGAGCCACAGTGCTGCTGGGTTTGAGGACTCGATGCAGTAGATGGTGTTTTGGAACAGAAGATGAAGGGGGTGGTGGTTTGGTAAATACGTATGATGATGATTTCAGCAAAGAGCTTTGGGGAATTGATGATGTAGGTGTTGATGACTTGATAATAACAAATCCAGTTGATGGCAGTTGTGGAGGTGCCGTAGTTAAGACAGAAGATAGAAGACTGGTTGACGAAACCGTTGTAACAGATGACGAAACAATTGTTGTTGGAACGGATACACTAGTGGATGGAGAGCTGCTAGCTGGAATGGAAGAATAGACAGTTGTGGGGAGCCAAAGTGCTGCTGGGTGGTTGAGGACTCGATGCAGTTGATGGGATTCGTGCCGAAGTTGTAGGCGATAAAGTCAACACCGATGGCGACTTTGAAACATATGGGACTGATGTAGTAACTTGAACCGTTGTTGGACTACTGGGCTTCGGTGACGAACTGGGTTTGCTAGTTGGTGCAGAAGTAACAATTGTTGTTGGAACGGATACACTAGTGGATGGAGAGCTGCTAGCTGGAATGGAAGAATAGACAGTTGTTGGGGGAGCCAAAGTGCTGCTGGGTGGTTGAGGACTCGATGCAGTTGATGGGATTCGTGCCGAAGTTGTAGGCGATAAAGTCACACGATGGCGACTTTGAAACATATGGGACTGATGTAGTAACTTGAACCGTTGTTGGACTACTGGGCTTCGGTGACGAAGTGGGTTTGCTAGTTGGTGCAGAAGTAACAATTGTTGTTGGAACGGATACACTAGTGGATGGAGAGCTGCTAGCTGGAATGGAAGAATAGACAGTTGTTGGGGAGCCAAGTGCTGCTGGGTGGTTGAGGACTCGATGCAGTAGATGGTGTTTTTGGAACAGAAGATGAAGGGGTGGTGGTTTGGTAAATACGTATGACGATGATTTCAGCAAAGAGCTTTGGGGAATTGATGATGTAGGTGTTGATGACTTGATAATAACAAATCCAGTTGATGGCAGTTGTGGAGGTGCCGTAGTTAAGACAGAAGATAGAAGACTGGTTGACGAAACCGTTGTAACAGATGACGAAACAATTGTTGTTGGAACGGATACACTAGTGGATGGAGAGCTGCTAGCTGGAATGGAAGAATAGACAGTTGTTGGGGGAGCCAAAGTGCTGCTGGGTGAGGACTCGATGCAGTTGATGGGATTCGTGCCGAAGTTGTAGGCGATAAAGTCGACACCGATGGCGACTTTGAAACATATGGGACTGATGTAGTAACTTGAACCGTTGTTGGACTACTGGGCTTCGGTGACGAAGTGGGTTTGCTAGTTGGTGCAGAAGTAACAATTGTGTTGGAACGGATACACTAGTGGATGGAGAGCTGCTAGCTGGAATGGAAGAATAGACAGTTGTTGGGGGAGCCAAAGTGCTGCTGGGTGGTTGAGGACTCGATGCAGTTGATGGGATTCGTGCCGAAGTTGTAGGCGATAAAGTCGACACCGATGGCGACTTTGAAACATATGGGACTGATGTAGTAACTTGAACCGTTGTTGGACTACTGGGCTTCGGTGACGAAGTGGGTTTGCTAGTTGGTGCAGAAGTAACAATTGTTGTTGGAACGGATACACTAGTGGATGGAGCTGCTAGCTGGAATGGAAGAATAACAGTTGTTGGGGGAGCCAAAGTGCTGCTGGGTGGTTGAGGACTCGATGCAGTTGATGGGATTCGTTTGAAGTTGTAGGCGATAAAGTCGACACCGATGGCGACTTTGAAACATATGGGACTGATGTAGTAACTTGAACCGTTGTTGGACTACTGGGTTCGGTGACGAAGTGGGTTTGCTAGTTGGTGCAGAAGTAACAATTGTTGTTGGAACGGATACACTAGTGATGGAGAGCTGCTAGCTGGAATGGAAGAATAGACAGTTGTTGGGGAGCACAGTGCTGCTGGGTGGTTGAGGACTCGATGCAGTTGATGGGATTCGTGCCGAAGTTGTAGGCGATAAAGTCGACACCGATGGCGACTTTGAAACATATGGGACTGATGTAGTAACTTGAACCGTTGTTGGACTACTGGGTTCGGTGACGAAGTGGGTTTACTAGTTGGTGCAGAAGTAACAATTGTTGTTGGAACGGATACACTAGTGGATGGAGAGCTGCTAGCTGGAATGGAAGAATAGACAGTTGTTGGGGAGCCACAGTGCTGCTGGGTGGTTGAGGACTCGATGCAGTTGATGGGATTCGTGAAGTTTGTAGGCGATAAAGTCGACACCGATGGCGACTTTGAAACATATGGGACTGATGTAGTAACTTGAACCGTTGTTGGACTACTGGGTTCGGTGACGAAGTGGGTTGCTAGTTGGTGCAGAAGTAACAATTGTTGTTGGAACGGATACACTAGTGGATGGAGAGCTGCTAGCTGGAATGGAAGAATAAACAGTTGTTGGGGGAGTCACAGTGCTGCTGGGTGTTGAGACTCGATGCAGTTGATGTGTTTTTGGAACAGAAGATGAAGGGGGTGGTGGTTTGGTAAATACGTATGATGATGATTTCAGCAAAGAGCTTGGGGAATTGATGATGTAGGTTTGATGACTTGAATAATAACAAATCCAGTTGATGGCAGTTGTGGAGGTGCCGTAGTTAAGACAGAAGATAGAAGACTGGTTGACGAAACCGTTGTAACAGATGACGAAACAATTGTGTTGGAACCGATACACTAGTGGATGGAGAGCTGCTAGCTGGAATGGAAGAATAGACAGTTGTTGGGGGAGCACAGTGCTGCTGGGTGGTTGAGGACTCGATGCAGTTGATGGGATTCGCGCCGAAGTTGTAGGCGATGAAGTCGAGACCGATGGCGACTTTGAAACATATGGGACTGATGGAGGCCGCGGAACTTCAACCGTTGTTGGACTAGTGGGCGTCGGTGACGAAGTCGGTTTACTAGTTGGTACAGAAGAACAATTGTTGTTGGAACGGATACACTAGTGGATGGAGAGCTGCTAATGAATGGAAGAATAGACAGTTGTTGGGGGAGCCACAGTGCTGCTGGGTGGTTGAGGACTCGATGCAGTTGATGGGATTCGTGCCGAAGTTGTAGGCGATGAAGTCGAGAGCCCGATGGCGACTTTGAAACATATGGGACAGATGTAGTCGGCGTTACTTGAACTGTTGTTGGACTACTGGGCGTTGGTGACGAAGTCGGTTTACTAGTTGGTACAGAAGAAACAATCGTGGTTGGAACGGATACACTAGAGGATGTAGCAGTGACACTTGGAGTGGAAGAAAAGATACTGGTTGATGTGATTGCAACAGATACAGTTGATGACAACACAACTGTCGTTCGGGAGGGAGTTCCGACCCCTGGTGTACATATCTTTGTGCAGTTTTTTGTGATAGGTTTGCAAGACTTTCCATCAAAGTATTGTTCGGGTGGACAACTGCATCCTTCAACGTGATCTCCTCTACAGCAACGCTCAGGCCCTTTGCAATAGGGCTCGTCTTCGCAAACTGGAGTTACTGGAATGTCTGGCGTATAATGGCTCTCGTTTCGGCATGCCCGACAACAGGATAATTCTTAATATAAAAGCGAAAATATTGTGGAGGATTGAGATAAACTTTCTTTTATGAATAATTTCCGTTTGGGAAAAATTGGGGGACTGTGGAATGGCTTAGAATAATAAGAGGACTTGAGGAATGTACCTGATAATTTATTTAAAGTGGGAGTTAAGGCTAATTTTCACTCCGGAAAACGAGCAGCGGATAAGATCGGATCGGAACGAAAGATAATCCGCGCGTGCGCCATCTTTTGAAATTTTTGGCTTATATTGATCCCAAAGCGTCCGAGACCGGATAAAAAAAAGTTCAAATAGTTTTAACTTTTTTTTATCCGATCCGAAATTACTTCATGGATCGGACCAGCTCGGAAAAAAAATCCGATCCGATCCGCTGCTCGTTTTCCGGAGAGGAAATTAGCCTTTACTGTATAGGGCTAACAAACAGTTCATAAAACAAGCAGTGAATAGACGGTGGGAGGAACGATTGTGGTTTGAGAACAGACCAGCTTCTCCTTCACGATTTTATAATTCTGTTAAATGATTAAGCCGATTGTTTTTCACTTCAGTAGATTATTCTAATGGAATGCTCCGTTGTATTTAAAGCTTCTTTTAAGGAATTCCTTCTCAGGTTTTTGGTAGTATGAGGTTCATTTCAATGGTTCCGAAGGTCATAAGGGGATTCGCGTCCATTGCATCGTCGAAATAATTGATGTAAATTTGTGGGAGTATTATCGTTAATCATTTTTTAAATATATATAAATTGATTTAGTATAATTGTGTATATAATTCCAGAGATTCTCAGCCTAACATATGCAGCCCTTTGGAAAGAGGTGGTAAGAGTTTTAAAATGCCTGGCTGATAATTACATTTGGCTGTAGATAAGTTTATTGTTGTACCAAGCGCGCTAGCTCTAGGACAAATGGGACAGCTTTTAAAACGTTTTTGTTTAGGTTGAGGGAGATGAGCTTGTTCCCTCAATAATAACAGGGAGTTTTAGCAGTGACTACGAGTTTTTAATACGTGTTTGTTGGTTAGTTACTAAATTTATTCCAAAAGCCAGCCCACTGAGCCAACCACTGCGAGTTTCGTCAGATGGCGTATACAAAGGCAGCGAGTTTGGCGCGAAAATGACGAATCTTGAACTCATAGTCAATGCTGAGGGCTAATTATACTTCGGCTGCTGTATGCTTACCACAAAATCCTTCTCTACGCCATGCGAACGATATGCCCAGTCTGTTGCATTCTCTGACATAGGCAGAAACCGCTGAACAGAAGCAGTTGCAATCGCCGCCATATTTACACTTGCACGTTTCCTGCTCGCAGGCGTCCACGAAGGGGTCTGGGTTGACCGTTGCGTGACATTTAGCAAAAGCTGGGTTCGTCTTGATTTCTCCACAGCCTGCAAAAACAAAAGATGTTTTAGGAATATTTTATATAAAGGATATACATCTATCTCTAGGTTCAGCAGTTTTAACAAAAGTACGGGGGATAAATAAGCGATGGTGATAATCTACCTTTTTTAGCCCATTCTCCTAATGAAGGATTATCTTGACACGTGTCTTTCACGGCCGCATCGACACATCCAACACCTGCTGCCCACATGTTGGCGAATTCCGTGACCTCAACGGCAATGGAATTATCTGGCAACACGAAATCATCCAGGGAATTCTTGCCATCAAAATCACCGCACAGACCTCGCAGGCTCCCGTCCATGTGTCGTGAAGACGTGGACTTGATGTACACACGGGAACCCTTATCGTATTTTATCTCAAAGTCGAGGTAATACAACTTCAGTATCACGAAAAGTCCCTTATACTCCAACATAACCCCAGCGTAGATGTCGTGGCATGGGTTATCATAATCGGAATTTAGCACCTCGCCCGTGTTGGTTCTTTCTAACTTATACGACTTCTGGAATAAGGTGATGCGGAGGTTTTCCTTGGGCAAACGGATTTTCACTTCTTTGCACATGTACATGTCGAAGGTGTGTTCACAGCGTTTATTTGCAACAGTAACTACCACATCGTCGTCTTTCATAAGGATATATTCACATCGCTCGCCGTCAAAATTGTAGATGCGACCATCGAATGTTTTGTAGTGATCTTGACCCCAAGCGGCACATTCGTAGTTTGGCTCAGGATTCACGTTTGTGTTTGTCACCCAAGTACGTCTGCTCTGGCAGGTTCTGAAAAAATATGGTAAAACATGGATATGAATGCATTGTATCGCATATAGCAAGACGTGGTACACTGTCGTGAAAAATGTTGTCGGAATATAGAATTACTTAATGGTTTACGTTTTTGGATCGCCTGACCCAAACACGCGGGAATGTTGCGAGAGTTAAGAAAAGCGCGCGAAACACGAGCCGAAGGCGAGCTCTTTGTGAGCTTTTCTTAACTCGAGCAACATTCTTAAGTGTTTGGATCAGGCCATCCGTTAGGTAATTGTTTTATAAAATAACTACGACAAGGCCTGAATTTAAATTTAAATTCTTTAAAACTTTAAATTTCCGTGTTTGGATGGCCTGATCCAAACACGGGCTTTGACCAATCAGAATAGCCGTTATATACATGTTATTTTATGATGCATGTTACCATTCCAGTTTGTAATGGTAAAAAGTCACCAATAAGACCCATTGTTTAGGGTATCAACCTGTGTCTTCCTTGATTCATATTTTGACACTCAGTATGTCTTGTTCATTCGGAATTTACTTTTTACTATAGAAGTTAGCGTTTCAGGTTTTTTTACAGTTCACTGATTTAGGATTTACTGACCATGGAATTGTCAAAGTGCACAGTACAACTTATTTTATGTCAGATATGAAAATTTAGATAGATTACTAACTTGGAACAATCTGATGGATTGGTTTCTCCGAGATCATAGAACGTTTCACCATGTTTACATTGACAGCTTGTATTCTCTGCCACGCACGTGCCGTTCTCGTGAAGGGCTTGCCCGGCTGGACAGTAATACCCAACTTGGCACGTGTCGAGATTATCGCACGTGCGACCACACTGCGTGAATACCCGACCCCACTGAGCGTAATGAGCTGAAGGAATGAAAGAAAAAATAGTCATCATTCATTTTGCTGCGATTTTGTGCGACTTTCTTCTTTTGATAGATGTGAATGAGTAATTATTTACGGGATGCTCTGAACGTATAAGAGCTTTTATTTGAACATCCGTAACATTCGTAACTAATTCACTCGTTCACATCTATCAAAAGAAAAAAATCGTAGCAAAAATTGCAAGTGCAAACGGGCGTTAAGGAAAGTATACTCCAAAGAACGACATCTCCCAAGATCTAAACTTTAAAAGAAGGTAATAACCACACAGTGATTTCGGCACTATTTTAAAGTCATTGTCAAACCAGGATGGACCTAGAATAAACCATACTAAATCTCCTGACGAGGGCCCTCAGGTCGAAACGTCGAGAAGCGTTTTGTCTATTTTACGCAGTTGTTATACCACATTTGATGTTAAGTTGTTTGAAGACGCTGCCACGCTGCTCCCTGGTTATATTGGGACCAAGAATGAGTTTGACTTCACTTACCATCGCAATCCAAAGTCGTGCATTTCCAAGTCCCTTCGCTGCAAGTGCTGGAAGATGAAGGGAAAAAATGTACTCAGAGAGAGACTATATCGTCTGATTCCAAACAATCATTTGTAATTTGAAACACTGCAATGCATGTAAGCAACCAAAAAGCATTTCTCAACCGAACAAAGAGCTTATGGACGTAACTTGGCAAAGTTAAGGGAGGTTGGTGTTCGATTTATACTTTACCTACCAGTTATTGCAGTATTCTGATCGTACGTGTCCCTTCAAATACTGTTGACCATTGTAAGTACAAGGACATTCGCTTCTTCTTACACACGGACCAGTGCCAGTAGAGTAGTACCCCTCTTTACAATAACAGCCTTGCATGCACTGGCCACTAAGAAACGATAAAAATTCAATGGTGATATGTTTTTGAACGATTGATAAATATGTAAGATAAATATGTTTATAAACATGTTTTTCAATGGTTGATATAAATAAATAAATAAACAAACAAGAGGTATACGTATTAGGGAAGTGTTATTGTTAGAGAGCTGTCTCTGATGTCCAGAATTAAATTAGTCTGTCTGAGGTCTGTATTAGAGAGAAGTAAAGAGGTGTCTGCAGTACAGAGGTGTCAGTATTAGAGGGGTGTCTGCAGTACAGAGGTGTGTGTATTAGAGAGATGTGTGTATTAGAGAGGTGTGTGTATTAGAGAGATGTGTGTATTAGAGAGGTGTGTGTATTAGAGAGATGTGTGTATTAGAGAGGTGTGTGTGTATTAGAGAGGTGTGTGTGTATTAGAGAGGTGTGTGTGTATTAGAGAGGTGTGTGTGTATTAGAGAGGTGTGTGTGTATTAGAGAGGTGTGTGTGTATTAGAGAGGGTGTGTGTATTAGAGAGGTGTGTGTGTATTAGAGAGGTGTGTGTGTATTAGAGAGGTGTGTGTGTATTAGAGAGGTGTGTGTGTATTAGAGAGGTGTGTGTGTGTGTGTATTAGAGAGGTGTGTGTGTATTAGAGAGGTGTGTGTGTATTAAAGCGGTGTGTGTATTAGAGAGGTGTTTGTATTAGAGAGGTGTTTGTATTAGAGAGGTGTTTGTATTAAAGAGGTGTTTGTATTAGAGAGGTGTTTGTATTAGAGAGGCGTTTGTATTAGAGAGGTGTTTGTATTAGAAAGGTGTTTGTATTAGAGAAGTGTGTGTATTAGAGAGGTGTGTGTATTAGAGAAGTGTTTGTATTAGAGAGGTGTTTGTATTAGAGAGGTGTTTGTATTAGAGAGGAGTGTGTATTAGAGCGGTGTGTGTATTAGAGAGGTGTGTGTATTAGAGAGGTGTTTGTATTAGAGAGGTGTTTGTATTAGAGAGGTGTTTGTATTAGAGAGGAGTGTGTATTAGAGCGGTGTGTGTACTAGAGAAGTGTGTGTATTAGAGAGGTGTGTGTAATAGAGAGGTGTTTGTATTAGAGAGAAGTTTGTATTAGAAAGGTGTAAGTATAAAGGCTATATTTAGCTATATTCAAGTATAAATATGTGTAAGTGATGTGTCTGTGTCAGGAAAGTACTTGCGTGGAAGATATATGGCTAGTCAAAATAAAAAAGAAACTTACTCGCATTTTTCACTTGGATTAGAAAGCGACGAACATGTTTTGTCACACATGCTATCGCCTTGTTGGTCAGTGTTGCAGACTTTGTACTCCCGGTTTGAGTTCGCAGCACATTGTCCATTTGAAACACCACGTTTTCCATCTATATAACATAACACGTCATGTATGCTGAACTCACATTTGAACTACACTTTATAATTATCACATGCCAAGCAGTGAACTGTCATAAAAACTGGAACGCTAACTTGAAGCGAAATTTGACGGTAGTTTTTTTGAACGTTTGAGGTAGAAAGTAATTATCTAGAAATGTCTGAGACTTTGCAAAATACAATCATTTGCTAATTTTCATTTTCTAAAAACTTATTTTTTTGCTTCAGGCTCCAACCAAGTATTACGCTGAACTATAAGAGTTAGCGTTCCAGTTGATATTGCAATTTACTGATGACGAGACGCTTTGCAAAACATTTTATCATTGCTCACTATTTGGTAACTGGATAATGATGCCTTTATCGGCACATTGCTTTTGTACGCCATCCTGATGTGTTCGTGGCTGTCTCTCAGGCCACAGGCGTCGCTTAGACAGTTTTCATAATAAATATCCGGCGAAATGGACTTGCGGCACATGTCAAAAACGCTTTCCTTGAGGTCTTTACAGTCCAGCTCGGCTTGGGCCCTTTGCTTGTAGTGATAGTCACAGGATTTCTTTGCGTCCCACATGTCCTTGTCACATTTCGTCGCATCGTCATTCACCGACCATTGGGAAGCGAACGCTTGCTCGGATATCTCATTATCGTCGTCGTGCGTGTGAAAATCGTTGCTCATTTCGTTGTCAAAAGTCCCGCACAACCCACAAGTCTGATTAAATCTCGCGGAATCAACCGAAAGGTAGATACTCCCGTAGGAGCTCCACGCGACGGTGATTCCCGCAATGGCCGACGTTAGTAGAACATTGACTTCGCCTTGGAACCTAATCTTGACGTATTTTAAATCGACATTTGAAGTTATAGTCTTTCCTCTGACCGTGACGAGCGGATTATTTCCCAGAACAATCCAGTCGGAGTCAAGGACCTTAACTTCAAACGATTTTTTGCATACACTACCAACGCTGCTGCATGTCATCGGGTCTTTGTTCACCATACGAATTTCGTACCGAGATGGACCGCCGTTAGGAACATGGCAATGTTTGGATAACACGTACCCGGAACACTTCCCTTTCATGTCGTATTCCTTTCCATCAAACGTCGTAACGTGGCCATTTCCAATCATTTGACATTTGCCTAAAAAATCATGTTAAACTGAAGTTAACGAGTTCACGGCAACCAGGTATATATCCATCGTAATTATCGCTACTTTGGTTTTAATAAATGAAAGTATAATCACCACACAAAGATTAACTTTCACGACCCAACGCTTCGACACTCCGGTCTAGTGTCTTCATCAGGGATGATCTGATGTTGAAACTCGGTTTCTTATATGCTCTCAATAGATGGCGTCATTTTGAGAGTATATAAGGAACCGAGTTTCAACATCAGATCACCCCTGATGAAGACACTAGACCGAAGTGTGGAAACGTTGGGTCGTGAAAGTTAATCTTTGTGTGGTGATTACTTTAATTTATTAAAACCAGAGTAGCGATAATTACGATGGATAATGTTAATCGTTAAAGGTGGGGTACGGTCCGTGATTTAAACAAACGCTTTGCGGCTCACATTTTCAATCCGTATATATCCTAAAATATCACGAATTTTCAGAAAGTTTGACATGATTTTAGTTCGCTATGAGAGAGAGTTCGTGTTCAGAGATATACGAAACATTCGCTGAAATTTGAGCAATTTTGAAACGGGTAGAAAACCATTGTTATAAGCAGTACCCATGCAACGAAGTGACTGAAACCCCCCTTTAAAGTTTTCTGTGCTTGAGGCACATTGGCAACGAAAATTTTCGTTGGCTTTTTCAACCTTCCTGGACATCAGAAGTAAGAGAATGTTAATATTTTTCCATGCATTTGTAAGTTTTGTTAAAAATGAATTCTCCTGGCGAGGGAAAAAACAAGAAATTTATTTTCATACCAGAACAAGGACGTCTTATACAATCCCACGAGCCTCCAACACATGTACTAAAGGGAAAAGGAAGAGAGATTTAGTTGTATGGTTTGAGAACCATACAAGCATGGTTTGAGAACCATACAAGCATGGTTTGAGAACCATACAAGATATTCTCACATATCGTTGGTGGCATAGATTACTCATGCTACATTCATCAACATTTGTTTCCTTCTCATATAGCGCGTTCAAGAGGTAGAAATAAAACTCTTCAGACCATCATCTAAGGGCGCTTCTCTGTATTTAAAGAACACTTGACCTAATTATCGTTCCAGCTGTATTAGAGATCACCTGGCCTACTTGTCATTCCAGTTGTATTAGAGATCATTTGGGCTAAATAACTTACCAACTCTCGCAAGACGATTCATGGATGGTCCCGTGAGGATAAGGTACACCGGCATAGCTACATGAGCACTGGCTTCTGGGCACGCATTTACCATGATCCTCCCACATGCCTTCTGGACAATGACAACCGTCGACACATGCAGAAATGCAATCGATTTTCTCACTGTTCAGGTTTGAGCACGTGCGCGGGCACGCCGTCCCGCATTCTGACCATTCCATCGTGTTTGGGCAAGTTTTCTCTGAAATATAGAGATACAGAACTTGTTATAGACTGTTCTCAGAAGATTACCTTGTTACTAGCATAAAGGATGGCGAGTGTTTGCCCTGATTAAAAAAACTTAAACTCAATGTAACCCCAGGGCCCGGTTGTATTAAGCCCGTTTAGCTTAAACGGTGGATAAGTCAAAATTAAATAACCTATTTTATGCACTGAATATGTAGTTGTAAACAGTATCTTTGTATTAAGGTTAAAAACATTTAGTTCGCTTGTTGAATAAAACGATAGACTCGATTTCTATTATCTTGAACTTATCCACCGTTCAAGCTAAACGGGCTTGGTACAACCGGCCCCAGAATAGCAAGACAAAACGTCCGTTAAAACACGTTATGTCAAAAATTGGTTTAAAGCTATAACATGGACGATATTAGCAACTGTTTCGTTTTCCACTCAGTTCTACGAACAGTTCAGGACTATTGTTCCTAACTATAAATAAAATGAGTTTAGTTTAGGTTAACTTCTGTATAGTAACGCTTGAATCAATACGAAATTATCCTTACTAGACCTCTAGGAAGAACAGTTTAGGACTATACTGAGGTAGAGCTATCCATTTCAAGTTTTATCCCGCAGTAACACTAGAACAATAAGATATTATTCTTACAGAAGTTCTAAGAAGAACATTTAGAATTAACGTAAGGTTGGTTTATAGTGCAGGTTTCCTCCAGCAGCAACGCAGGATCAATAGAGGTGATCCCTACTGGATATATAGAATGGGAATATCCAGTATATTTTCACTGGTTTAATGCATTCAATATAATGACAGATATGATTATTATAATTGTTCCAAGCAATAATTTAGCTTACCACAAAGGCCCTCCTTTCTCCAGTCAATCGGTTTCCCCATCGCCACGTGGCAGGCACGTGCATAAAGAGACAACGCCTTACATGTACAGACTTTTTTTCTTTTATCATCTGTGGCGTTACAAGCGCAAAAATCTGCCATACACATATATACGTACTCCTCTTTTGGAATGTGGCAAGCTAGATAATGATAAAAAACAGTTTTCAGCCATGACAATAATTACATGGGAAGCAATCAAAGATGTTGAGAATGGACAACAGACTACGATGGACAAGCGACTACGATGGACAAGCGACTATGACGGAATATAGTTATTTGAAAAACAACAACAAAAAGCTATATAGAAACATGCAGAATGTTTTCTATTTCTTAAATATCTAATGCCTATCATTTCAACTTAGCATCAAATGTGGTATAACAACTAAATTCAACAACTTCTAATTTAGGCAGTTTTATACCGCATTCGATGCTAAGTTGTTTGAAGACGCTGCCACGCTGCTCCCTGGTTATATTGGAGCCTGTAATTTCAGTTTATTCTAAATGACTTTTCCTAGGTATTGTGTTTTCGATCTTCCAGTCTCATCTGTTGCTTTTAAATATTGACATCTAAATTTTACAACATCTAAATTTTACAACATGACCCTTTCACACCAGGTGAAACTTTCGATAACTTATTACAACATTAACATCAATAACTTATTCCCTCGTTCACATCTATCAAAGGACGAAGTCATCTACCTAATGTGATCGAGCATTGTGAATGACCTGAAAAATCGCGAACAGTATTTACGATTCGTTCTTTTGAAAATCAATTTCTATAATTCATTGCGTTTTATTGATATCATCAACAAATAGCAAAGCTTGTTCGTATAGGTTGGGGATTGCCTCTACTGGATCAACTCGCTATGAAAAACATACGTCATTATCTATTCGACGAACCTTTAAATGCTTCTCCGGCCAAAGCATCCCTGCAAACTTTCTCAGCATGATTAACTCCGTCGTTGACGCTGTGTAATTTGGTGTAACAGGGGGTGGCGGTTTAACTTCAGTGGCAAAATCACACGTTCCATCGGGATCCTCTTTCCACGACTGCACGAAAGCATTCGTGCTGGACAATACCTTCATTTGGGCATCCGCAAAGTCGTTCGCGGGGTTGTCATCGTAGGTACCACAGAGCCCAAGGGATTTGTATTTCAGTGAATCAGGCAACCAGACCATCAAGTCCTCTTGTCCGTCCCAGTACACCAATGCGCCGTCGGGAATTTTGACAATAATATACCGTCCAGCCTGTTGGAAGACGATTTAAAAACACGTTCGCAGTTAACTACCGGAGGAAGGTGGCGGATGTGATAGAATATCTCTATGCGTGTGCAGTCAAAAACAGATTTGAGTCAGACAGATTTGAATACAAAAATATAGACAAATTTACATCAGAACTATTTCTCATCGGTGAAAATGACTTGTTCATGGCAATTACGACTGACTTGGGTTAAGAGCAATGTAGAACTAAAACAGTTCTCTAATATAAATAAAAATAGTTCAGGTTTTCTCCTGTAGTAACATCGACACATTAAGAGATAATCCTAATTCCTAACCGAACCTCTCAAATTAACTGTTTAGAACTTATAGAGCTTTGAGCTATGCAGTTAAATAAGTTAGTTTAGTTTAGGTTTCCTCCTATAGTAACACTGGATAAAAGATGATCCTTACTGGACCTCTAGGAAGAATAGTTTAGAACTGATAGAACTATCCAGTATAACAAGTTAGTTTAGTTTAGGTTTCCGCCTGTAGTAACACTGGATCAATAAGAGATGATCCTTACTGGACTTTTAGGAAGAGCAGTTCAGAACTGATAGAATTATCCAGTTTAAATAAAGTTAGTTTAGTTTAGGTTTCCTCTGTATAACACTAGATCAATAGAGATGATCCTTACTGGACCTCTAGGAAGAACATTTTAAACCATAGAGCTATCCGTATAAAGTGGTTTATAATATTCTTGTATGTTTGCATGGTAACATCAATAAGTAAATCAGCTTGTAGGTACACCACGTAAGTATTTAATACTAAGTAAGTAGTATTCAATAACCATCAATTGCACTGATGGAGGCCCGGGTTAAGTTAACGGACCGAAAGTTTTGCAGTATTAAATATTTACGTGGTGTACATACCTACAGCTTTACTTAAAGTTAGTTTAGTTTAGATTTCCTTCTGTAGCAACACCTGATAAATAAGAGATGATCCTTCATTAGAGCATAAACGAACGTTAGACTCGAGAAATATAGTTGACATTAGGAAGCATATTTACCATTCTGATGCTGGGTGTTTTTTTCTTATAAGGAATTGATACATCTTCCCCATTAATTGTGACAAATGGTACTCCACTAGGTCTGTTCACACCAAGAAAAACGACCGTGTTCTCTATGGTCACCTCAACCTTCTTGTTACACGGACCATTGATGTCGCAATATGGATCGTTAATAAGGGTAACACTAAATTGGATGAGCGGGTCCTTGATGTAACATTTGATATTTGCATGTACATAGTAATAGTAGTTCTTGCCATCAAACGTCCTGTAATGACCTCTGCCGTAGGCATAACACATGCCCGTAACTGGAAAGTTAAAAAGAAACGGTAGTGTTAGACTCCTCTAGACAGTAACTAAATAGATTCACTGATTAACAAAAAGTCGATATTTTTTTCATCACCGGATAATATAGAGACCGGATGACATAGAAAACGGCGGAGAACAGCGAGATTTTGGAAACAATAAAAGATATGGAGTATTCTGATTCTTTGATCATGACTGGTGATATGGAGAACAACGAGATTTTGAATGAAAAGATATGGAGTATTCTGATCTCTGGATCATGACTGGGCATGGAGAACAACGAGATTTTGGAAACAATGAAAAGATCATGGAGTATTCTGATCTCTTGATCATGACTGGATGATATGGAGAACAACGAGATTTTGGAAACAATGAAAAGATAATGGAGTATTCTGATCTCTGGATCATGACTGGATGACATGGAGAACAGCGAGATTTTGGAAACAATGAAAAGACAATGGAATATTCTGATCTCTTGATCATGACTGGATGACATGGAGAACAGCGAGATTTTGAAAACAATGAAAAGACAATGGAATACTGTATCCTAACCGAAGTTCATTTTTAAAAAGGTACTAAAATCTACATACTGTTTGAAACAACGGAGTTGCTTTGTAATGATGCGATAGATGGCCAGAGTGTTCTTAAAAAAATACAAAAACGAACAAGTTAGAAAGTTAATGACAAGCTATATCAAAGTCAACTACATTCAAGGCACGTTTGCCCAAGGATTGCCTACCGAGACACGCGTGTTTACAATTGTCTTTGGTTTTGAAGTTGTTTCCATTTCCCCCGCATTCTTTGAAAGCGAATGGCTTACACTCGCCATTGTATGGTACCATCTGGTTTTTTTATAGTTACGTAACGCAGATCTTCCGGGTTGAAAATTCGATTACATAACTACCGGACGAGGCAGGGACTGCAAAAAAATCCAACATTCATGAGTTTTTCTACATTTTTAACTGAACGTAGTAAAAAACCAAACAGAAACAGATCTCGACAAAGTGAATTATCATTTCCTGTCGTTTCTTGTCCGTGGACCAGCCCAAAGATAATCCTTAATCTAAATCCTTAATCTTACTCTAAATCCTCAATCCTTGAGGTTACGTTAGAATTAGAATAAGGATTGAGGTTAACTTAAGTTAACGATAAACCCAAACTAAGACCTAATACTAACTCTAATCTTGAGCTAATCTGGACTGAAGGATTAAATTCGTGTTTAGTGTAATACTGTACACTCAAATACAATACTATACTCAAGTACAATACTTAACTCTCAAATACAATACTGTTCTCTTAAATACAATACACTACTCTCAAATACAATACTGTACTCTCTACAATACTGTACTCTCAAATATAATATTGTACTCTCTACAATACTGTACTCTCAAATACAATACGGTACCCTCTAATACAATATTGTACTCTTAAGTACAATACTCTACTCTCAAATACAAAATTGTACTTTAAACAACAATACTATACTCTCAAATACATTACTGTACTCTCATATACATACTGTAATGGGGAATTCTCCGGTCACACGTTACACTGTTGTTTCTGCAAGCTTCATATATCGCGTGTTAGAAAATAGAATAGCAGTGTCACGTTCGTGACGAGAGAATCACCCTACTCTCGATACTTACTACAAACGTGGTTGCATTCCTCTTTCTTATGGGTGATGTTTTCAGAATTGCACGACCAGCTCAAGGACTCCAGATAGGCAAACAGGCGTCCTTTTCCCTCGGAGTCATAGACCAGCCGAGCAGGTCTGAAAGGTTTTTTGCTGTGTAGTGCCTTAATGCCAACATTTCATTCAAATAATGCTTTGACACGCCCAGATCCAAGGTTTTCTCGCAGTCATTTTCTGAAATTGATACGAAGAAAGAGATTGTAAAAAACCATCAACCCTTCCTCCATAAGATTCCGAGATATTTGAAAACATTTCTCGAAATAAGGAGATACGATTGGTCTTGATATTTAGACTAAATAAAGACTGATTCTTCGACCGAACAACGTTTTTCTTTTGGTATTCTTTTCAATATACCGATTCAGGCTCATATGGAAATTGCCATTTCATGTTTATTGATACTTTTGAGAGATGTATATATGGCAATGAATTTGCAATAATATAGTCGTCAGAACGCGTTGCATTGTGCCCACATATGATATTGCGTTCTGGTATGAAATTACATCTATCAAATGTACACAAAGCAGGTGGTGAAATGGGTAATTTCCATACGAGGCTGAATCGGTCTACTGTGATCCCGTATAAGGGAATCCGCTACGGTCGAATTTTGACAGTTACAAAGAAAATCAGGCGAAATTTCCGTGGAAAACCGGTCTTAAAACAATTCCTACGATGGTGATCCTTACCTACTGAGCAGTCAGCACCAGCGTACCCGGGGTAACATTCGCAGGTCATGTCAGAGCTCTTGGTGGAGTTCACAAGACAAAGACCACCAACACACCCATCAGGGCAGATTGCTGTAAGAAAGAAAACCATTTGTTGTAACCCGATGCCAACAACACGACACGACACGACACAGCATAACATAACGTAAGTTACGTAACGTAACACGTAACATAACGTAACGTAACATAACGTAACGTAACGTAAAGTAACGTAACGCAACGTAACATACCACAACGTAACGTAACCTAACCTAATGTTGATATGATAAAAATAATCAAAATGCAACATACGTGTTTGACAACGGTCTCCCTGATACTTCAGAATGAGATTTGGATTGTTCATATAATTCGTTGTACAGTCACACACGTTCGGTTGAATACATTTCCCGAAGTTAAGACACGGCTTCTCGCAGAAGGCTGGGAATGAAAGCAAAAAAAGGATTATATATGGCACCTATCTTTCTGACGAGAGAAATAAGGTTATAATATTACCTTTTTCGCAACGATTTCCATTCCAGCCGGAGGGACATTGGCATTTGTCGGGGGCGACACACTGACCACCATTCAAGCAAGAAGGCGCGCAAACCGCTTTATAATGATAAGGTATTATAAGGCATTACTATGAAGAACTATGTGGATTAGGTAGGAGGTGCTAACGGTGAACTTGATGATAATCATTTAATTGATGATCGTGGTATCGTGATCATGATCGTGATAATGGTGATCGCGATTATCGTGATGATGTTTTTGCTAATCGTGATTTTGATCATGGTAATGATGATTGTAATAATAATCGTGATGATGATTGTAATTAGCCTGATGATGATCGTGATAATTGCGATGATGATCGTGATTAATACCCGTGATGATGACCGTGATAATGGTGATGATGATCGTGATAATACTCGTGATGATAATTGTAATAATCGTGATGATGATCGTGATAATACTCGTGATAATGATTGTAATAATCGTGATAATACTTGTGATAATGATTGTAATAATCGCAATATATAATGATTAATCGTTTGGATCAGTAGAGATCCCCGGCCGGAAACTGGTTTCGACGCAACCCTGAAAAAGCACGCGTGTGCAAATCTCTTCAACTTACGTTTCTCGCAGGAATTTCCAGTGTATCCAGGTATACAGTCGCAAACACCACTTCTGCATGTTCCTCCATTCTCACATTTAGGAATACAATCCCCTGAACAAAATAAAATAAAACTTTATTTATCAATGCTAACCTCATCATCCTTGGATGGTTTTCAGGAGGGGTCACGGATAAGGGATGACGTTTATAATGACGGATGGTTGGTATAATTGGCAAAATGGATTTTTTTTACTTCCTGACAACAATATACGTCTTCATGGTAAAATTTCTGTTAGAATTATGAAATTTTTATTCCGCTTGTAAAAGATCATGCTTTTGTTGAAACGGATAATTCTATGACACTGGGCCTAAAACTTTGGCTCTAAATAGAAGTTAAAGAACGCCTGTTACAGCTTGAAGTGAGTCGTGAAATAAATCGTACTTTCATTGCAAATAGATCCTTTGTAGCCCGCTGCACAGACACACTTTCCATTCACACAAGTTCCACCATTTGCACATCCCAGAAGGCAGGCTGCAAAACAATTTTCGAATCATCATTATTAAACAACATGTACAATAACATAATTGTGAAAAAATTTTGAAAAAGTTAAAATTTAATAAAATGAAAATTAACAAAAATTAAAAGTATTGTAATCGAAACCAAACGCTAACCAAATTTGGGTGATATCATCTGAAGAATTTTATTTAATTATTTAGGATTGATTTTAAATTACACGCAGTATTAATGACAAGACCTAGGCATGCGTAAACATTTCCAGACATTCATCATATTCTAATTTGCAATCCATGGCAACCCAATTAGCAATTAGAACATATCGAAAATGAAGCAAGGAAAGTAGGAAACTTTGTTTATATGCCGTTTTCACGATTAGATTTAGTTGTAGTTTCGCGACTTAGATCTTAGATCTGAGCCTTTCTCACGATGACGTTTTGGGGTACTTTCAATTTTCTGAAATGGCTTTAAAAAATATGATTTAACATGAAAAGCAATTTTTTTAGAATCAACAGACCATTTGAAGAATAAATTCAACCTGAAAATAAATATAGTCGCCGTTACGAGGTCTTACGCTTACGGTTTTGAAAAAAAGTACCCTAAAAATGGCGGGATATTCGTCGTCATGAGAAAGGCTAATTTAACTATTGCCAACGATAAAAACGTTACGGTTTTTCTAGTGTTGCGCTGTTTAAATTCCTCAGGGAAGTTATACCTTGACTCCTTTTTTGGGTATTTTGCCCAGCCATTCTGTTTAATGCCACGAGACGGTCAATATTATCATCTGCTGTTTGGAAGCTGGAAAAAATAGAATGTCCGAGAGCATTGAATTACATGTAAAAAAGAATTAGGATTCGGGGAGTTTTCCTAAACCCGAGGTAACGTTGTGGCAGGGAAACCCAAAAGAAAAACTAGTCAAACATTGACCCGTACTAGAATTTTTTTTTCTGAGGGCATGGCCATGGGTCTTTGGGTCTTAAAAACTTTGTGGGAATGGGTCTTATAAACTTTGATCACAAATTGTACAGGATTAATATTCGAAACAGATTTCATCAGTGCAGGTATTTTCGTTAAGCGATTTTTAACTGTTTGATTAAAAGCACGACGATTTATTTTGCCACGTCGCTGTGAAAAATTATCGTCCAATTTTTTTTTCATTTCATAGTTAAAACGCGTCAAACGGGCACATAAGCAAAACGTAAGTGCGATTCAGAGTCATAGGATTTGGCTGTTTTTAAAACCTCTATACCACCGCGGCCTGAAATTTCAACTAAAACTTCTTTCAACTTCTTTGGAGCATTTCTTACTTTTAAGCCCAAAGCTATCTTTAGTTTTACATTTGAAATATTCAATAACTGTTTTCATTAGCACAGGTAAAAAGTTTTACTAAGCTAATAGTTGAGCTTCTCAAATCTGCTTTCCAAAAATACTCAACTCAAAATATAGCGAAACAGTCCATTGGCTCTTCACATAAATTTTTACTAAACTATTGAAAGAGTTTAAATTTTTCGCCGTATACCTTTCCCCTTCAGCAAACAGGCGACTCTTCCAGATATCGTGCGGGACAATCATAAATATCAGGCACAAAACGCCCAATTTCTGATCCACCATGACGCTTTGAAGAAACGACGCTCTTTATAACTTCACGAACAGCGTTTTGTTTTTTGTTTTAAGCTTTAGTCGACTTTTTTTCACTTTGATATTAAATTGAATTCAATTTCAACAACCCTGCTTTGCTCCGACTAATCTTGCACGGAGCGTGAATGGTTTGATATGAAGCGATGTGCTGACGTTTACAGCTAAAGTACAGCCCAATTTAATTAGTGCGAGAAATATTTTCTGCTATACAAGTCGGTTTCCAGGAGACGTGCTTAATTTCGCATTCTAAAACGGCTCGAATTAATTAGTCAGCAGTAGTCATGGCACGCTATAATCGAAGTGTGAAATATTCTAAAATTTTAAGCCCCCAAACACCCGCCTGCGATGAAACTATACCGCGAACCAAGCTTTGTAGTTGAAAGTTTGAGATTTGAATGACAGAGACAGAGTCGTAAATGTATGGTAAGGTACTAAATATTTGCTTCTTAATGGCAAATGAGAGGGGGGGGGGGCAAGCGAATCTGGAAAGATTGAAATCGAGCCATTAACAGGCCAATGTTTTGTATCACGAATATTGAGGTTCAAGAGATGGTGGGTGCATGCATACATTTTGCCCAAATTCATGCAGACATGAAGGACTGTCATAAAAAGAATTATTCGTGGCGTTTTGTTTGCAAAGTATCAGGTCATAACTTAACTTTTTTTGTCGATCGCCCATTCCAGCCATCATTCTGAGACTTACAAAATGGCATATTTGCAAGTCGCGGTTATGCCTAAAAAGAGCAGGGAATATCGTTCCCCTTACGGAACCTTTGTGGGTATCTATCTTACGCATTTATGCCCCATCCCCGAAAAGGTGTACCCTTCCTAGAAACATTTAAAACATGTAAAATGTGCTCAAATTAATACATATTAAAAATTATTATTATCCACGGCGAATGCATGCAATAACAGCTAAATGATTAAATGAAGTTTCAGTTTCCAGGCATCTGCCACATGAGATCAAATAATTCAAATTTGGACGAAAATTTTTTCCCACAAAGTTTTAAACTCTACTTTTTATCGCAAAGCCAAAGCCACAGACTTATTATATTAATTTTAAAAACTTTGACTTTGTTATAGCGTTGACTTAGAAGTTATTCTCATAAAGCTAATCAGGTTTGCCAAAATTTTCGGTGAGGAGTCGTTACTCGCAAATATATTATGTAAAGTTCGGTTTGAACCAGAGTTTGGTTTAAACAGTGTTTCAAAGTCAGAGTTTGGTTCAAACAGAAATGGTTTGAACAGTATTTTTACCTAATGAAACATTGAAAATGCCACAAAAGTGTATCAGTTAGGACATCACAAGTGAATAAAATAGTCAGATAAAATATAGAATATAACTTTTATATAAGGTAAAATAAGTTAAAATCCTGAACGCGTCAGCAAGTGAATAACTAAAAAGCAGATGGCCTGACTTTGTACTTCAATTAGAGAACGGTCTTACTAGTAATACAGATTTTCAGGCCAAAGGGGCGCTGATTTTGTTCACAATTTCGCCATTTGCAATAAAACAATCTCTAATCACAATTGCATTAACATGCCAACGTAGCCAAACTAATAATAAGCCCACTCAGTAATAGCGGTATATCACATTTAATTCAAGTACACGTGCTTCGCAGAATTTTTTCACGTGCACAAAAACTGGTAAAATGAAAGTATTTAAAATGATTAAAATTAAATAATTGAAAAAACTAAGTATTACATGACACATTAATATTTTGTTTGCTTGTTTAAACAATTGTTTGAGAGCATTTAAACCACACACAATAGTAAAAAAAATTAAGCCCGGTTTACGTGCCACGGAATGGAAAATTAGCTACTGTCTGGGCCAAAACAGACAGCATTAATTGTTTCATTATTTTGTCTCAGTTCTGGACAAAGCCAGGTGCGATAATACACAAACACCTTATGTCCGTTTTGGTCAAGACGATTCACCGAAGTTGAAACCTGTGTCCGGTTGTTTGAAAGGCGTTTAGCTTAAAGGTGGATAAGCCAAAGTTTAAAAATACTCTCATATAACTTCTGAATGACTGAATCATATGCATTATATGTGTATTTCCATTGAAAATTAAACTATTTACATCGAGAGATTTCAGCTCAGTTGTTCAATAAGTAGATAATTTTGCAATCCATTTTGAACCTATCCACAGTTTGAGCTAAACGCCTTTCGAACAACCGGACACAGGACTTTACCTGCATTGAAACGAGCATTAAACCAGAGTTTATACAGTGCGAGTCTGTGTCTGTCTTGAGTCGCCATATACATTTTACGTAAAAGAATATTCAAAAATATATCTTCCCCTCTTTTACAACAGTATTTTTCGAAAAATCCCTCATTTCTTTGAGAAAATTATAAAAGCTCAGCTAAGGAAATAAAGTTTGTTTAAAATTGTTTATTATAGCCAAGGTTTCGTTTTCCCGGGCAGAGTAACGACGGCGCTGATTGGTCAATTCCGAAATCATGAGGTGATGATTGGTTGAATCTGAAGATCAGGGGGGGGTTCCCGCTGCTACATAACTGTTTGCCAAGTACTGAAATACTCAATGTATAGTTCAATGATGTAGCCTTGTACAAAACTACAGAATACTTAAGTGATACAAATTTAATGACATTTTAATTGAACTAATTAATTATTCTAATTAAGAATAGTTAATTTACAATGTAACAGTTTAAAATAAGCATGTTACAAAATTACAGAACACTGCATTATACAAATATTTATTCTTAATAAACTAATCTGAGACCACACAACATTTTGATGAGCATGCATTTGCAATGGAACAGTTTTAAATTGCCCACAATGGTTCAACACTGTGCCATTAAAAGGTAGTGCGAACAAATACATGTAAACCACAGGGGCCAGTTGTTCAAAAGTAACTTAACCAAACTCAATCTTAACTCAAAATATTACATCAATTTTTTTAATCATTTATAAGGTTGAATATGTTTCACCATAAATATATTCTGGATCAACAGAAGTCTTATTTTGGAAGTTTTGAAAGGCACAACACAAAATAACCAAAGCTTGAACAACTGGTCTTTAAACACTAACAGACATTACTATACATAACCCCAACACACTTGATATATACTTTCTAGTTTTTCAAAGAATTTATACATGCATATACATTTTTTAATATTTTTGACGCATTGCTTGACAAAGAATAAGCAAAATTTAAATTCAAAAATAAACAACAACCCTTACAAACATTGGACATATATGTACAAGGAATTATACAATCACAATTCTGGGTTATATTCGCAAAAAAAAGCATTCCACCAAAAAGCATTCAAAAGAGAAAAAAAAATACAAGCTTGAGCTTGTCCTTCAAGAGTTAACTGATATTTTGGTTTAACTTTCAAACATGTTTGTTAAAGAAGCCAATTTTTCAATGAAAGCTACATTATTACTCAAATTCTAAGCCTCGAGGATGTTTAAATTTCTTTCAAGCTATGAGCTCAGCCTGTGTATCACAATGTATATGTGATGGATATATCATAGCATTTGATCTCCATCTACAAGTACATTCCGTTTATTAGGTAATCTGCATCATCCGTCAGGAATGCTTTGGTACGCCGTCTTCTTGATGTCTTCAACCGGAAAATAATTCCCAAAAGCAAAAGTAATGCCAACACAAGACCAATAGCCAATGGAATAACAGCTTTGTTTTCCTGTATATTCAATCGCTTGATGACCACATTGCTGACGTGAGACTTGGTTGCAGGTAACCTCGCCGTACCTAAGCAAAATGAGGCGTTAGATAGAGGCAAAAGAAAAAAGTTAGTGTTTAGAATTAGTTCCTAATTTGTTAAAATCCACAGATGCTATAGTTTGTCAACAAGCAGAACTCTTATGTTAATTTAGATTAATCCATTGGATAATTTAGATTGATAAATGCTTACAATGTAGAAGGTTTTAACCCAGTAAGTGGCATAGCAAGCCTGACATATTTGTCTCGCTATGTAAATATTCAGTTATTAAAATTATTTATGTCCTTAAAAATGTATTGTTTTTTCAGTCGACAAGCACCAAAATATTAGCATAGCAGGAAAAATCACCAAGCCTGCTACGCTACTGGTTTAATCCCTTGTTTCCCATGCCATACCATACCAGGATTTGTTTTCAGATTTTATAGTTAAGTAGAATATAAGGCAATAGGACTAGCTACATATTACATACATACACATACTAAAGCTACATATTTTTTTCTGCTAAATTACTAAAATATATTCCCACTAATACATATGGGAACTTATTCTTCATGCTGGCAAGCTCAGTTAAAATCATCCAGTAAATATACAGAACTCACCTTTTGTAGTTCTCAAAAAGGAACCTTTTGTGGTCCGCGGCCTGGTTACTGGTATCATTTTTCCAGAAGAGGCTGTTATTGTTTTGGGATTCCTTTGAGGCTCATCAGGAAAATCTGGATTGTTATCAACAAACACTCTTCGAGGGAAGTCCTCATCTGCTGACACAGCTGCTGTCGTCTGAATGCGACTTTCCATGGTCTTTTTCTCATTGGAATCCATGTCTTTTGAGTGATCATAGGATCCATACTTGCTGTAGTCTTCTGTACTTTTAGGAACACTACTATTTGGGGCATGAGTACCCTCCCTGTCAGATTGATGTGTTGTGGATAATCTGTCGATTTTTTGCTCATCCAACCACAAGTGTTTCGGTTTGCTGGTGGTGGAAGCCTTAAACCAAGTATTTCCCCAATTGTGGTTTTTGTATGGTTTTCTTGTTTTTGTTGCAGTTGGTGCCGGGGCTTCTGTGGTTATTTCTGTGAATGTATTGGGCTCTAAAAAGCAAACACAAAACATTCTCATCATTCTCATTGTGATAGTGTTACTAACTGAACAACCAGGCAAAAATTATCTTGACCTTTGGTTTGCTAGTCCAATGCTCTAGTAATTGAAGTAGTTCCTACCATATCGGTGCATCTTTAAGTTTTAAGGAAATGGTTGTGTGTGTGACTCGGATGAATTAACATTGTGATGGTGTGTCCCTACTCTGAGTGTCGAACTGATTACACACTGGTCCATCACAATATCAAATTTACCCAAGTCACACAAACAATCATTAAAAAACATTCTCATTTGATCCTAATGTAACCTTTAGCCATTCATTTGTGTTGCTCTACGAATACCAGGTGATATAGTGTGTGTTAGGAAAGGCCCCATTGCGAAATATTATAGCTTAACTGTAGTTCTAAAACAATGCCAATTATGATAGGTTTACAAATAGAAAGTAAATGCAATGTCTTCAAATGAATTAAAAACGTTAGGCTTCGTTAACCATAAGGTATGAGAGTCAATATGCCGTGTCCCTGGTTTAAAGCTGTGCTAATAAAAAAAGCGATATATTAAAGACCTTTTTTATAGCATCAATAGTCAATACAGTTTCCGTTGATTGCGACTAAATTCCGATTCATTTTATATACATGTGTTTTAAAAATTATTGAACAACATATGCGCTCATTTGTACATTTTGATATAACATTCAACTACGCCTACAATTCATCTATATTTAACAGCAAAGATTTTAGATTTTGTCAAGGCGATTATTGTGAAGAAAAATTAGTTGTGGCTTAAAGCTTGTATACCTTTGAATTCTGAATCCTTGCTTTGATGTTCAGACGAATGCCATTGTGATTTTCTGTCTTCGAATTCAAGAGCAGCGTAGCTATGGTAGGACGAGTGTTTATAGAAGTTACAGACGGACGGTGATCGACAGTTGAACATGAAACAGCTAACTTTCTTTTCAAAACTTTCCGTGTCGTATTTTAACATGACCAAATTACAGCCATCTTTCTTGCAACACAATTCGTGACAGCCACGGGCCGAAGACATGATCTTCTTACCCAAAAACTCGGCTCCATTACGTACGGACTGTTGCGTTTTAATAATCGTCGATCTTCTTATCTGAAACTTTGGGCATTTGTCGACATACGAACGTGAATTTTCGCATTCAACACTCGCGAGGCCCAAAACAAACGCCACTGTAACCAAACCAAGTTTCCACATAAACATTTTGCCTTTCGTTTGATAAATTATAACATTCGTAGGGTATACTTCTGGACGTTTACATTACCAAAATTTTCTTAGATCCGCACAAGAACACGTAATGTTGAAGCAAAAAATCTCATTTACATAACAATAAATATATAATCTCCGGAAAAGAAGCAGGCATATGGCAGTGTTGCGGGTAAGCTTCGTTCCGATTACGGACCCGATGGCATCACGATATAAACCGGCAAATAGTTAAAACAACCTTTGATGAATGGAAAATATCAATTCGTGGGAGGCAAAACAACAATACAAGTGTACAAAGGTCATTGCTCTAAAAACGATCGCGGTTTTTTGGCATTTATCACTAATCTTTGTTATTTTTTCACCATTGCTCCACAGGCAGGTAAGAAGGTCTCCAATTCCAATTTCCGTTAAGGTGTTTATATTGGTATGAAGCTACACCAGAACGGTATAAAATGCACAAAAAGTCTTAGTCTTTTACTATATAATTATAAAAAAAACAATGCATAAAAAGTCTTTTACATTCCCAAATAAGGCATAGGTACAGTTGGAGAAAATTGTTGGAGCATACAATTCTATAATACTTTGTTTCCATGCTAGTAAAGGCCATAATGTAGATAAAGTGACAAAAAAATGCCTGTTCAAAGGTAGTATTTTGCTCAGTTTAATCAAGTAGGTGTTATATTAGGTGAATGCCTCGAAAATTTTGCAAATTAATATAACATCTGGCAGATAGGGAAAGAATGTGTTAAAAAACACCATGCTGAAACCCAGGCCACGCCCTTTAAAGTTCAAAGCCCGTCAGTATTATTCCAATCAAAGCAGTTACGCATCCATATGGAAGGAAAGCACATCCTGTGAGAATTTCACAACATCATTTCACTAGACCTACAGCTAAAGCATTCATTTGTCTGATAACAGCCTGTGGGGAGACAAGATTAATTTTATGTTTGTTTCGATTAGAAGTGCAATGGCTTATGTCCGTGTTTTGGGTGGTATCGCAGTCCTAGGTGGAGGCTGTCTGGCTTATGCAGCTGTGCAAAGCCGTCATGTAGGTTTCTGCATGAAAATCCGATTATGTTTTTATCATTCTCTTACTCCAAAATGTGTATAGCATCTCTGTGTATTGAATGCTATTGGGGTTAATTGTTGTGTCTTACGTAAATTTTTCAGAGCATATCCATCGAATATCACGACTTGGACACTGCAATGAAATTAGGTGAAAAATTAACACCTTTACCTTCAAGGTAAAAACATACGAGGCATATTTATCTATTAAGGTATCCAGATCTCAAAGGTCTGTCTTACAGAGGGAGGGGGTCTACACACCCTTTCCCCTACCTAACAAGAAACTTTGATGGGGTGTTCTTGATCTTCCCCTCCAAATCAACACTTGTTTTAATCCATGGTGTCCTCACAGGAATAACCAACTTCAAAGATTAAAGGAGACCAAAGAATTTGATGTCTTGGTGATTGGAGGAGGTGCTACAGGTTGTGGGGTTGCCTTGGACTCTATCACCAGGGGTGGGTACATACATAATAGCCGGAAATTGCCATTATCCACAGGGTGACATGGGTTAGAGAATGTGATTCAATCTGGGTGTGTGATCTTTGCACATACATTATATAGGTCTGAAAACTGCCCTAGTTGAGAAAGATGATTTTGCCTCAGCCACAAGCAGTAGAAGTACAAAACTAATCCACGGCGGTGTTCGATACCTACAGAAGGCTGTTTTCAATCTCAGCTATGAACAGGTTGAAAAGAGATTGGCTTTTGATTGTTTCAAAAAAAACTCTTTTCAATCTCAGTTATGAAGTCAGGTTGAAAAGAGATTGGCTTTTGATTGTTTCACAAAATCATTTCCTTGACACTTTTTTTCTCCCACATTCAGTTTAAACTCGTTACAGAAGCGTTACATGAACGTGCAAACATGTTGCGAAGTGCTCCACATTTAGCTCAACCGTTGCCCATAATGTTGCCTGTATATACGTAAGTAAAACGAAACCAAATAATTTTAAACAGAGGTAATGCTGATAATTACTACAAGGTGTAAGCTCGCGATCGCAATATTAAAAGAGGCCGCATTTTACCTCACTTAACAAATTAAAAGTTCACAGAATTCGATTATTCGAACAACAGCTACCACGTGTAGTAATGGAATCCCCCACAAAAACGATGAAATAATTTGAAACCTAGGCCAGCAGGGATAAACCGCAAATTACGTGTATTTCAAGATCATTTTCCGATCCAGAGAGACCAACAGATTGAGGTTCACACTAGAGAGTTTTGGAGAGATTCTGGCACAAAGGACAATCCACAATTTTTCCAAACCATTTCTTTTCTAGGTGGTGGAAAGTTCCATATTTTTGGACCGGGATTAAAATGTACGATTTAGTGTCAGGAAAACAACTCCTACATCGAAGTTATTATGTTGGTCAAAAGAAAGCGTTAGAATTGTTCCCAACCTTAAAAAGAAAGGATTTGTGCGGGGGAATTGTTTATTACGATGGTAAGAATGAGATTACCCAAGAGAGATATGTAGTCCACAACGAAAAAAACTCAATGAACTGTTTTTGTAACTCCAGGCCAGCAAGACGATGCTCGTATGAATGTCACTATCGCGTTAACTGCTGCGCGTCATGGGGCTAGTGTTTGTAATCATACTGAAGTAGTTAGCTTGTTGAAGAAGAAAATTACCAAAGGTAATTTGCGTTTCCTTATGAGATATACTCTTCAGGTAGTTCATTGCAGAAAGGCAGAGTTGCAAAAAGAGTTCAACCTTCCTCCGGTAGGATTTCAAATTTTGAAAACCTTCTTCAAAATGACGTTACGTCACTTAGTCAAGTGGCAACCAGCATAAAGAAATTTTCGTACATAGATGTGATCCATTAGAGTGTTCAACTTTGAACCTTCCTCACAAACCTCATTCAAAGCAAACCTTCCTCCGGGTGGTACCCGCGTACCCGCAGCTTTTTTGCAACTCTGAAGAAAGGTACATTCACTGGAGGGTAACCCCACGATTGAGATCCTTAAGGGTTCAGACACAAACTACAACAACTTATTGTAGAATACTACCTACACTGGACCACCAGATATCTTTCTCAGATAGTTCAGACACAAACCACGACAGAATAAGTCATTGTTGAATGCTACCAACACTGGACCACCACTGAAATATTCTATTATATATAACACAATGGTCGCTTTCTTTAGAATACCAGCAAGTACCAACCCCGTACATCTAAAACGATATTTTTCTCTTCCCCCTCTTCCCCCTTATATCAGATGGTGTAGAGAAAGAAATTGTGTGTGGCGCGCGTGTACGCGACCAGTTCACGCGAGAAGAATGGGATGTCCACGCAAAATGCGTGATCAATGCCACAGGACCATACACGGATGATGTAAGGAGAATGGATGATGCGTCAAGACCCAATATATGTCAGCCAAGTGCTGGTGTTCATATTGTATTACCCGAGTATTATAGGTATGATTTAGGCGATAGAATTAAGATATACAGAGGAAAGGAGAGTAAAACCCAACAACACAGGCTACATGTAGGCTAGAAAGAGCATCTTGGAAAAGGCTGAAAAAATGACGCTGTGAAGTTAACGAATGGTAAATGTATTTGTTACTCGCAAGAAAAAACTTTCTGCTTGATAAAGGATATTTTACTGTCTTCAAACAAATATATACAAGTTTGTGAACTACACAACGTTACATTTCCTTGTTTCACACCATTTCGAAGATGCTCTTTCAGATTTGATGTTAGGTTTCCACTTTAAAAGAAGCGACTGAATCTGAAATATATAAGTCAGTAAGATTTCCGTTCATTCGTCAAAGAGAATGCATCTTTCCTATCATATTTTGCTTCCACTTGTTCAACTCTTTAGTCCTCGAAACATGGGCTTTCTCAACCCAGAAACAAGTGATGGACGGATAGTGTTTCTACTTCCTTGGGAAGGTAATGCTCGAGTTTTCATTTGAAGCCATGCACTGCTGTTAGGACTGCTCTGTCGCACAATATTTCTTTAGATATGTCAAGATAAATCATGTAATAGCCTTGTCTACGCCTATAACCAAAGTCCACAACCAAAGTCACAAGTCATAACCATATAGTCACAACCATATAGTCATGCACAACCAAAACATTTCATTTATCCAGGCAGAACGGTAGCTGGAACAACAGACACACCGACCAAGTTAACTTTTCATCCAAAGCCGACGAAAGCAGAAGTTCAATTCATTTTAGACGAGATCAAAAGTTATCTAAGCGAAGATATCACAGGTATATGATATTTTTTGCTTGTACAAGCGGTGTGATTGAACTTCGACCCATTCAGCTTGCCAGCTCGAGCGAAGCTTTGTGGTTATTTCGAGGCCTTCCTTTCCTCGGTAGCAAGGTGGATCTGCGATACTGAAGACACAACACCCGCTAAAATAGCTGAGACTTTCAACCAGAAAAGTTTAGGGCATTCGTAAAATGAATATTGAAGGGGCCAGCGTGGCGGCCAAACACAATATATTTAAAAAAACATTCATTTAACACGATTGTTTTTCATCATTAGTTCGAAACGAAGACGTCCTAGCCGCGTGGAGCGGCATTCGTCCGCTGGTCAGAAACCCGAAATCGAAGAAGACCGAAGAACTCGCGAGGAACCACGTTATCGACGTGAGCGATGGAAATTTAGTGACGATAGCGGGCGGGAAATGGACAACGTATAGGTCGATGGCTTCTGACACGGTTGACGAGGCCGTGAAATGCTGCGAGCTGAAACCGGAGTTTACGAACTGTCAAACAGATGGTTTGGTGTTGGAAGGTGGGGAGGGGTACACCCCTAACCTTTATATCAGACTGGTTCAGGAATATGGTGTTGATATGGAGGTAGCTAAACACCTTACACATTGTTATGGAACTAAAGCAGTTCAGGTTTGTAAAGAGATCACTGGCCCTGGGAAAAGACTGGATGAAAGTTTTCCATATATCGAAGCGGAGGTGAAGTTTGCTGTTCAAGAATACGCGTGCACCATCGTGGATGTTCTCGCGAGACGCACACGACTCGCGTTTTTGAACGTCGAGGTCGCACGCGATGCTGTCCCACGCGTGGCCGAGATTATGGCAAAGGAACTGGGATGGAGCGGAAGGAAAAAACAGGTAAAAGAAAGTCCACTTTGGGTATCGAAACTCTGAACAGATTAGTTATTTTACGATTTTGATGGTTTTGCCAAGAAAATGTCTTTCTCTCTGAGTGTGTGGTTTGCAAAAATTCTGCATCCCTTCTAACCTCTTTCACAAGAAATCACGTCAATTTTTAACGTTGAACCATATGATTTAAAAAAAAAGACTGAAGAGTTGTTTTTCAATTCCCATTTCCAGGAAGAGGTCAAAAAAGCGGTGGAGTACTTGGAGCAAATGGGTCTGTCTTTACGGGACGAATAAAGATTGTCCTAAATTCTAAATATATTTTATATGAACCAGAGCAACGGGAAATATTGAGTAGAAAAGAGGAATGGAATATCAAAAGTGTGTGAATTTATGTACACAACTTTTACCAGTAAAACTGGTGACCGGTTTAATTGTCAAGCCATGGTATATTGTAGTTAAAACGTTTTTAAACCATGTTTGAAATAAAAAAAGCTTTCTCCGCAATTGGATACAATAGAATAGCGTAAGTTTACAAATTGATTTGTGGTTTTACAAAGTATGGAACCGTATGGTTCCAATTTTCATATTGGGATTTTGTTCTATTTGAACAAAACTCATATTCAGGCGCATCGTTTTTCATCAAATCCATTTGCAAGAAGAGCAAAAATGGTGTTAAATATTCAGAATATCAGTACATGATATTTTGAGAAATACAGCAGTTCGAATGTCAACAAAGCGTTTGTTCACATTACGGACTGAACACACCACTGTCTCTTGTAACCCGGTGTGAACACCAGATTAGTATTCAAACCTTAAACCCTAAATGTAATATGCTCGGAGATTTCATTTATTGCAATTCAATGACTCATATTCGCACTTTAAAAACACAAGATCCAGCAACAATATCTCGAATAATTTTATTACCTATTCGCATATAACTTTCAGTTGACTTTTAAATAACCAGTCAGTCGCAAAATCACGGCTTTTGAAAGCCTTTCTGACTGTGGATCTCTCACGTTTTATATAATCACACTATTCATCGTACCTCAAGGGAAGTTCAAAGCAGGCAGGATTTTTCCTTCACAACTTCCAAAACCAATCACGTACCCATCTCCTTGCGCATGCGCACTCATCACGACCTCGTCGCCATCTTGCAAGAATTTTCGTTCAACCCCCGGAGCGAGTGGGATCGTCTTTGATCCACGCCAAGATAACTCCAACATCGAGCCGTAAGATTCTGGAGTCTGGAAAATACATTGAAACGATTATCAATGAAAGTTGATCCACACTGATCCAGTTCAGTTTAGGTTTCCTCCTGTAGTAACACTTTAGAGTTTAGAGACGATCCTTACTGATCCTCTGGGAAGAACAGTTTACAACTGATAGAGTTATCCAGTATCAGTAAAGTTAGTTTAGTTTAGCTTTCCTCCTGTAGTAACATTGGATCAATAAGAGATGAGCCTTACTGGACTTTAATAGGAAGAACAGTTCAGAACTGATAGAGCTATCCATAATGAACCATGAAAGCCAGGTTCTTTTCATTAAAACAAGTTCTTAAGCATTGGATGAAATTACTGCACCACACTACACTACTCGCAGGCCTCAGCGAGCTCGGGCGTATTGGTCTTTCACAGGTACGTGACACTATGATACCAATCATAGCGTGCTTTTCCGTATGCCGAACTTAATTTGTAATACTTTTACAACGCTTTAATCTGGCCAATACTCACTGGTCCGCTGATGGTTCCAGACGCCATGAGGTCGCCAGGGCGGGCGTTACACCCTGTCACGGTGTGATGAGCCAACTGCTGTTTTGCTGTCCAGTACAGGTTCTTCATATTTGACCTGCAAACCACGGCGGGCTTGTCCATTCCTTCCGCTAGATAAACGACAAACATCACATCGCTTTAGCATAGCATAGGAAATACCACCCTACTTCAGCTGAAGTGACAGTGACAATTCACACGTAATTTGTGCATTGTTTGCAGTTGGCTAAATATACTTCAGACTCTTTCATTTCAGACTTCTAGCTTTCACTCTTACCTTTGATTCCAACTTCCAAGTCAACATTCAGGGAATATGGATCAGAATGTCGCAAATATGGCAGTGGCTGTGGATCCTGTCGAAGAAATAGCAGTGTCAGTATAACTCTATTCAAACTAATATACCCAAAGTTACAGGGGGTTTAAATACAATATAACAATAATATCAGTGTGCACCATCTATCTCACCTGAACTGGGTTAGCGACCATAAATGGCTGTAAAGCTTCCATGCTGACCACCCATGGGGAGATGGTTGTGCAGAAGTTCTTGGCCAAGAAGGGACCAAGTGGAACATATTCCCATTTTTGAATATCTCTAGCTGTACAATAAAAAATATTACCAGTGAGCTCAATATGAAACTGGAAGGCTAACTATAGTGATAACATGCCTGAAGCTGAAATGATCATTTTGAGTTCAGCTGGCCCAATACTTTAGCCCAAACATGCAGCTGTACATCAAAATTTTGAACCACAAGAAATTTCTATTCGGCATGGGCATTTTTAAGACTTCAGCATGAAGATTTTAATGGAAACTCACCACTCCAGTCGTTCATAATAACCATTCCAAAAATATGTTCATGGGCCTACAATAGATTTATAAAATAGAAATTAAGAAAAAAAAACAGCATTCATTTTCTTTTTTTTTAATTTAACACACTCACAAAAAGGATTTCCTAAAAGGTTTAAACGTATAATTATTTTGACCTTATTTGCTTGTACCCTAAAGTTCAACTTTTGTTAAAATTAAGGTTAGAATCTAAGTATCAGCTTGCTTGAACATAAATTATATTATATATTTAAACATAGTATTTGCTTATAAAGCATTGAGTATCGTAAGTGATATTTGAACATAAATTAAACGCTGAAAGTGGTTCAGTAGAACAAATTAGGGTATAGTCAATATACAATTATGATCTGGGTTGGTCTTTAAGTGATCATTTGTCTCCACCTTCATAAATTGTTCAAATCCACAATCAAAATTAATTTATAATCAAAGTATTTTGTTTTTACAATTACCTTTTGGACAGGGATTGGTTCTCCATGGTTGTTCGCAGGCCCAACAAAAAATGCCTGGGGGACAAATAATATTAGCAAAGTCAAGAGTATGGTCATGAGTCTATAAACACTACTGTTTTAATTATAGTACACAACCTTTAAAACATAACACGTACATAATTTTAAATTCTCCATTATGGACATTTTATGACAACTCACCATTTCTAACTCAAAGTCTAAAATTTTACAAGGTCCAAAAACAGGAGGTTTATCTAAAGAAAGATGTTGAACACGTCAAATTAAAAAGTCAATGAATGTTCAATCAATTGTATTGCAATTATCTTATTAAATATACATTCAATTGGATAGTTAATGCAGAACTATTTATAATTGTTCCAATAAAGGCTAATTCACTTACCATCAACCATCCTGGATTGTCCCACAGGTCGCCTGACAGGAGTTCCTGATATGACAACTGAGGAAGCCCGACCATGGTAGCCAACTGGCAAATGCAGCCTTAAAAAAGAAGTTTTGCAAGTTACAAGTTAGAAAGAACCTTTTCATAGAAAAAAGGAATTTCATGGTCAGTACCCTCTTTTATTGGGTTATATGACATAAATGATACAGCAAACAATATTCAAATTACCAATTGGGAAGAAGAGCATTTTCTTTTCCTCTGAACAGAGTACCAATATTTGTAGCATGTTCTCGAGATGAGTAAAAGTCAGTATAGTCACCTGTTGAAAAAAGCCATTTCTTTGACAAATGTCCATCAGGTTTTGGTTATAATTACTGGTTAGTGAATATACTTTAATAGTCTATTGGCCAATGAGTTGGGTAGAAGGTGGTTTATAAAAGTTTGTCAGTTGGTATAACATATTGCTTTTGCAATTGCTATGATTCAAAACTCTTTCATTTACCTATATTAGCAGGAAGGTGCATAGTCACTTCATTTCTAGAAATAAGGCACTTGGATTGCAGCTCTGCATTATCTCTTAACACACCCTAAAACCAGAAAAGCCATTATTCCAATAGGTTGATCACAATTGTCTATGTGGAACAGCTTAGATCCATTTCATCACCTGAATGGCATATTTAGTGCATATATGAGGGTTGTATACGGCTATATATGCGGCCATTTGTACCTGATCTTTTGACAGAATGGACTGCAATGTTTGACGTGTTTCATGCCATGCTGCTGAACCAAGACTCATGAGTTTATTCAATGTGGCCTGTAGGAAACAACAATAATACTGCATATGAGTACACTGAAACAATGTATAAGTCAAAATAAATTACAATAGCAGTAAAAGTAGTAAAAGTAGTAATAGTAGTAAAAGTAGTAATAGTAGTAATACTAGCAGTAATAGTAGTAATACTATCAGTAATAGTAGTAATACTAGCAGTAGTAGTAGTAATACTAGCAGTAATAGTAGTAATACTAGTAGTAATAGTAGTAATAGTAGTTAGTATAGTAATAGTAGTTAGTAGTAATAGTAGTAGTAATTGCAGTGTAGATTTGAGTTGTTAACCAATAGAGTGTTTTCATATAGGTACTTCCAATTCATATCATGCTGCAATAATTGGTATTGTACTCAAGATTTACAATTCAGATTTAACTGGAGTTGTACTTAAGACATATTAAATTAACCAAAATTTATCAAATGCCTTTGGGTTTTTTTAAATATGATTTTTTTTTAACAAATGGATATTATAACAGACTTGGGGACATAACAAAAGCTCTAGACTAAGCTTTATGAAAAAAAAATAAACAGTTTGGGGCTGCATGACCAGCACCTTAATATTAATTTCTATGGGATATTTTGCTATGATCTTAAATTTGAAATGTAAGCAAATGTTACATGCAAACTGCTAAAATTCTTGCTCAAAATTAGCTGGGTCAAAATATCAGTGGACATGCTTCAAGGATCAGACTGGCAGGAAGATTTCCCACATCACATCACATGCCCAGGGGCATTTAAACCCACCCCACCATGTCCACACCTCCAGCCTTCCCCTAGCTCAAAAAATGATTTCAAATTAGTGAAAGTAATCTAAAATTAATAGATTTGCAACCAAAAATACTAATCCCACATTAAACTCTGACGAATTATGGAAAAATAATCAACTTTCACTTCCTACAAAGTCACATACCTCTTCAAATACATGTTGTTGTGATTGCATAACCGGTCCATTGAAAAGATGTTTTATTGCTTTCAAGTCCAGCACATATTCACCTATTGCAACGCCAATACGATGGGTATTCTGTAAAAGTTAAGAGAGACAAGATATAGAACATAATTTGACAATAAAAAGCAAATTGTACATTGCAAATGTACATATATTGAGAAATACTTCGTATACAGCACTCTTTCCAACTTACATCGCTGGATGTGGAGAATACGCCATAAGGCAAATTTTGAATGGGAAAATGTGAATCAGGAGCCACAGTAATGAAAGACATCTCGAATTTTAGTGTGAAAATTCGAAGCTCTTATAGGAAGAAATTCCAACAAGAACAATAATTAGCAATTTAGCAATCTCCACGTGTTCTTCTCGTGTATGGAATTTATAAAAAAGGCCACAGCGGACCCAAAACAGGAAAAGGAAAAAAATGGGGAAAATAACCTCCTTTTGGTATGGGGGGAGGGGGTGCTCATCTGTCGAATTATCGTGTGAAAGGCTGCGCCCAACCTAAAGAGGGGAAAGTCGAAACAAGGGCTAAGCCACAGGAAAAAAGGGTAAGAGGAACCTTCAAATCGCCCTCTATAATCCATCTCTCTTAAGGTTTTCGATACAAATCCTACGTCTAATCCTCTCCGTCTTCCCCTTAATCCGATTTAGTTAGAGTAATAAATCGGAAGTACGTCAGGGCATAGCCCACCCTAGCATTTTTCTCCCCGAGAGGCAAACGTAACACTATATCGCTTTTCCTGTGCGGCGGACACCGAAATATTCTGTTTATTTTCTCAACTCGGTCGGACGGTTTCTAACAGGGAATCTATATAAGAGGATCTCTTTGCGATTTGACCAAGATACCGTGGGAGAAGATACTGTAAACTTTATAAGCTTTGAACAAAGCAAAAATGGCAAACGATCGTTGGTTTTATGCCGCATTGATTGTTGTTACAAGTGCCCTCATGAGAAGCGAAGGTGCGTGTGCTATTAAAAACATCGTTTGTTTTAATGTCATAGGATTGTCACGATATTAAAAAAATGTACACTAAGTTCAAAGAATACACTATTCATTCATGCTGAATAGTTTGCCGTCTGTTTTTATCTATGAGTTGTACGTTTCGTTTAAACGAAGAAGGTAGATTTATCGCCATGATCATACGATGGACCGTAAATTGATATCAAATGTTCTGTGTAAGATGCTTGAAGCAAAAACGCAAAAATAACTGTTTATGCAATATCCACAAAGGAGAACATTGCAAACGTATCTGCATTAAAGAGAAACTTGGAAACTAGAGTTCCTGAGCGGGAAAGTCGGGGAATTAGTCTTTATAAAAGCAGTGCGAACTAAAAGGCATTTTGTATAAACAAGGGATAATTTTCTTGCAAAGAGTCACGGAATCTTATTGAAAGTCCCCATGTATAGCCTAGATATTACTACGCAGTCGATTTGTAAGACCCAGAGGTTTGGCCTCAAGGCAAACTACGAAGGTTTGCGGCTTATTGTGCAAGGCACAGCTTTCTGCCTTGGAAAAACTGCGTGAAGCAAAACATTCCCGTCCGCTCGACATTCTTGTCTTTAAAAATCGTTATAAGGCATGCGCCGCCACATACTATATCGGTATATTACCGGCCTTTTTTGTACAATTGTTTGCTAAGATATCATCAAAACATGTTCAGTATAATGTACAAAGAAATGTGAAAGTATTTGCTCTCGTGCGATGAAAACAACGGCAAGGATTGAACAGACCGATACAATACAAGAGGACATTTGTTTGACATTAATATGTATTCATGATTTTGCCGATAATTTCCGTGGAACTAAAACTGTGTTGCAATTGTCGTTATTATTAAGTACTTTTTTTAAATCGAACTATTTCATACGATATTTAAACAAATTCTGGTAATTTGAATATCCTAAAAATGTTTTGTTTGTTTGCCGTATGTCGAGGTCTCTCAAAAGCCATCGTGTGATTCTTGTTTTTGCGGTTTTTCCCAAGTACAGTTCTTTGGACCTTTTGACTAGATCTGCGCCTTTGATAGATCACAACTTGGTTAAAATGTTGGACGTTTTATGCAATAGTGAATATTTTCAAAAAGATTTGATCAATATATGTGAATTTTTTCAAACGGGCGTTTGTGGTTTCAGAAGTGCTGGTATTCATCTAGGACAGGTATTATAGACTAAGAAAACAATTCTTTGAAGGAAACTGTGAGAATAGGAAATGAGGTTCATAACTCCGGGGATTATTATGACATGGGGGTCAGGAAATATATCAGGATTATAATCTATAAGTGGCCATGTGATTGATATAGGTCTGCTTAGGTCTGCTCAATGGTATTCAATTGTTGTACATAAAAGTTTAGCACTATAGTAAATATTGTTTTTAGCCTCCAGGCTAATCTGCCAAAAAGGTCTTTATTTTTTCCTTTCCTGTGGTATTGAAATGATATTTGACCTGGGCATTTTCATTCAAATTCATTTATCCCAAAAACCATGCATGCCCAGTTTTCTATAGGGCTGATGATCTGGTTGATAAGCTAATGATAGAACCAGTGTTTCACACCCTTCCAGAAAATATGATAATTTGGCTATTGAATTTCATTTTGTGCATATATCTGACATCCACTAACCCCAATTATGTCATAATCAGGGAAACCTTGCTTTATGCCAAGTAAGGAACTTTCTGGAAAGCATATTATTAAGATCTAAGCTGTAAACATGGGTGCAACTGGGTGTTCAAAATTCTCATCCTTATCTAACATCAGATTACACACTTAATGAGAATATTTGCCAAAGTCTCTCCTTAAAGCTCCTTTTATATGACAGAATTCCCTAATGCAAATATTGTGTTAACCCCTGTGAATGGGGATATTTAAGAAATCTGATATGGTGATGCAAATCAATCAAAAGCTGGTTTTAGATTTATTATTCAAATGGTCTGTTGATGTATGTTGTTATAATTGTTTCAAATTGTTTACGAAAAATTGAAAGTACTAAAAATAGCAAATATTTGTCATAGCAAGAAGGGCTAACTCACCAACTACCAATGCATACACGCCTAATGCTTTTATATGCTAATGTTCATGGAACAATTGTCCAAAAGCCTCCTGTCAACTGAGCCATGCCTTTACTAGTTGTAGAATTAATGAATTTAATTTTTTTTTACCTGCAATGAATTTTTTTATCTGCATTTATAGCTATAATGAAGCCAAAGGGTGAAAAACTTGTATGTCAAAGCTCATTCACAAAGAGTGGCAAATGTGAAACGAAACTTTCGTGTTATATGTACCTGACGAATAGGAATAAGGATAAGCCCCACCTTGGTTGCGTTGACAATGATAATTCACACCTATTCATGTGTAATGCTGTTCCCACAAGCAATTTTATTGGCAAATGCTGTAATGAGGATATGTGCAATGCCAAATTGAACCTGACCTTCACTTTTACAGAGCCTACAACTAAAGTACACCCTAGTAAGTTGTTTTTTGCATATTGTGTTTTTAATAGCATTTTTTAATACCAACATCTCAGTAATACCTTTCTGATATCTCTGACACCTCAATACAACACAATCCTCTCTTAAGGTCACTTACTTATACAGGCAACCACCTAATACTCAAATGGACACCTCTTTGATACACACAGATCCCCAATACAAACAGCTTGCTCATACAGACATCTCACTAACACAGACACCTCCCTCATATAAACACCTTCCTAATATAGACACATGTTTAATGTGAACACCTCTACTGTACAGACACCCCTGTAATATGAACACTTCCCTCTAATACATACATTGTATAAAGAATCTTCTTTCATATAAACAACTCTCTAATGAAAAGGCACACTTCCAATACCAGTGCCTCTCTCCAATTAGCACACCCTTTTTCAATACACTCCTCCTCTCTAATGCACACAATTCCTTGACATGAAGTTCCCACTCAATACAAACTTCACACGGTGTATCCTCCAAGTTTAGGAGAAGTTTGTCTTGCCCTCATTTATTGTAATATAAACCTTTTGTTTCAGCGGAGCAGATGACAAAAGTGGTATATGTTGGTTATGGTCGTACCGTGATCATCGCTATATGCATCTCTGCACCAGTCTGCCTGATTACTCTTGCTGTCATGCTTTTTATCTACCTAAGAGACAGACGTTTATCTATGCTTCACAAAAATCTTATCGAAAGTGATTTAGAAGTTGGGGAGAACAAAATGCCTGAATCTATCCAGGAAATTATTGAATATGATCAAACATATTCAGGTTGGTTTGAGATTTCCTGCCTTATTAAGACTATAATACTCTTATTCCTAAGATTTAAAATCATGCCAAATTCACTTCGGTAATTTTTAGTGCAAATTCCCAAGGCTTTTCTCGTAATTCATACCGTACCATGGCATACCGTACCATAGCATAGCATAGCATAGCATAGCATAGCATAGCATAGCATAGCATAGCATAGCATAGCATAGCATAGCATAGCATAGCATAGCATACCAAGTTATTTGAAGCCCGTCCCTCGTGATGTAGAAACATAGAAAAGGTTGCATATACAGTAACATTACCTACGATAACGTTTTTCATCTAACTTGGTTACATAGGAAGCGGTTCAGGTCTTCCCTTGTTGATCCAAAGGACAATTGCGAGACAAGTCGTTTTGCACGATTGCATTGGAAAAGGACGGTACGGCGAAGTGTATCGTGGAAAATGGCGAGGCGAAGATGTCGCCGTGAAAATATTCTCCACTCGAGACGAATGCTCGTGGCGACGAGAGACGGAGATCTACCAGACGGTCATGTTGAGACACGAAAACATCCTAGGTTGGTTAATTGACGTTTTTAAAACTTTTTTTAAAACTGCTCATTTAACTAATGGATAGTTTTGCCTTCATATATGCTCTAGTTAAAGATTTCTCGCGTTTTTTCCTAGGATTCATCGCTGCCGACAACAAAGACAACGGTACATGGACTCAGCTGTGGCTGGTGACAGATTACCACAAAAATGGTTCGCTTTGCGACTATCTTACCAACGTGAAAGAACTGAATGTCAACTCTATGCTGAACATGGCGATTTCCGTTGCCTCAGGACTTACTCATCTCCACATGGAAGTTCGTGGAACTAAAGGAAAACCTGCCATCGCCCACAGAGATTTGAAGAGCCGTAATATCCTGGTGAAAAATGACGGTAAATTCCTGCTTCTGAACACGTAGCTACTCCTTGCATTTGTTACGGAAAACGTCTGAATGGCATATTTGAGTATTTGGGAATATGCGAAAAACATCGCTGTCCTGTGTCCGTTTCAGTCATGATCCAATCATCAAAATATTCAATTATCTTTTCATTGTTTTGAAATAGATCGATGTTCTCTTCCATAGGTCGTGAACCCAGTGATGATAAAATTCCTTTATCTTTTCATTATTTTTATATCAATGTTTTCCATATCGTTCAGTCATGATCAATTATGCCAGTTATGATCCAATCATCAAAATATTCAGTTATCTTTTCATGATTTTGAAATATATCGATGATCTCTAGGTTATAATCGAGTGATGACGAAACTCCTTTATCTTTTCATTATTTTTATATCAATGTTTTTCATATCGTTCAGCCATCATGCCAGTTAATCATTTATGATCCAATCTTCAAAATGTTCAATTATCTTTTCATGATTTTGAAATATATCGATGTTCTCTAGGTAATAATCGAGTGATGACGAAACTTCTTTATCTTTTCATTATTTTTAAGTGTTTTCCGCACTAATTGTGTCTTTCTCTTTAATTTTGTAACTACACTTTCAAAACACCCATTTTCAACTGCAATGAAAAAGTCCTCAATGTTCCATACCGCATCCCATTCACTCAGTATATTTCCAACTAACTTTCATAATCGAGCAAATGTGTATTGTTTTTCAAAGGCTCGTGCTGTATTGCCGACCTGGGTCTTGCAGTATTTTACGATGCTGGCAGCGACTCATTTGACCTGCCTTCCGGCAGCCGTGTTGGAACGAAACGTTACATGGCGCCAGAAATTCTGGACGACACAGAACCCAAGACTTTCCACGAATTCAAAAAGATCGATATCTATGCCATGGGATTGGTTCTTTGGGAGATTGCAAGGCGATGCGCCTTCTCAGGTATGGAAATGATCGTTTATCCTTTCATATGTTGTGAAGTTTGTAGCACATTGTCTACACAACTCTATCACAACTCTATCACATAATCTTCACAACTCTATCTTAGAAGATCTTTATTTTCTTCTCCGGGGTCGAACGTTGCACGATTTTCAGACCGTTGCGTATATTTCCACAGGTAACCCGAGCGAGGAGTATCAGCTGCCGTTCTACGAGAAAGTTCAGTCTGATCCCAGCATTGAAGAAATGAAGGAGACTGTTTGTGTCGAGAAATTCCGACCGGAGACTCCGAAGACATGGGAACAAAATCCGGTAAGATACGTGCGGATAATCGTATCGGTGTTTCTGTCTATTGCATGCGTGAATTGTTACACCATCGTGGGCCAAAATTTCCAAGAAAATCGCACGAGACTTAGATGAACGTATAATAATGTACACCAACACATTTTTGTCTATTGCCATAGGTCATGAAGGGGATTGGCAAGGTTATGAAAGAATGTTGGTATGAATGCAATGCCGCCCGACTTCCAGCTCTGCGAGTGAAGAAAACTCTGATCAATCTGAGATCCAACGACCCAGTGGATGTATAAAATGAGACGGAGGAAGCCGTCGCTTGAGCGAAAGGGGATATATGTCGACATTATACTTCGCCGTCTTTTAAAGTGAACTTGATGAAGATTTAAGCGCGTGGCTGTGTTTCAAGAATGGTGGTATTTTTGAAGAGAGAGAGAATTTCTGAACAAAACAATGCAAATACTATTGACCAAGTCATATTAACCATACCCAATGCCATATAGGAAGTAGTTTTAACAGTGGCGTAGATTTAGGAGAGCTAACTCAGCCAAAACTGGGCAACCAAGGTTGCTAATGAAATACATGATCCCGAGATGTATGATAGAAATCGTACATGGATATAGGCGAAGCCTTAAAACTTTCCCCCCTATCCTAATATTTACGCCACTGAGTTTTCAGGGCACCTAGTAGCTACTAGTAGCAATTTTCGCTTGTATTTACTGCATTTAAGAAGCTAAATGTATAGTTGCACCCGCCCCTGTTAGAAACCAATAGAGAGAGAGAGAGGTGTTCAAGTGTATATATTATATATAGGTATTTTTTGAACGTTACATATATAAATTAGCTGTTATGTGTACGGGAAAAGGGGAAGTCGCGCCTGAATGTCTTTAAAAAATGATACCCAGTCGTAATGTGAACAAACGCCTTGTTTAAATTTTGGACTATTAAAGCTTCTTAAAATACGAAAAAGGTGGTTTCAAACAAGTCTTTTTGCAAGGGTTTCATATATACCACTACTGTACGTCATTCGTTTTTAGCCATTTTTGACCATTTCAGCATTGAAAATCACCTTTATTGCTTTAATAGGCTTTTTACGCACTGGGCTTACTCACAGCTACGAAGACCAAGTCCAAGGTTACCAAAGGTCAAAAGGCAAATTTTTAAGACGTGAGCGCTTCCTAATATTCATTGCCGTACTGCTAGTATATAATAGTATTTTGTTTCTTAATGTCTCTGGAAGTAGTTATATTTTTCTGTTTCGAATTTATGTCAGAACTATAGTTCTTAGAACTAAACATATTCACAAAATTATATTGATGTAAAGTATTAAACATTTCAAACACTGCTATCGTAACCAATTTAATTTCGCAAAGAATTGTATTTTGGAACCTAATCTATGTAGTTTTTCGGTTTGACAGGCCCCCATGCGCATGCGACGAATTTTTGCAACACCAGTTAAACAGCCTTGTTTTGAAAACATGATTGGTCCAGTTATATTCTTTATCGTATAGGTATAACTGCATGAAGAGCATCGACCTTGCACAAGTATCATTACTTAAAACTTATTTTTAACACACAAAGACTTACTTTCCATTTACTCTGTCTTGGCTGTCTTACTAACTTAGTTGAGTGCACCGAGTGAGTCACTTCCACTTTCAAAACTTTCATTTACACCCTTTCTTGCATGGGAACCATGGCAGAAGACTTGACCAAACAATGTGCAACCATATATGGCAACAATATCATCCACTCAAGTGTCATTTTAACCTTGATAAAAAATTAACCACATTAGATTTGTATATATAAAAAAGATTTCGTTTTAAGTGTAATTTTGTTACAAGGATGTGGTTTCACACTTTCACTGCCAGTTTGGATAAGTTTTTTAAGTTTGCCCATTGTTCGGAGTTGGATTTGAGTGGAGTAAAAAATTGGAGTTAACCTTGGGTTAAGCTAACCAGGTTTGGAACAACCGGCCCCAATAATTTTTAAACAAGCTGCAATGTGTTTACTGTAGTATCATCTGGGACCAGGGACTCTGATCCAGGACTAGATTACTTTTTGCTTTTAATGAATTAATGTAAATTAATTCTACCTGAATTAAGTTTTGTTTTCCAGGTGCATCATTTTAAACTTTAAATAACCAACCGGAGCAAATGCATCATCAGAGTGAATGACTACATCCTGTGAATCGCTGGAAAAATGAAATAAAATTTAAGACTTTTATTGAGAAGAGTTAGAACGTTTATTGCAATATAGACAGCTTGCAAAATCCTTGAAATGTATGCTGTCATGACCATTTTTGTGACCGACTGCTGTGCAACAAGTATTTTATTATATCCTTAAAAAATATCAAGGGAGAAAATCATATGTGTTGCATTTGTGTGAGGTTGGTACACCTTTGACTTTTGCCATGCTGCCAATAATTTAAAAATTTAAAACAGTAAATTGAAAAGCAAATATCCTACTAGCTATAACTTGGCTTGGCACTTCACTTACATCACAATTCTTTTCTTAAATAATGGGCAGTCCAGTGTAAATGTTTCATATTCCCCGCCCTCACCACAAACGTTGCAATCAAACTTCTCATTCTAGAAAGAAAATCATTTGTAAACAAAATAGTTTATGTCAAATGTCAATACTTACAAAAAACAAGATGTACGTCTCACAATATGCCAGGTGAAATATTTAAGTTCAGATTGATCAGACTTACAATTTTAAGAAGGTGAGAATGCATTTCAGATATGGTTTTTCCAAGATGTTTATTCGGCTCTAAACCTTCAAAACCAAGTGACAGAGTTAGAAATAGATGGCAGAACAGGGGGTGTGTGTACTCTTTTCTTAAACAACAGTCTCTGTTAGACTTAAGGTCATAAGATAGTAGAGTAAACCCAAAATATGTTTCACCTACCCATTGTGGCAACTTTAATGATAATGGCACTAATTTGTGAATTAATCATCTCTTTGAGAAGCTTTTTCTGATCTCTCTCCCAAAGATAGGCCAAAGAGATTAGACCCAGACGTGAACACCTGAATTATAATAAAACCCATTAAATATTGCTGCCATTTTCTCTCTTTTGCTACCAAGTATTGCGTAACTTTTTTTTTAGCGAATGAGTATTGTCAGCTATTATACATACATGCAGAGGACTATTTTCAAAATGAAAACTATAACCATACAATTCCTATCACACATCTTAAGGGTACTAGCTGAAAGGCATTCTAAAGAAAACCCTTTAGAAAGTCTCTGGCTTTGTTGCAACCCTACAGTTTATTCACTTGGAAAAATGCAACTCATAGGTGCTCAAACAGAAACAAAACTCGCAATTCCAGTGTATATACTGAGAGCTTTATGATTGAGAAACTTACACATTTTCAACTCTGACTTTTTGGTAATTAGATAATATTGCACCAGATGAAACACCCTCGATATGGACTTCAGCCTAAAAGATCAATGTGGAAAAAAAACCATTAGCGAAGCCAACTTTTGCACATCCAATAATGATCGCTTGAGTTCATTCACATAGTAAGCATAAAAGGTAGTCTTCATATTCAAATGGAGCGGACTTTAAAGAAATATTTAAAGATGGTAAACTTTGTGAGTTTTCCAAAGCACAGATACTCCATTACTTACCATAACCTCTTTTAGCAGCTCATACAAGTCTTCAACTTCATCTTCATTATTGACAATGTAGTCTTTGCCCTGTTCAACAGGACTTCCTTGAATTGTACGTCGAAATAAGGGCAAGTCCATGGCCTCGGAGTAAAGCTCTATTGCATCATGACCAACGGTTTGATACATGTAGCTGTCCATCTCATCTGGCAATACAAATTGCATTAAAACAATGAAGTTCTGTCACAAAAAGGCATTCTTTTATTTTATTTCTCCAAACTTTGATCCAGGGGAGCCAGTTTTGAAGGACTAATACACCATTTTTTGTCCCTCCCAAAAGACCCTGACCATGCACCTAAAAATTTCCAATATCCCCTCTAAATGAAAAACAAGAATCTCAAGTTCAATAGAGACATCCACATTAACAATACTCCCATATGGAAAATATGACAGACATGCAATGCTTGTGAGCTTAGAGCAGTTCAAAAATTTAGACACAAAATGGGTAGATTAAAAATTGCAACACATGCTGAGGTTTATTTAGACACGATCGACGGGTCACCATCTTTAAAGGGACAAACACGTGTGTGCATGTTGTAATCAAATAAAACAATTGTAACATCAAACGATGTGCACTGAGATATATACATAACGTGAACTTATTCAAGCAAACCATACTTCGTAAGGAAGTGTAACCTCTACGCTATAAACACACCTGTATTTTCCGGCGGTTTTAGGTTAGCTAACGCCACTATTTCGTGGCCATGAGCAACACATTGCATCATGTTGTAGCAACTGTCCTTCCCACCGCTATAAAAACGAAATAAAACATATCTAAGAGCTAGAAATAAGCCAAACAATCCAGTATAAGATAGGGAGAGATGTTTACCTCACTAGCGCCACGACTTTCATAACTTAAGAAGGGAAAAATTGCAACGAAGGAACGTGAAAAGAAATCACATTTTAGCAAGAAATTGAAAATACCTCCATAACCTCCATCACATCACGTGAATCGCTGTCGTCCCAGTTCCTTTTCGGTTGACACGTAACGAAACGATCCCAACAAAACGAACGCATTGAACACGAACGCTAAACGGGGTGAGTTCTTCCCATAGCCAGTAAAGGCCAGTACTATTTTACACATTTCACAATTTTTGCTTAGATTCTAGATCAGATGACACTTTCTTTTTTAGATGGATGTGAACGATTGAGAAGTAACGGATGTTCAAATACGGGCACTTATTTATCAGGGAAATGAGAGCACTCGTAACTCTTCGCTCGTTTACATCTATCAAAAGACGAGTATCGCAGCAAAACTAAGTAAATTTCCTGGTTTCTATATTAGAGATATTAGCAATCTGAATTGATCAAAATCTTAATTGTAAACCTAGCCTTACACTAACACTAACAATAAAGGATTATTAGATTAAGGATTAGATTTGTGGATTCTAGACATAGATTAAGTAATAAATGGCTTTACTTCAAAAATATCTTCATAACAATTACAAAACACTTTTAATCGTACTGTGTCGTACATTACATTTACAGTTGAAAGATTGGCAGTTGTTATAATGATAAATAGTGCTGATCACTGAAATTAAATCGTTCTAAGCTGCATTAGCCGTCTTGAAACAACAGTCAACAGCTAGTGCAAATTTCGAATTCTGTTCTGCTATCAATTTAAAATGAATTCTAAAAAAAACGACCTTAAAAACACGAACAAACACTATTTTGAAACTGCCAATTTTTCAACAGTAATACTGTACAGCACCACCTAAAAGTAACCGCGTTTTTGGTGAACACGTTACAACCATAAAGTAGGTTGCTTCTGTGTGGTACTGTACAGGCCAGATAGTCTTTAATTACCAAATTTTAATCACGTGGCACGAACAACTGTCTGACATTAATATTTTGCGGTGGATTTTATCATATAGCAATGTGTATCTAAGTTGAATTCATATTAACTGGCATTTACAACATTCTGGCTCTAACTCATGACGCCAAATACGGGGTTATGACGGCAAATACTTGGCCCGATTTCGTCGTATTGGGCTTTCGTGTGACATACAGAATAGAATTCAGGCTGTAAAATAAAAGTTGTGTACTTGTTAATAACAGAATAAAGGTTATACTCCTTTTTGACTATTTATATACTTGTTTTAATGTATTAAAACGATTCTATGCAAAGAGGTTTGCACTAACTACCTTTCATATGAGTTAAAATATTTTCAAATACTTACAGTCGAAGCAAGCATACTACCACCAAACCAAACTGCATATCGTTGCATGTGATGAGTAATAACTTGGACATCCACTGGTTTGGGCTAAGATGAAGTAGAAAATTAATACAGCAATTTAAATTTTGGTATGGTGTGGTTTGTCAAGTTATGCGATGGTATGGCATGCTATATTAAAATGTGGTAAATTGAAGTATGGTATGGTATAATATGGTCGGTATGGTATAATATTGTGCGGTATAGTATAGTAAACTGTATTCTATGGTACTGTACGCTATAATAAGATTACTAAGATATGATATGTTAAGGTATGTGCTATTCTTTGGTATGCCAAGCCATGCTATGGTATGGTATAGTATGATATATGCTATGCTATATGCTACACTGTATGTTATGCTATTATAAAATATCCTAGAGTTTGATGTGGCATGGCTATGCTATGGTAAGACACACCGCATCCTAGAGTAAGGTACCGATATTCCAATATAAGAGTACTGTATTCTATCGTAAGCTATAGTATATTGAGTTGCAAGGAAAATCTTTATAATCCCTACCTTTATACGTCCACCACTCAGTTGCTCGCTCAACTTGAGACGAGAATCAACAACTCTCTTCACATCGCGCTGGAGACGACGGCCAAAATCTCGGAACATTGTAGAACCACCAGACAACACGATATTCTTGAAAAACAAATACAGCTGGTCAAAACCTACTGTGTAGCCTTCACGCACATGTACTGTAACACGGACAAATTTAGGGCGATTGACAAACCCACTAACGCGATAGTGCTACACGCGATTGTCCATAGAATTATCCATGAACAGCGTAGAAATAACGTAATGTTCGAGTTGTGCGTTGTTGGCAATATCAGAAGATGTTATTTCCAACCGTAGGATACAACTCGGAATTGATATAGCACAAACAAAACGAGAATAATTGGCAAAAGATCCACAATTATTCCTCTGCCGCTGTGCTTGATCAAAATAAACACTATATAAGTACTCATGCAGTGCATGCCGAAACACTCTACAAAGTACAGTACCAACCTTATACAATGGTCTTCTGACATCGATTGGACAGTTTTGGATAACGGTGTCCACGATTTCTGAGATTGGTGTTGTGAAATCAGGATTGGAGAACTAAAGGGATGTCAATCAACGACTATTTTCTAACGGATACTTCTAGTCGTTTGGTTTCGTTAATCGTATTATCCTTAGGAAAGGGGAGTAAGGGCATGCCCCCTCCCTGTTGAATGATTTAAACCTCCCTCCACACAAAAATTCAGAATATAGAACTTCATCATACTGTGATTTTAACAATCCAAAGCATTTAGAAGTAACTCTCGCTGATGGCAGAGGGAGAGAAGTGGCACTCTTGTTTAGACAAATCTTAAACTCTACAGGGGAAAATGGAGGTGCAACCCCCAATGCAAAATTCGAGTACCTACTAGAAAAATCAGAATACGAAATCCAATTTAATTGGCAATGATGGTGAAATCTAGGGGGCTAACCCTATACTAGACACAATTCTACACCTGCTTTCCTCCACTACACACAGTAAAAGAAAGAAACACAACTGTCCATATATCACTCTTTTGCGCTAGAACCTCACCTCTGGATGGAAAAAGATTTCCGGTCCTAAGAATCTTTCATAACCAACATCAACGGAGAATTTCTAAAATAACAAAAGTACGCAATGAAAGTCATAACTTCATTATAGGCACTACTAAATGTTACTCCCCAAGGGATTCAGATGGTATATTTTTAAGACTTAAATCCGATCTAAAATTGTGTTTCTCTTTTGGGCAGTATAAGTATTTTGTATGCGCATATTGACCTGTTTATTGACAGAGTTCATTCCCTCAAATTTCTTCATCCACTTGTCGGGGTCTGCGTCGTATTTGGCAAATTCCTTGGCGACATCAGGACAGATGTATCCCCAGCGTTCCTATAAAGTAATGCAAAAGCGTTGTAATGTATCTGACTGGGTACAGTGATGGTTTTAGTCGGACCTACATCAGACACTAAGTCAGCAATGTCGGACACTAAGTCAGCAATGTCTCAGTCATGTGTTGTTGGTAATACTGGAACGTGGTACTCCCAACCGTAGGATACGACTGAAACTTCATGTAGCACAAGCTTACGCGAATAATAGGATAGGATTCCACAATTATTCTTCTGCCGCTGTGCAATAGGAAACATGATCATGCTATAACACATTTTATAACGCATGTGAAGGCTATTTTTAATGGGCAAACGAGCAAACAGCTTTGAATGCTTGGATGTATAAGTGCCCTCATTTGAACATCCGTAACTGGTCCACTCGTTCGCATTCATCAACAGGCGTTCCCACTATTGTCATATGTCATGAGCACTAGTCTTTCATAGAGCTGTAGTATGTACCTTTATAGTCTTAGCTGTATCCAGAGACTGTTCTGGTGGGATTCCAATCTCTCGCTCCCTCAAGATCTGTTGTACAAAGTATGTGATGTCTCGTCCAGCAATGGGAATATGCTTGATACAGCTGCCAATGACATAGCCTTCAGCCTATATGCAAGAGAAATGGTTTAAACCAGTGTTAAAACTGTTAAGAATTATTCTTACTCTTGAGAAACATAGCCCTATGTACTTTACTTTTTTTAGAGACACAAATCCTTATCTTAACTTCATTATTAGAATAAACACTAATCTTAAAGCCTATTGCCACACAAAAAGTCTTGAAAAATTAGTCTTGAACATACCACTGGTATCACATGGGTGACACCATCACCAGAGTCAATGACGGTACCAGTCAGAGTTCTTTCACCAACTTGACGGGAAGTCCAGGATGCGGCCAAAGCAAGCACAGCCTAGATTTGGTGATAAATGAAAGGAATTACACTAAATAACAACATGACTACCACCACTCATAAATTATGCAATCAACCATGTACACTCTTTAACGGTTCAATCTTTACTCAATATGTCTGTTGCAGCGGTTTGATTTGTATAATGTGATTGTCAGCACATTACAACCGTAGATACAACTGCATTTTAATATAGCACAACAAAAACGGAAATAAATTTGTATGAAGGCAAATTTCTTTCCCTGCCTGTCATGCAAAATATCGAAAAAAAATCCTTGTCTTTAGGTGGAACCTTGCTGGTTCTTGTAAGCTTGATTAACACTAGTTAAGATTTAGTTTTAACCAACTGGTGTTTGCTTTAAAACTTTGAATGTTCAACTTTTTTCAGGTCTCTCAAAGTTATATACAAGATTAGAAACCAGTGTAACATTTGAACTGTAGATCTTATTTTATGTACCACAAGGGACTGCTGCCTGGCAAATATCAGAGAATAACGTAGATGCAAATCTGGTAAACAAAGTGCTCTTACTTGTACTGCAATGTATAAACCAGGGACATTGAAAGATTCAAACATGATTTCTATAAGAAATAAAAAAAAACAACCTTATGCACTTGAAAAAAGTTCTGCTGTTTTTGCAAGTGTTTCCCAATTATATATTGAAATCGATCGAAAAAGGGTGCAAAAGGTGCAGGGGATACCATCCCTAGACAATTTTACACCTCCTAACAGAATTCAGCTTCCCCCGAAAAATATACCCCTTAGAAAGATGATCCTGCATTATCTGCATTTGACTGAGCCTCTGGCATGAAGATTATTCCAGACTCATAAACATAGAAATGTTAGGATATAGTGAATACTCTTCTGGTTCTAAACTACGGTCTAGGTGTCACTCCTGTAGTAACAGTGGAAAAACATGACATTCTCATCACTGGGCATACAGCATGTCACAGGTAAAATTAATAAAACCTTTTTAATAACTTATCCATTATTATAACATAGCTTTAATTACCAGCAGTGTATTCTCTGTTTTCTGGAGTATTTAAAGGTGGCTCAGTCTAAAAAAAAAGATTTACATTTTAACAATAAACTCATGAAATGTATTTATCACAATGTAGAAAAGCTAAAGTTACCAGTAAGAAATAATGGTCTTCTGGTTCAGCACGAAGATACTTGAATATACACTGTTCCCAAAATCTCTCCTAAAAATAGGTATTGATGAATATTTGTAACAAGAAATTGAGGTTTTGTTGTAAAAGTTTGTGAAAAACTTAAAATGAATATCATACCATCAGATCCCAATCTTCCACGATGCCATGACGAATTGGCCACTATAAATACAAAATTTATTGAGATAAAAATCAATATTAAATCAATATCTTAGTACTTCTAGATTTCAACCAATAAATTGCTAACGTGCATAGACCTTATGCAGAATTGCATTTTGTATAGCATAAATGTTTGTAAAAAGCAATAGAGGTTTTTCATGGCAGCCATTCCTGTGGTCAACTTCAAAGTTCCCACAAGGAACATGCATACATTAATAAAGGCGGGATTTTGAAGTTGACCACAAAGATAGCCGCCATGAAAACCTTTATAGACAACAGCTAAATAATGGGTATACAAACCTTTGTGCTGTATTGTGGCTTTTCAATTGCTTCATCTCCAATATAAAAATCTAAACCAAGTGGAGATACACTTTATCAATGTACTCTATGTTCTCTCTCTTTGCAAAGACAGATATGGAAGAAATAAATCAGGCTAAACATGCAGTTATTAATACATCTCATTGATCTCAAAAATAAAATAATTTCACTTTAAAAATACAGTTTAATAAAATGATAAAGTTGCAAGAAATCCCAATAAACAGGATTTCAATTCCATCATTAGTCAAAGCTTATGATTCTAACAGGATATTACATTTATTTTTATGTCAATTAAATTCGCCTCAACTTCATAGATTTTTATGAAATCAAAATTTAACTGTACATCTTGGAAAGAAAATAAATTCAAACAATAGCCAATTTTTTTCTTTAGCAAAAATAATTTTTTCCACACATACCAAGATCTTCAACACCCTTTGTTGTTCTTCGTTGACTTTTGTCACCAATTTTGGCAGTTTCCTTTATGGCTATGGCTAAAAATTGAATTTTGCTCTTGTATTCAATCTGTTTATTCAATCTGTTCATTCAAAAACATTCAAAATTCCATTGCATCTCACAACTTACCTGATGGCATAATAAACTGTGGTTCAGTGTTACCAGCATAACCCATTTTTGTATACCTAAATTTCGTATTTGAAACAAATTAGAACATTAGCCTTGGATTGGAGATAATCTACCTGGCAACAGCTCATGATCTCATTAAGACATTTTATCACAAATTAGCTGCTAATTAAAGGGGGATTTAATCACTTTTAATTTGTATATAAGCGGTATGTATCTACTCAAGGGCAAATTTGGACCATGAATACTACATTATGGAGGCATGTTGTGTTTTTTAATCTTCAATATTATATCAACACACATATCAACACACATGCACTTTAACGTCATTTCGTAGCCCCCTTCCCCAAATTAAGACCATGCCTTGCCACCGCTAATTATAGTCTTCAGCCAGCAGCAATGTTTTCAGTGTATTTTGAAAAGTTGGAAAAAGTTTTGGGAACAGAAATATGCTTGAAATATCACTTATATTATGCTCACTTTCACATGTCAAACCTTGAAGTGTGCACATTGAGTTTTTGAGAAGGGTTCGGCCAATAAAATCTGAGTCCTGAGGCAATTAAAATGTTTTGTAGGAAAACAAAGCAAAATTACTTTTTCTCCAGGATTATCTGCTATTGCAATGGCAATAGATATATCTAGTTGTTTTGGTATATTAATTAATAAATTGACTATACGGAACGTGTTAATAGAAAAATTCAGTAAACATAAACTAGTTGTCTGGACTTTGGGGTGTTTCGGCCTTTGCAAGAATCGCTAAGTTTATAGGTGTTATATACAAATCTACACGCGGAAACTACAGTTGAAAAAGCTACAGCACTTGAAATACATATTAAACATCGCAACAAACAGCTGGAAAACATGCTATGCAAGCACGCAAAGCAAGAAATAAACTTTTAGGGAGTTCATTATATCCCCGGAACTTGGCAAAATGAACAAGAGCATTTGACTTACCCAGTTCCATTGTCGATAACACAAGCAGGAAGCCTGCCCTGAATAGACATAGTGGTTGAAGAATTCTGTCGGCTTATAACTCCGTGTTCTTATTGAAAATAGCGTTGTTTTTCGTGAGATATAAAGGTTGAAACTTCGAGGTTATCACAGGCGGAAGCCAGACAGCAAGATGGCGACCAGGACGATTGGGGAGGATCCGGAGCACTGCATTCTGGGTAGACAAATATGGCCTCCAATCCTCACGAAGACTCAAACATTTCCTTTCAAATTTAACTGTAATTAAATCCAATTAAAGTCATTTTTAAGCGTTCCTTTTTAAGTACCCTTAGAGAAGGAAGTGCGCTTTGGAACATACTTTTAACAATGGGCAAATGGGCAATCTTTCGTTCCTTTCATTGTTTATTTTCGCACGAATCAAGAGTTGTCAAAAAAACTAGACCTAGTTCTCTCACTCGTTTCAGTTTTAAAACTTTTTATTTCTGAAAGAGAAAAGCGAAACGATTTTCTTACCTTATAAAGTAATCGCTCCTTAGGATTGTTTATATAAATGTCAGCACATATTAGTCGTCTAAGAAAGAGTGCTCAAAACTATTTGAATTAGTACATTTTAAAAAAGTACGACGAAAGTAAATGTTTGCCTTGGTACATTTTGAGGAAGTTTTTCGGGGTTTTTTTCGGGTTTTTTTTGCATGTCGTGCCCGCGCATTAGACATCAGACAAGCAGATTATTGAACAGAAATTTGAAGGGACTCTTTCGTTTCACACGAAATTCTACAATCTGTTACACGCGGTTACACCATACAAAGGGTAGGATAGTTACCAGGTTAGTTACTGCGGCAAGGGCGTCAACCTACAGACGGTTCGGGCGACCAGTCACTGATTTCATTCACCAGCGTCAACTTTTCTTCTGCGAATATTCTAACCACAACCACTTCAATAAACTACAGTACTTTTTATAGACTCTTTTTTGCGATTTTGCATTCCTTTTCGCCTAAATATTACCGGGTTTGATTATAACATCGAATATTTTATTCGAAAGCAGAGGTACAATCAATCCAAACTCCAAAGTACGTAAAAAAAATTCTTGTACGAAGTTTGTAAATATTTTTTGGCCATTCAGGATTGCATCATGTTTGCCTTCAGAATATGGGTTGGTTAGGGTATGCTTTATCTATTTATGCGTATCACTTCTACAGGGAACCACTTCCAAACTGAAAACAGCACAAATATAATTTGTATTTTTTACATATTGAGTCGTACACCCGTACTGACATCACGGAAGAAGAAACAAGACCCTTGTTTACACTGTTCGTTTTAAACAAAGCTTTGAAATAAATTTTCGTTGCGTATAAGCGATAAAGCGAAGCTTACAACCAATTTTAATATTGGATTATAACCAATTTTAACATGGGATTAAATTACTAAGGTTGCCTAGTGACCCTGCCGCATCAATGAATTTGTGTGTTTAGGTTGACGTTTAGTATAGAAGCGCTATAAATTACAGTTATCTCAGAAAAATATCGAGTTTTAAAACTGGTTTAAAAGCCGAATGAGGCGCGTGTTCTACGAGGGGCGACCAAACACCGATGGTCAAGTATTTTGGTTCCAAGACAGCCGAACTGGCTGTGAAAAACAGACGGTTTACTTTGAGAGGATTAGACAACTGGACTCGGAACTTATTACGAAGGAACAGAAGCATCTAGTGAGCGCTATGGAGCGGTTGAAACAGCTAAAATATCCCAGGCGAAAGCCTTTCGTGTTAGACCGAAGTTTGGGACTTGGCGGGAACTGTCGACAAAATCCGAGAGGCGAAAAATCGGAGGACAGGCGATTTGCACTTCGTATTAAGGGGAAAACAGAGCTGTCTTTGAATGCGAAACAAATGGAGATTTGTGTTGAAAACAAGAGCGATAGGCAGTTATTAAGACCTAAAACTGACAATCTAAGTAGAAGGTTACGTCCCATAGAGGACGATATAAAAACAACGTCAAACGGAAGCCAAGAAATCCCGCTGGATTACAACCTATCACGGATAAGGTCGAACGCTGGATTTAGCAAGAGGGGAATCCAATCACGTCACCGGATACTAAATATTCCCGGGACTAGAAGATGCACAAGGGAAGTGCCTGTATGCGATGTGCTTTTTCCAAGTCTACCTTGCATACCGAACGTAGGATACAAGACAAATATCGAGATTGAAAACAAACTGAGAATATTAGAACTGGCTAACGGCGAATTTCAAACGTGCGGCCTTTCAAATGCTTCCAGAAGAAGGACTTGCGAGAGACGATGTGAAACGAAAGGTCGCCTGTTAGGAGGGGATTTCGCGAAACAGAGCGATGCTGAATCGCCGCCTTTGCCAGATATTCTAGACGAGATGTCTCCACAAAAGGACTGTAAAAGTGAGGTGGAGATTGAAAGGTCGGAAACACAACTAATGGACGAAAAATGTGATGTTGAATCGCCAAGCACGGGCGATGCAAGACAGCCTCCTCCACCAACGAGGGTAAACTCGCAAAAGTCAACTCCAGAGACAAAGAGTTTTAGGGATGATCCGTTACCAGTCACTATAAAGGTGGATTGAAGTACATAACACTATAGTTAACCATGCAACAGAATTACTGGGAACTCGCAAAACTGTTTCACAACGTTTCGTGATTGTAAATTAATAACCTCAACATTTGGCTTCACATTCAGCGAACTCGATACACCATTGATGCCTTTTATTTTTTTTCGACTCTTGGGCAGAAAGAAATGCTTCACGCTAAACGCTGCATGCGCTGTATATGACACTGAAGCTATTGAAAACCACTATATATAATTGAAGCAGAAATTTCAAGATTTTAGGTAAAAGGATAATACATAAATAACTCTCGAAAATTTGCCGGTTCCTTTGGCCTAGCGACAGCTGCTTTGTATCTTTAAATATTACACCAAAATTTTGAAATTTCCACCCAATTTTCAATCACTCCAGTTTATTTATTATCCGCTGTTGAAAGAACTCTTTAGGTCCATTAACACTTGTAATATTTGCTGCGATTTAATGTGCAATTTTCTTCTTTTGATAGATGTGAACGAGTGAATTAGTCACGGGTGTTCAAATAGGAGCTCGTGCACATCGGAACATTCGTGACTAATTCACTCGTTCACATCTATCAAAAGGAGAAAATCGCAGCAAAAATCGCAAGTGTAAACGGGCCTTTAATTTAAGCAGTGCGTGTGTACAACTGTACAGTTAAAGAATGTCAATGATAATGTTATGTCCCAGTGATATTTCAGTATAAATGTATAATATCACACTGCATGTGCAAATGTTTTTATTTTACCGTACGGTCGCCGTATATGTCGAGAATGCAGATATCAATTTGTTGTCACCTTAACCAAACGTGAAATTAAATTCGTGTCCAGGATATCCTCCGGCCTGGCGTCGTCCACCAAAGTTCGGAAATCCACCTCCAGCGCCGAAGAAGGCCTGGAAAATCGTGTTCGGATCGAAATCTATGAAACGAGAAAAAGATGGGAATTGATTACCACAATTACAATTTTTATTTGTGTAAGCTGTTCTTCCTAGAAGTCCAGTAAGGATCATCTCTTATTGATCCAGCGTTACAACAGGAAGAATCTCGAACTAAGCTAACTCTATTTATACTGGATAGCTCTATCATTTCTAAAGTGTTCTTCCTATAAGGATCATCTCTTATCGATCTAATGTTACTGCATAAGGAAACCTAAACTAAACTAACTCTATTTATACTGGATAGCTCTATCAGTTCTAAACTGTTCTTCCTTGAGGTCCAGTAAGGATGATCCAGCGGTACTACAGGAGAAAACCTAAACTATGATAATCTCTCACGGATCTTGTGTTGCCACAGGAGAAAACCTAAACAAATACTTTAACCTTATTTTCGAACTATAGAATACCTGCAGTCGAGAAACTATTTCCATCGATATCTTCGCCTCGGTCATATCTCGCTTTCTTCTGTGGATCTGACAGCACGCTGTACGCCTCGTTCACCTGCAAATAACAACATCCTGTTAGTTAGTCAAGTTTCTTAGTAAATCAAGATATCTGAAGTCATAATACACACAGAACCTCTTTGAATAACATTTCCTCGTCCTTTTTAACTTGATCAGTCGCCCCAGAATGTCGATCTGAAAATGATCGTCAATGATCAGAAACAGCTGGTGAAAGATGCACGGAGTGCATATATATACATATATATATATATATATATATATATATATATATATATATAAATATATATATATATATGTCTTCTAAACCCTGTCTCTTTCTGCTATCAACTCATCCTCATCCACACTTTCAATCACACCAGGCAACCATACCACTATACTTCTTAACTAAATCTCTCCATCCACTCTCTCTCTTTCCACTCGCTCTTCTCAACCATAATCATCACTCGACCCAACTTCTCCGATCTTGTTCCCACCACTACACCCTCTTCCCAACCTCACCTTCCACCTACTCTATCCACACCCCATTCTCCCCCCGTTTTGTCTAAAACCCCACCCCTCCATCCGTTCCTCCTAAGCCCCACCGTTCTACCTTCTCTCCACCTATTTCTCCACCCACTCTCTTCAACCCTACCTGGATGATGTTTCAAAGCTTCTCTTCTGTAGGCCTTCTTCACCTCTGCGTCTGAACAACTCTTTGACAACGACAGTATTTTATAATAATCTTTCCGTTTACTTTTCTTTAGCTCAAGTTTAGCCTCTTGAAGCAACATCTTATGCTCTGTTCAAAAAATAAAAATCCAGCTGAGCACATGAGCTATCATCACACGCTAACCCACGTAAACTTTCATTGGATTTCGAAGTGAGTTGGAGAGAGTTTACCCGTTCAATTTTTGTTCTCGTTTGACCCAGGGGATGAGAATTCATAAAACTTTCATGCAAATTCCTGTTTACCCAAAGCGAAAAATCTCATGATGAAGCAATAACACACCTCTGGATCCATTCATTTTGCAGATTTTTTCATAGTCCCTGACTGCTTCCTCGTACTTCTCCGTTTCCATGTAACTGTTATTGGGATAAATAAAAACAAATTATCGTACATTAAACCGAGAAAGATATCTCAAACGTGGTGGTTCAGTTTAGGTAGTATTCTACAATAAGCTGTCGTGGTTTGTGTCTGAACTACCTGAAGAGGATATCTCAAACGTTGTGGTCCAGTGTAGGTAGTATTCTACAATAAGCTGTCGTGGTTTGTGTCTGAACTACCCGAAAAAGATATCTCAAACGTGGTGGTCCAGTGTAGGTAGTATTCTACAATAAGCTGTCGTGGTTTGTGTCTGAACTACCCGAAAAAGATATCTCAAACGTGGTGGTCCAGTGAAGGTAGTATTCTACAATCTAAAAAATTCACTTATTTCAATTCCTCATACCATTTTGCTCGCTTTATGTAAGCTTTTAAGTAACTTCCATCCAGATTTATTGCTTCAGTGCAGTCATCTACGGCCTCTGTCATCATTTTCAACTACAGCAAAAGACGGCAGGTTGATTACTCGAAACATAACGTTATCCTGGGTATGAAATAAGAGCTTTCAGAGTGAGCTCAAAGACGACTTGTTAAGATATTTCACAATACCCGGGATGCGACGACACCTCTGTTGTAAAATAATTTTGCACACGTTGAAACGTTGTTTGGGTCAATTTCTAGAGCATTGGAATATAAATCGTATGCTTCTTGGAATTTTCCCGTTTTGTAAGCTTCGTTGCCATCGTCTTTCGTAGACTTTAATAACTTTGCTTTCTGTTTTAAACGAAATAAAATTGTTTTGTATCGTTATAAATCTAGTTTGCTGTCTGTTCTGGAAAGCTCTATCAATTCTTAAAGTTCTGTTCTTCCTAGAGGTCCAGTAAGGATCTTCTCTTATTGATCAAGTGTTACTACAGGAGGAAACCTAAACTAAACTAACTTTATTTATACTGGATAGCTCTATCTGTTCTAAACTGTTCTTCCTAGAGGTCAAGTAAGGATCATCTCTTATTTATCCAGTGTTACCTACTACAGAAGGAAACCTAAACTAAACTAACTTTATTCATACTGGATAAGTCTATCAGTTCTAAACTGTTCTTCGTAGAGGTCCAGTAAGGATCATCTCTTATTGATCCAGTGTTACTACAGGAGGAAATCTGAACTAAACTAAAAGAAAAATTACCTTTCGTATCGCCTTTGCCTTTTTATGATCGGGATCTATTTTCAAAGCACTGGTGAAACACTGAAATGCCTCATCTTCGTAGTCCTAAAAATGCACATTTTTTAAAACAATGAAATTTAATGACCCAGGATCAGGATAGTGGAATTGTACAGGGGATTTGTCGTACAGGAGATTGAAATGGGCTGGGCCAATGGATGTAAACCAGGTAACAGGGGTGATTCTTTGTACAGGGGATGGGGAGGAGTTTCTACACAGGGTTTTCCATAGGAGTGGTAATGGTAAGGAATGGGTATTGTACACTAATTAGGAAGGATTGTAAAAGAAAAAACACAGGTAACTTATACTGTTGAAAACATGTGATATTTTGAAATACTGTTCTACACCCCCACTTCATGGTAGAGGAGAAGGTTAAAGATTGTGAGATGCTGGTACACAGTTAAGGAAGCACTATAGAACAATAGGATATGACAGGTGTAAACCTCACCTGATAGTACAGACACAGTCCTCTGACATACAATGCATCTGCATTTCTGTTATTTTCTCTTAGCATCGAGCTAGGAATTGGAGACAAAGATTATTATCACAATAAAACAATATCTCACATCATCCCAAGGGAATTTAACACACATTCATTTTGCATTATAAACCATAGGTAAAACTACATACATAAGTTTCTCCCAATCTAAATCGAAAAATCAAAATGTCATACTTTGCCTCAATTTCAGCTTCAGTATATTTCTTCATCAAAGCAAGAGATTCTGCTCTCAAAACTTTGTAAAGATCACAGTCTGGCGACAACTCTAGTAAACGTCTTGTGCAGAAAACCACCTGGAAACAATTGTACATGATTATGATGAAAGTTCAACATTGTTTCCTTGACAAGCTAGGTCATTATACATACATTTAATTTAATTTATGTAGCAGCACTCTATGCCTCTGTCTCAGTCAAATAGTGTTACTGTATTTTACATAGACTAAACATAAAACTTTAAGTAAAAGACATAATGCTCCTATATAATCAAAATGCAAATGTATTCACTACTATAAGCAAAGATGTTAATCTTGTTTTGCATTTGATGCCGTTACAAATCTAATGTGAAAACCTGGACAACCTTCATATGCTAAACATATATTCAATTAGAGCAAAATTGCACAAACCTTCCGATAATCTTTTTTATCATGAGCCTCGAAAGCTGAAGCTTCAAATTGTTGAATCTGATGGACCCTTGAATACTAAAACCCATAAATATATTTTAATGTGTGCAAAGAAATGTGTGCAACACTCTTGCTTGCTAGCAGCTCAGTGGGAGTCCCCTCAGGGCATATAATTTCAGGCTGCTGGCAAGCTAGCAGCACTCTAATGGACATTAAGATGATAAGATCCAGGCATAACTACGAGGTAAGATTTAAATCATTGCAATAAAAAGGGATTGTTGTACCTCATTGGCCAAAGTTTTATTGTTCGGGTCAATTTCTTTTGCTTTTCCCAAAGCTCGTTCAGCGGACTCGGTTGAGCCCTGAGCAAGATTGCATCTTGCAATCCTGAAATATGCCTGTAGGAAGGCAAGATAATCGTTTTTAGGGAAGAGAGGTGGCCTTAAGAGTAATGGTTTAAAAAAGACCATTGATAACAAACCTATAGATTAATAGTCTTGTATGTTTGCATGGTGACATCAAATAAGTAAATTGGCTTGTAGGTACACCACATAAGTATTTATTACTGCAAAGCTTTCGCTCCATTAATCCGATGCACTGATGAATGCCCAGGTTAACAGAAGGAAAGCTTCGCAGGAATAAATACTTATACATATGTGGTGTACTATAAGCTAATTTACTTAACCTATAGATTATAACAGAAATCTTTACATCTCAAGTGAAAACCTGTCAGAATTTCACAAATAGTTCATATGAGTGGGAAATTGCCCAGGTTCAATTTTACTATACCTTGATGTAATTTTCATCCAAACGTATGGCAATGTTGGCATCATCAAGTGCACGGTTGTAATCTTTTGCCATGAGGTATGCTGCAGACCGATTTCCATAATATGCTGCACAAGTCTTGTTCAGTTCTGAAAATACAGCATAATAATAATCAGAATACTTCCTCAACAAGACTTCCTCAGCAAGAATGATGCACAACATTATAAATGTCCAAATTATTTACACAGCTTACTGTGTAGCTAAACTGGTTTCACAATGCAATCAAAGATTATTCAGAGGTCCTAAAATTCGATAGTGAACATGTTAAAGCTGCCTTACTTACTCAGCAAGGTTAGTAAGACTCGTAATACAGGAATTCCCCAGAAAAACCTCAATCAAAGGGCAATAAACTATTCCAACCCACCCAGTTGATAGATTGATTGAACATTTTTGTTTCTAGGGTAATCCATTTAAGTTATTTTAAGTTATTTTTGTATTGTACTGATGAAGGCCCAGGTTAACGGACCGAAAGCTTTGCAGTATTAAATACTTACGTGGTATACCTACAAGCTAATTTACTTATTGATGTCACCATGCAAACATACAAGAATATTATTGTTTTAAGTTGCTTTTCAGTTGAAGTCAGGTGAGGGTGAGGTATTTTTTCATGTTTGGTTTAACTTGGTACGTTGCAAGTGAATGGGTTGATTATGGTACAAATAAAATGCCTCAGTTTAAACCATCACAGGGACTTTATAGTTTCAGTTGTATTTAGAAATGACAACTTCCTTTTCACACAGTACAATATCAAGTCATCTAGCCTGTCTTAATAGACTGAGTCTAATAGACTGGGTATATTTCACGTTATTTCTTCATCAACATTCACTTAGTCTTGTGCATCAAATTGGAACAACACGAAGCAGTAAATTTGTATGTGAAAAACGGACATATTAAATAATTCTACGAATTAATTTGACCTTTCAATATGCATTACGTCTGAGACTGACAGATAAATATATTGAATATACGATGTTCAAAGACTACGTTCAAACAATTCATACCAATAGCTTCAGAATAATATTTCACAGCCAACTTATAGTTTTTTGCCGTGTAAGCTTCGTTTCCCGCTTGTTTGTTTTTCTCGGCAAGCCTTGATAAAATAAAGAGGACGGTTTGTCAAAAGACTGCGTTATTTTAGTGGCAAATTTGATGACCGGTACAACTGCACTAACATGCCCAAGCTAAACTCATTTGGGAATAAAAACTCAACTCTTCGCGGTTTAACGTTTCGTCTTCAACTGAGTCTGTTGTTTCGGCCATACTCTCATCAGAGGAGCCATCAGAATGGTTGGATTCCCTCTCCATTTCAACATCCTCCGAATTTTGGTCGGCCATCTTCTTCCCTCGCACGTTATCTCGTGGAACACACGAACCAACTCATGAACACACGAGAGTTTGATTTTTTCAAAGCGGGGCGTGCGAGAACTGTGGTGGGAGAGTGCTTGTTGTTCGGTGTGAAATGCACTGAGAATTTTTTGCCGAAAAAACAATAGCTTTGTGCTCATTTTAAAGTATAATAGCGTACTGCTACACACACACATTGCAATTATAAAGACAATAGATAAATTTAGGGGGGTAAGACCTGGTCCATGTATATATGGTATTAAATAGTGTTATGAATTAAATTTACAACATAAATCGAGAGAACAAGGTTGTAAATGTTAATTTTTCAGTATAAATAATATCAGTTTAAGTAAATGAGCTTGTAGGTACTGTTACTTCGCACAATCACGAAACACCGAGTTTAAATTGGGCCGACTACTTAACGGATCATGAAATTGACTAAAACCGCAGACAATCAAAGGATACAATAAATCCATGCGGATATATAAGATGAACATGCAAAACAGAGCAACAAAACCTTAATATAGAACTAAAATAACAAAGTTTTCAAATGTCACTTACATATCAGTTCCGCTTTGCCCACAGCGCTGAACTAGTCCTTTCACAACAGTAGTTATGTCCTGCATGTATAGTGAACTAATACTATCACTTTATTACTTTACAACTTTATTACTTTAGCAACAAATTTTACTAAGTACGCACCAACTAACGATACAGGTGTTACTTCTGTGACTATCTCACACAAACTAAAACTATTATTAATCACGCCTAGTCCATGCCTCGTGTTATAGCCCCGGGGCCGATCAACGTACAAAAAAATACATTAGATGCGACGCTGGCACTGTGTCTGAAAGATAAGTTGACACAACAAGAGAGTGTCATAGATCCCTAACAGGTACACCAGGTTAGTATTTAATACTGCAAAGCCAGTGATGAAGGCCCAGGTTAAATAAGTTTAATTGCACTGATGAAAGCCCAGGTTAATGGACTGAGATCTTTAAACACTTACGTGGTGTACCTATACAAGCAAATATATTTCTATTGTGATATCACCATGCAAAATTACAAGAATATTATTATCAGTTTCTTGTTATCAATTCCAGCCTGTTAAATAATGCAGTGAATAAATATGACTTTTCACTTACAGTTTTAAACTTTCAAGAATGTGGTGTTATGGAGCAACTACTACATTTCATGGTTTATAGTAGATGCAGTTTACAACGTTGCATTACGAACACTGGTAAAATTTTAAATGTTGTATAAAACCTTCCCATGGATGTTTGAATAGAGTGTGTTAGCAAGACAGGTGCACGTTTAAATAAATCAAATCATATGTGAAACCTAAAATACGGACACAAAATAACGAGTTAACAAACTAATCTCCAGATTGTTAATGGCACTTGATTTCGGGTGGAAATCATACAGACAAATCAAATTCAAGCAGGAACTGCAGAAAAAGGTGAACACGGTATACATATTACGATTCATCCTTAATCAAAAAGACGCTGTGTCTTCTCATAGATTATATTCAGAAATGTTTTCTGGTGGAAGATGCAAAAGTTTTTGATCAGTAAGGGAGCAAGATACGATTCTTCTGGAAATTTTTACCGACTAACTCTTTTTAACGCAGTTCTTTTCATTGAGTTAAATTTGTGCTCGTGTTCATTTATTAATTTCATTTTCTAATAAAAAGAAAGAGCAAAATATTACCTCCTTCAGAGACAAAACATCGCATTGATCTACACCATCTTTTCTCTTCAGATGACCATGTAAGAACAGTCGAGCTCGTTCTAACTGCAAGAAAAACTTTTTTTTACTTAAGTTCTCGTATGAGTTGAATGGATTTGAAAGTTTTTTTACCGCTTAGGTTGAACACAATGCTTTCAAATCAGTGAGAACACTCATGCAGGCACTACCGGGCAGGCTTAGCTAGTACTCAGCAAGAGCACCGTGCTAAACATGTTTTACGAATCAGTTTTGACTATGCACGCACCGGTGTCAGGTGCCTGCATAGTCAAAACTGATTCGTCATCAATGTAAGAAAGTAAAAACTTTACCGATTCCAACTGCTCTTCCTGTTGTTTTCTCATCTGGGTGCTTGCGCCAGGATCACAACCTGGAAAAAAGCTGTTATATGTGGACCGTGCAAACTTATTTAGAGTTTTCAAAGCCAAAGTCGTCAGTATAATAGGAAAAATACATGTGATCCCGCGTCATCCCTACCTTTGCACAATTCGAAAAGCTTTTTTTTGTATGCTTTCTCAATATTCGATTCATTCAACTGCGTCTTTGCCAACGACAACAGCTCCAGAGAAATCCTAAGATTATTCTCTGCATCGAGGGCTTCAAAGTATAAATTTCTATGATCTGTTGAATAAACAATGTATAATTTATACACTATTCGTACAGGACTTCAACACTATTCGTTACCGCGGCAAAGAAGTCCATGCATACAGTATGTAAAGAAACTGTTCTTTGTCCAGTCCTATTACAAGAAACGCGAAACTATTCTTCTGTGACTATGAAATCAATCTACTTGCTATAATCACACAACCGATAGTATATATGCATATTGTTTTTTTTGTCACAATCACTCAATAAAGATGGTGAAAAACTGAACTTGGAGACCACTGCATGACTGGTGTATTTTTCTTGATACCGTGTCATATCGATATGACCGAAAGACAAAAAAGTCTCGACGCTCTATCAAAACTAAATGAGTTATAGCCGGGAGACATTGAATTTACCGACAGACAGTAGTTATATATACCTTGCTTCCCAGTTTTCTTGAATAAATCAAGAAATTCGTCAGAGGCTTTTTGGTACTCGCCGATGAAATCAAAACTACACAAAATAGTATAATTAACATTAATTGTAGCCTGCAACGCAGACTATAGATTAATTGTTAATTAAGAGATTTCGATTAACGGAGAAATGTACAAAAAGGGATGTTGCAAAAAGGATGTCGTGTATATACATATGCCTGGTCGGGTATAATCTCACAATACCAGTGTAGGTTGTATTCTACAAAAGCTGTCGTGGTTTGTGTCTAAACTACCTAAAAAAATATCCCAAACGTGGTGGTCCAGTGTAGGTAGTGTTCTACAATAAATTGCCATGGTTTGTGTCTGAACTAGCTGAAAAATATATCTCAAACGTGGTGGTCCAGTGTAGTTAGTATTCTACAATAAGCTGTCGTGGTTTGTGTCTGAACTACCTAAAAAAGATATCTCAAAAGTGGTGGTCCAGTGTTAGGTAGTATTCTACAGTAAGCTGTCGTGGTTTGTGCATGTCTATATTCTGAACTACCTGAAAAAATATATCTCAAATATGATGGTCCAAGTTTAGGTAGTATTCTATAATGTCGTGATTTGTGTCGGAAACGGGGTTAGTTGTTTCCAACGCGGTTTGAAAGAAAAGCAAATTCCAACAGAGGACACCGCGTTACATTATTCTACATACCATTTTGCCCTATTATAGACAGCTTTAACATGTTCACTATCGAATTTTAGGACCTCTGAATAATCTTTGATTGCATTGTGAAACCAGTTTAGCTACACAGAAATACATTTTAAAATACGAATTAGTCACCAGGTTTTGATACTGACATGCTGAAGTTTAGTAGCTAATAAACGTAACTTTGCATAATGCATATGGAGGTTATTATACCTTCTTTTCAGCTATAAGACCTCTGTTGAGGTACAGTTGAGTAAGATAGGATTTATTTGTTTCATCAACTCTCAATGCAGAGGTATAAAAGTCAATTGCTTGCCCAAAATTCCCATTTTCACAAGCTTGACGCGCATTGTCGTGAAGTGTCTTGAAAGTTTTTATTTTCTGTTAAAGCGAAATTTGTAAGTTGTAACACAATGAAAAAATAACTAATAAATATTTCTAGGCCAATGGCAATTGTCACAGTGACTCGTGTTACCCCATGAAATATGTTACCGAGAAAAGTACCCACGACACAGAACAAAAACAGCAATGTTGCCATTGACAAAAATTGGAAAACATTGTAGTTCTTAAAACTGATGGCGGTCGGAGAAGATTATACTCATCATCTTGTCTCATCGCGCCAGTACATAGGCGCATATATACTCATCAAGCTTTTTTGTTGGGAGTCACTATATCGTGTCTGTGCTTATGTACCTTTAGTATCGTTTCACTTTTCAAGTGACTTGGATCATCGTTCAATACTTTTGCAAAAGTATCATCGGCCAATGAGAGATTGCCCTAAACAAAGAGGATTTCATAAAACGCTTGGAGATCAGAGCTCTGGTGGTACATGGAATACAAATTCTTATAAAGTTTACTGACTTATAGTTTAGTTTATGTATATATATATATATATATATATATATATATATATATATATATATATATATATATATATATATATATCATCGGCCAATGAGAGATTGCCCTAAACAAAGAGGATTTCATAAAACGCTTGGAGATCAGAGCTCTGGTGGTACATGGAATACAAATTCTTATAAAGTTTACTGACTTATAGTTTAGTTTATGTATATATATATATATATATATATATATATATATATATATATATATATATATATATATATATATATATAAATAAAATGGGAAAATGCACAGCGTAGACAATCCAAAAGACAAGAAAAGATGTCTTCTGGATTGTCTATGATGCAGGGCTGGATTAATGCGTAATGAACTGTGCGCATGTACTTCCGTGTATCTATATAGGTTAGTGGTTTACCTGGTAATAAAGACAAAATCCACAAACATATCGCGCTTCCAAATTGTTCTGGTCACGACGTCTTACCGAACTACATATAGGTAATTTTTAGAAATGAAAATAATACTATCAGTACAACGCAGCTATTTTACCCTGACTTAAAATGATAATTATAAGTCTTACTCTGCTATATTAAAGGCTTCCTCAAATTCCCCCAACAAGGCGAGACTTTCAGCGTGCATGACCTGATATCGATCACATTCTGGCGCTAGGTTTACCAGAAAAATTGCGTTTTGTGCCATCTAGAAACATGGTCATGTCATTTTATTTAGTACATAAAATTAAAACCATAACCAAAAGAAAATTTGATAAAATGAAAAAAAAACATGCTCCGAAGAACAACTCTTGTCAGTTGTGAACTCAAGATAAGAGTCAAAATCAAGACAACAATTTATTTTCTGGAGCATGTTTTTTTGTGTATCACATATTATTGACTAGTTGAGCTGATGTTGATGAGCCAAATAAATACAAAACTTGTGTTCTGTTCAAAGTATCCCTTTATATGTTTTCAAAGAGAAATATTTATATATAGTTATTTTTATTACACTCTAAACACACAGAATGCTTAATTATATTGGTGACTGTAAGAGATTGTAAAAAATCTCAATGCCTTTAGTGTTCTAACACAAACCTCTTCAAACTTTTTTTCCGTGTAAGCTGATTCTACTGCTTTTTTAGTGTTTTTAATCTGGCGCAGTCTTTCAGACTAAAAAGGACAAAAATCACTCACAATGCTGAATGAAAAACTGAACTATATCATTCTGTTCATATGTACATCCTTTATTTTCATTCCAATTTAAGGCATGCACATATAGTCCATGCAAAAATATTTTCATAGCTACAACTTCTGTTCTAAATTTATCTGTTTTTGTGTGTAAATACAAACGCATATGCTGTGAAATGTTTACGTGCTTGCAAATACAGCACACAGTACTGAATACATACCTCTTTTGCCAAATCCACATGATGGGGATCTATCTCCTTTGCCATGTTTAAAATTTTCTCAGCTGGTTCATTTGATCCTTGAGCCAGTTCACACCTTACAAAGGTGAGATAGGGCTACAGGATGGATGAAGTATTAGTTTAAAACACATTATCCAAACCTAAATTCTGAAATCATGCCTAGTTATTGTCTTTAGAATACCCCAATGCAATTTGTGTCCAGTTCAATTGCTTTCTTGGCATCTTTCTTAGCTTCATCATATTGTTTAAGCTTTAATCTTGAAGTTGCTCGATTGCCATAAATAGGTGCACATGATCTGTTTGTTTCTTCTACAGAAACTACACAGTAAGGCAATTCATTGAGTGAGGGTAGTTAAATTTTCCCTCATATGTACAGTCTCCACACGTCCCTTTGTTTATTGTATCATTTGTAGAATCATAATCATTATACACACCAAGAGATTCTGTGTAAATTCTAATTGCATCTTCATATTTTCCTTCATGGAAAGCCTTATCGCCCTCAGAACTAAAAATATATTTAACAAAAGTCCACTATATATATATATATATATATATATATATATATATATATATATATATATATACACAGATTAATTAATATATTACTTAAAATTACAGTCGTAACATATTAATATCAAGCTCTACCAAAACTAGGTGTTGAGCACTCTTCGCTCTACATGGTACATTTGCATTTGGAATATATATACATATATTTAACAGTTATTCTGCAAACTTGAGTTGTATATGAGCTGATAGTTGGCTATCGGAGATATACGACGAGAGTGAGCAGAATGCCTGTTTCATTATATACACAAACTTTAATTTAATTTAATATTTTAATTTAATTTAATTTTACTTTAACAATAATATTTATACAGAAGCGTCCAGTTCAGCAAAGGCTGGTTTAAATGGAGTCCTGATTGACAACCATAGAGTTACACTACATATACATTTACACTTTCACACTGTCACCCTTTCGGTGCATTTTGGTGAAAATTTCGGTGAAAATTATCAGCTAGAGATTAGTTTATTATATTTTTTATTATTTTCGGTCAATATAATTGAGGTATTTTGTCATAGTCTAAGTGGTAAGGCTTGTAATGTAAAAAAAGGGTTTCCTACCCTATGTAATCATACATTAATTACTACATTATATTGACAACACAATTTTGGGCTGCCATGGTATTTAGTATAAAAATAACAAAAATGCACAATTATTTCTTCATACCAAAGTAAAGGCTGAGTTTGACTGGAATGCCAATATTCATACTCCATATCCTCTGCCATTATCCAAACTATCACCTACACAAATCAATGAAAGAAATATTCAATTATACTATTGTTAAAATTAAACATCCATGCATGTAAAAAGTACCTCTGCTTTTAACAATCACAGTCGCAAATCCCAATAAAAACCAAAACTACTGCAGTTATAGGTTTGTACTTTGTAGGTTGTTTGTAGCTGATTTTCAATAGTGAGAGTTACACCTATATGTTCCCTACAGCAAGGCTTCAGTGATCAGTCTGTTAACCTGAGTCAGTGCAATGAATCAGTGCAATAACTTTCAAAAATACTAGAATATTTCATATATACGTAATTTAGTAATTATATGTAGTTTAGTAGTTGCAATTTGTTGGGCTGACTTGGGTATGATAATATGAATAGTTGTTACTTGAATCACGAACAGTGCTTGGATTGACAGTTAAACTTGAATTAAATTTGCCTTCTTCTACCTTTGGCTATCCAAAACACAACAAAACTGCCAAGACCCAGTTACTTTAAAGACCACAAAAAAAATTCTACCAGAAAAGTGCCAAAACTAGTGGAACAATAACAAACGACATCCATTTCATCCAATGACGATTACGTGGGTGACTGACTCTGACTGTGTTTTTTATTCACAACACGATTTCGGGTCTTCTAAGTTCTAAGTGATGTCACAGATGAGCTATATATATCACAGGCAGCCCGGTCACTGCTGTTACGTCATGCTATTATATATGTATATACATATATAATAGCATGACGTAACAGCAGTGACCGGGCTGCCTGACAGTGCCTGTGTATATATAGTAAGCTATGTCTGCATTTTGATAAAGTTCGCTTCTTGAATTCAGGGAACAAAGTTCAGGGGCCGGTTGTTCGAAAGGCGTTTAATATCCACCGTTTAACTCGCTACCCACCGAATAAAATTTAAACGCTTGACAAATCGCGTTGTTCGTAGCACGTTAGCGCTATCCAGTGATTAAATCTTGCCTATCCACTGACACTGTATAAACTGATACGGTCTCTCGAGACCGTTTAAGTCGCTATACGGCGGATAAATTGTTGTGTTTTTCAGACTCTATAAAAATTCTTTATAAAATTGCGTTGTATAGATTACCAGGCATTCATATTTACGCGCTTCCAAGAATAAACAGACACGCTGATAGGAATTTCCGACGTGAAATAGACGACGTATAACGAGTTACAAACAACGCTATCGCTTCGTTAGAGAAACCATTAGATGTATAACTCGTCTCGTAGAAGATGACATACAACCTCAAACAAACCGTAACCATCCTGTTTCCGCCACACGACAAGTGTTGATAACACTTAGATTCCTAGCCTCGGGAAGTTTTCAGCAAGTTACTAGGGACACAGTCGCCGGTGTCACAGGAAATTTGGCCCCCTCTAAAAAACATAGTTTACCTTACCATTTTAGAGCTAGAGAACCGTTAAATGTATAAAAGTTTTAAGTGTATAAATATATGTTGAGAGTATAAAGTATGTTATCGAGGGGGACCAAATCTCCGAACTGTGCAATACGTATTTGTCCTTCCCAAGAAATTCTTAATTTGGCGAACTTATAAATTATAGGGTTAGCGGTTATACATACACATAGGAAAGGTTGTTTTAAGAAATTACCGCTTAGCCTTAGTTATATTTATTTATTTAATGGTTTTTTTTTCGATTAAAGCCCCTAGTAATGTTATGATAATCCTAGAAGTTAGCCACGTGCACATTAACAATTTTCGTCTTAGCTCTTCGCCGAGATGAAAGGCTTTTACACAAATAAATGAAGCAAACTAAGTATTAATACAAAGAAACATTGACGATCTTGCTTTTAGAAGAAGCTTCGCAATTCTCGAACTCATGGCAATAAACTATGAAGTATATGTTTTCTAGGAAATATGGCGCAGGGGGGGGCAAATTTCCTGGGACACCAGTTTAGGTACAGGGTGGTATAGATTATGAATTTTTCGTGATACTACAAAGACTACGGCGTTTAGATGTATTACTATAGCTATTGCACTGTTTCATAATACGCCAGCTTATCATTTATATTTGCTCAGCTCTGTTGCATTTCTACATTTACTTAATCTGAATGAGCTAGTGTGGCAATTATATCTTAATTTGAAATCGCCTTCGCTATGACCAACATACGATTTTATATGGTTGGAATCGTTTCTAACAAGTAACAACCGTTACTTGGTATACTACATTAGTATTTAGACATTTACCATTCAGTGGGCATGAGGATTTATTTCTACAATTACACTGTTTTGGTTTCGTGGTCGTGATTTGGCATCGCACATATGAACTTAAATATACTCAATGAGCCAGAAAACGAACATGGACATTTTCCATTATGAGCAACGGTGATGGTTCGTACGTCCAGGCACCTTAGTTTGTATAATGATGGCAAATACTTATTAAATTGATAGTTTGGTGATTGGCATAGTCATTCAGGTCTAGGACATTAAAATTCGTCACTTCCTTTTGTTCAACTACAAAATTTGACCGGTTCCGATGGCAATTCGGTAGCGGGTGAACACTGAACAGGGCCGCAATCTACCCGCGATGTCCACAATAATTAGCCTACGTAACTCACTGATCTGATGTAACTTGGCTGGGACTGGGACTGAACCTTCACAGCTCCGTTTCAAAGTCGTCTACAATCATACACAAGAATAACGATTGGGTAAAAATAGCAGATCATTTTTTAATTTTGTTTATTTCCGGTACCAAAAACCAAAAACATTCCCACTCGGTGAAGGGAAATGTAATCTAAATCTTAATACAGGTTTAGATCAAACTTTACCTTCATCAGAAAAAACAACTTCAAAATCCTGGAAATCTTTCATCCTTTGGAGATAATCCAGCAAAAAGTCACGGGCTTTGGTTATCTGAAAGCAAAACATTACATATATAATGATGTTCATTTAACCATAGACAATCCAAAAGACATCTGGATTGTCTTCTGGATTGTCTATGATTTAACATACCATACAAAGCAGACGTATTCATCAGGTTTGTCTGGAAAAACGGAGGTAGAAACGTACTATTATATAGTAGGACAATTTAATTTATATATTTTGACTAAAGTGCAGTAGGTACACGAGAACATTTCTGGGCTAGCTATATGCATGGTTATGGGAATAAATCTGAGGGATTAAGCAGTTGTACCCATAGATAGGTAGCCCAGAAATGTTTTCGTTCGCGTGGCGCTCGCGCGTGTACGCGAGTCAACTCGGTTTATTATTATCACAGAGGAGAGATGGACAGAGAGTCGACTCGCGGCTCCACGCGTCCCCACTTTTTTATTCGCACTTATTCGCGCGCGCTAGTAAGCGTTTACACCCGATTCCCTTCTGGTAACCTCCGAGCACATTTTTAATAAGGAAAAATGGAATTTTTGCCAGTAAAAATGCAATTTAAAAAAATTTAACCGCTTTGGCTGAAATGTTCCAAACGTTTTTTGTAGTGTAAGGTAAGAGCTAAAATATATTTTCTTTAGAAAGCCCAGGGATGATATGCTTGGTGAAAATTTGATCAAAAAAGTTTGAAAAATGACTGAAAAAGTATGTAATCGAACAGCAACTCTGCTTGAGAAGTAAAGATACATAATTATGAATATTTTCAGTGAATATTTTTTGTATCATCAAATGGTACTAATTATTAAAAAACTGATATCCTCTGCGAGTTAAAGTTATATAACGCCTAAAACTCTGTTTTGTTTTGAAATGTTTTGCTATGTATTTTGTCGATATTTTAAAATTCAAACGCGAATTTAGAAGTTTTTTTTGAAATTCGTCCTATATTGTTATCCCACAAATATGCAAACGCTTTGCTGCTAGTTGACAAACAGTAAAAAAGCAGCTATGACAACGATTCACTTTGGCAAACACAATTTGACAATTCGGGTAAAAATATGGCAGCCGACAAGAGTAATCAGAACTCACTTACAAAACAAGGATTTTAATATTGCTTTTAAAAACAGCACGATCATTTAAACCCAACAAAACAAACAACTCACCGTTAATCTCCCAAATTTTAGTCCAAAAATGAAGATAATCCGACCCAGTTCAAAAAAAATCAATTTTTCACCTATCGAACAGCGTTTTTTCTATACTTTTGTATTGAAATGTGGCCAAAAGAGCTTACCAGAAGAGAATCGGGTGGTTGCGTGGCGCGTGGAAATGACGTGAGAATGACGTGATATTTGGCAAAACTCGGGGACACTCGTTTCAACATTAAATCGGAAGAGTCGACTCTCTGTCAATCTCTCCTCTGTGTTTATTATGGTGTCGAACGGAAACATTTCTGGGCTGCCTATGTTGTACCTCCCTAAATTGCTCCTCCTTTTGTTCTCTCATCTCATCACTCAGCCCAGGATGGCAATCTGAAAGAAAATCAGTTCAGCAGCCCTCAAAACTTGAGACCGGAACCGGTAATTTTTTAGTACAACGGTTAGCCAAGCAAACTGCATGAATCCACACAGCAGAAGAAAGGTAGCATTATTGCATTAACCACCTTTCTTCTGCCGAACGTGACAAACCGCTTAGCTAACCATTGTATTTCGGATTCAGGGCAGGCTAATTTGGGATTTGAAACCAAAATTGGCCATTGTGAGATTATAGTTAAAGTGGAATCACAACCCAATTTTACTAACCTGGATAATGTATCGAAATCTCCCTCATTCTAAACGCCTTTATGACGTCCGATTTTGAACAATTTCTTGACAATGATAGCACTCTGCAGGCATGTTCCAATTTAAGTCTCGCTTCATCAGACTCTTTGTAAAGTTTCTCGTATTCTGTTAAATAAGCCATGTAATTAATTATATACGACATTTTACTTTTTTATACCCAATAGGACTTCCAATTCAAAACAGTTTTGCCTGAACTCGTCCGAGTATAAACACAATATCACAAAACAACTTATCTGTACGAACTCAAAAAAAACGCAACCACTTAAATATGCAGGAACATTAATACAGCTCTAAAGCGCAATAGATAAGCACCTCTGGGAATTGAAAATGGCTGAACTATGGTGCAAACCAGAACAATATTTATGATTTTTTTTTGACGGATGATCCGTCTGTAGTACAAATCGGGCCACTAAAATAATCACTTCTTAGTCCAGTGTTACCACAGAAAAAACGTGAAGGAAATATGAGTTCGAACGGGTTAAAATTAAGAACAGTAATGACTGTATAGTACTTTGAGGACCAGGAGTTTGATCAACTGTCCTTTGTAGAACTTTCAGATATTCTGAACATGCTTCCTCATATCCTCCAGTGATCAAGTGGCTATAAACAAGTAAATAGTGTAATAATTATTTATAAATATAAGAGTAGACGTCAGGAAGCATTTTACCAATAAGCCCATCATAAACATGCCATTTGTAAAATTAAGTGCATACACCTATTAATTTACTTACTTCAAAATTACAACGAAATTCTACATACCTTTTGGCTTTTATTAGATACACGTCTAAATTACTCTCATCCAATTTTAAAGACTCCGCAAAATCACTAATGGCGTCTTTAAAATTCTTTAACTACAAAAATATATAAAAAATCAATTGGCATGTATCTGAAGCTGAAGTTGACGTAAATGGATGTTAATTCGTCATTACCATAAACGAACAGAGTCCTCTTCTGTGATGAAGTTTGGCAAGAAGGAGTCGGTTTTTTGGATCCACTGTCAAGGCTTGAGTGAGGAGATTAAAAGCTTCCAAGAAGTTCTTACTTCTGTATGCCTGGCATGCATTAGCGTTCAATGATTGCAGAGTTTTCAGTCTCTATTTTAAAACGAAATGGGTAACATTAACCTAACTTAGGGACAGTTCACATGAATTACCGAGATTTAATGAAACGTTGATGGTAGGCCGACTTTTGAGGTATTGAAATAAGTGTTTTTGGAACAAAACAATCACATGCTATTGTTAGGATGATTACACGACTACCAGAATCGCGTTATTTACTCATTTCAATACCTAAAAGTCCATATTAAATTCTACGCTTCGTTAAATCTCAGTAACTGGGCTCATGTCAAGCCAATGCCCCTCGGGCTTAGCATTATAACGAATGAGCCGTCTGGCCCGTCTAGTCCCTGGGTACGAGGTTGTCTCAGTCTTCAGGCTATGTGCGTACGCAGGAACGTTTTCAAGCGTTTTCACATATATACATATAATGGAAAAAAAATTGTATGATCCTCGATCCTACCAAGTTATAATATTTTAAGGCAATAAACAGATCAGTTTGGTCGGTTTATTGCATATTTTTGAATAAAGAAACAAGCACATCTCGAACCATAGTCTATGGTGGGGGGTGAACCACCACTCCCAACCAGGGCTTACCTCAGAAATCATTAAGCTTTTTTGGTGTCCCGGATCGCATCTCAAGGCATTTTCAATGATAGCTTCATAGGCCGGTTGAAAGGATCCCTTATAATAAAAAAAATTTAACAATAAAAGGATTTAGTAAAGCCTGGGTTTTCGCCTGTTAGAGAGTAGTAGTTTTCCAATATACTTGTATAAGCAAAATGTTCATCCTAGAAATATTGTTTAAGTTAAGCACAGGTTTCAAAACCTTGGACCCCGTTATTGTGAACTGGAGAAAATCATTTTCTACCTAGAACTCTCAGGAGTGTATTCGAAAAGTTCACTCACACTCAAACTCATTGAGTGGGAGATCTGCAGTAAATTAGATCCACATGTCAGTATTTAAGCTCAGAGAGGAGTTTGATTTTCAACGTTTTACCTCCATTGATTAAAAAAGGGCCTCTAGTTACACTGCAATTACACAGCAGGAAATTTTGCAAACTTATCAGCTTGCATGGTTGTGTCAAAAATTGGAGTTTAAATAGATGTTTAAAAACTGACGTTTTGATAGATTTATCAAGTACTTCAGTTAATTCCTTTGCACTCATTGAACAACGCTTACCTGGTTGTACAAACAGATTCCACGAACATACCAAGCATCTGAGTTCTTTTCATCATGGTATAGCACAGTGCTAGATAACAATGTTGATAAATAATATAATTAATATGTATATGGATGATTCCCTGTCATGTGTGTGACTACCCTATACAGTTTCTATTGTTGCATATAGGGCCTAAATTTGAAAAGAAGAGAGGGCACATGCACATACAATCCTCATTATCACACACAAACACACACATTAGTTAGAATTGTATGACTGTATGTATTACTTTGCATCCTTTTTGCCTTCATCATAATCACCCATCATGGCATGGAGATCTGCCTTTACCACTCTGTATTTGTCACTATCAGGTGATTGGGCTAACAGATTTTGAGTGTAGCTTAAAGTCTAAAAACATTGTAGATCTTAGTGCGCACGGTAGATCAGGCAATTCCCACAACAGTTCAAATGTCTTAAGCTAACACAAACCTGTTTAAGATCTCCTCTAGTATAAGCACATGCTGCCAAGATTTCATAGCTGAGGATTTTATAGAACCTGGAGTACTAAAATTCATACAAAATAAAGATGTATGTACCATATAAGATAACACCACAATAATTTCTACTTTTATATAACACTTTAAAGAAATTCCTCAAAAAACCTGTGATTTTGACATTTGATTAAGCTTGGCAATGCAACGGACGTCTGGTCCTATCAATTTGTTTGCATGGTAGACCTAGCTAATTTATATTTGTTTCATATGCCTTTTTGTTCATGCATGTTCAAATCCACTGCTCATATTATTGTCTTAGAGAAAAAACTTTCACATTCCCAGTATGTATAAATGTATATTTTCGCTTTAATGTACAATCAGGGTTGGTAGATAGCTGTATATTTGAGTAGGCCAAAAACAACGTCACACCTGTTTTCTTCGTCTTGGCCTTTTGTTTTCTTAATAGCACTAATTATATTTTGGCCTCAAATATTTGGATATTAATAACCAACTCTGTGTACAACACATACCATTTTAGCCAAACTGCTGGAATCAGGGTCTATTTGTGCTAGCTTTTCCAAATTGTCCTTGGCCAACTCCAGTAAACCCTGGGCTAAACTGCACCTTGCAATTGTTAGATATGCCTGTAAAATTTTTTAAAACTTATTGTCAAAATTAAGTCACCTTACCAAACCAGAGATATTGTTCCTAATTATCTAGTGATGTAGCATGTATATATATATATATATATATATATATATATATATATATATATAATATATAATAATACAATATATATTATATATTTAGTCTATATATATTTATATTTAGACTTAGAGGTCATGGAGTGTGGACTTATTACTCTGTAAAACATCAACTTCTGATCAAAAACATACCTGAAAACAATTCTCATCCAATCCAATAGCTGATGAAGCATCTGTGTACGCTTCCACAAAATTTCTAATCATGAAGTATGAAGCAGCTCGATTGGCAAAATAAGGTGCAAACATGTAGTCTGTAGCCTCTACAGAAGTTAATTATTATAATTGTAAAGGTTTCATGGTATGTAGTCCATAGTGTAACAGATTTGTCCTATGTGTGCAGTCATTAAACCTGCATGCTTCAGAATTAACTTGGTAAACTTGGTATTAATTTACCAGACAATTAAATTAAAATAATTGGATTAAATTTGCATGCATGGCATCATCCTGGCAAAAAATAGCCACTGCATGAGATTGGCACCAAAAATGAAGTTCATGGAAATAAAGCAATTTTGCAGAGTTTATAAATAGAGATCGACTATATTATAATAATAGCTCAGTTATCCACAATTAGCTATTAAACGACTACCCATTGTGCTTAATTGTGTTATTTATTCTGGAAAACAATTAATTCTAATCCTTTCAGTTTTAAAATAGTGTCTGGAGGCAATTACTAGTCCAATTAAGAGCTACAATTAAGCTAGCTGAATAATCCACTCCAAAAATAAACTGATCAATATTTTAGCACATACCAATTGCTTTTGAATATAACGTTATAGCACTTTCATAATCCTGATTTTTGAAAGCTGTACTTCCATCAGTGTTAAATTTCCTACAGCTGATAATAACACTGAACATAATTTTATGTCATTTAAAAGCAAAGGAATACATTTGATTTTGAAAATCAACCTTACTATGTACCTTTCTTGTTGCCTGTCAGGGCTATCCTCACCTTCATTCAACATTTCTTGCTGGAAAAAGAATTGGATAAGGATCAATAAAACATTTGCTAAGCTCTGATATTGTTAATTATTCTGTTAGAATTATAGTCAACAAAAATCCTTGACATGCATACAGCTAATGGAATATATGCAATTAAAATTTGTATATTTTCAGACTAAAAAGTGTACCTGCAGGCTGGTCAAGCTTGTATTTAGTTTAGATTGATTTATACCGAAAGTATTTAATATGATATTGCAATAACATTTTTCTAAGTAGCTGCAATATTTAAAATAATAACCCAAATTTGGAAATGCCACGTACGTATATATTTATATTTACTGGCAGTCAAAATATTGGATGAATTTCAACTTACGAACTTATTGGTGGGAAATCATGCATGTATTGATATCGTATTTGTTTTGATTTGGTAAAACCGTACGTAACCGCCGGTGCCAATATATTCTGAAATTGATTCGACTCTGATTAGCTAGATGACAAAGATTCAATCGAAAATATAAATAGAATTTGCAATAGCTGAAGAGTGAATCTCTATAAAACAAATAGCTCTTAGACTTAGACTCTTTGACTTAGTGTTGTTTGAAGTCTCAATTAACAAATATTGACTTCATAACTGTCGGATCAGTGTCGAGCGGAATTAAGCAATTTAGTAAACCGCTCAATAATAAGTGGCGGAAATTATACCCAAATATTTATTTCAGCGGAGGGCATACTGAAACGAGGTGTAAAGTGGCGCATAATATAATAATCCTGGGAGGAATTCTCCTGGCTAACGAAGGTCACGCGATACTCCCTTCCTAATTGCGACACTTTTATTACAGTAAAACCCGCAGATTGCGGAATTACAGTTTATCTTTCATTGCCAAATGCCAAACACGTGTTTTAGATAAAAAACATTGGAGTTACTGTATTGGTGTTTTGAATATTAGACTGTTAAATTTTTAAAGAAGGGTCACAGATGAATGTCGTCTGTCGATGTGCGAGCATATAAGCATGTGACACCATTCTGAATCATTAAAATCTTTGAGCGTGTCTGATCCTGTACCAGGCGTGAAAATGAAAATGAATACTTCGGTAATTAGCGGTTTTAAACAGTCAACAATCTTGATCTTGCAAAAAATATGACAGTAAAGCTATACACAGAGATGCTGAGAATAGGTAAAGTGAAACTCTAATAAAACGAGTCTCATGAAATGCCTCCTTTCACATCCAGCCTTTACAGAAGTTTTGCGATTCTATATTATAAAATATTACTTACCGATATTGTGAACTCAAAGAGTCCAACTGTATTTTGTGGAGGTTGGTTTTCGAAAGATGCCACTTTTGGCGTGAAATCTAACGCTTTCTTCCTCGGCGTAAAACTGAAAGACAACGTAGATGGGTGTAAGACATATATTGGGTAGGAACACCCCTGATTTTTTTAACGGGTACATGTACGTGCCCCCCCCCCTTGTATGAAAAAAATCACACCCACCAACCAGTCGTTGATATACGTGTGACGATACTACTTATTTTGATTTTCAAGAATATTCTAGAATTATTTTTACTATTAATGGTTTGTCTAACCCTAAATTCCTAATATTGAATAACTCTAATATTTTTACTTTGATAAAATTTGATCATTCTTAATTAAGAAACGTTTCGTAAAATAAGAAATATTTATTTGTGGACGCGTGAAACAAAAATATACAACACCTCCACGGCAAGATTATTTATGTCCTTTTCAGCACAGTTGATAGCATATGCACGGTTTGGAGACTAAATAAAAGTACAATACAACTCATTAACTATGTTACTGTCCAGGTTTAGGCAAAAAATGGCTCCTTTCTCCTCTCGTGTCTATTGTATTTAAGCCAAACTTAAGTCCCGTACAGACGGGCAAGTTTTCCTTGACAAGCTTCATTTGCTCGTGTGTACGCGAAAGTTTTCCTTGACAAGAAGCCTTGTTCAAAAGTTAGTCATGCCAGTTTTTCAACAAGGAAAAATGCTCGTGTGTTCGGCCGTCAAGGAAAACTTGACAAGGAAATGCGCAGTAGGGAACAGCGCAACAATCTTCGAGCCAATCGAGCAGGCTTTTGAAGTTTTATCATTTCTGTTTGTTTTGAGATTCGGTCGTCTACTCATTTTATCATGGCTTATAATTACTATCGTAAAATATACTCATCGTAAAACTTGTCAATAAAAATTTGTGTCAAATTTTTCGCATACACACGAGCAAATAAAACTTTGCAAGGAAAACTTGTCAACGAAAACTTGTTCGTCATACACACGATCAAGGAAACTGGTCAAAAACTTGTCAAGAAAAACTTGCCCGTCTGTACGGGGCTTTACCAATGACATGACATTCCTCTTGCTAAAAAATGCCATTGGTTTATCTCTGCAAAATACAATAGAATGATATGTGATGAAAAAGAAAATTTTTAAATAGTTAATGAGTTAATAGTAGTTTTATATGGTCCACAAACTATGTATATTCTATTAACTGTGTTTCCAGCTGTGTTGAAATTATTGTCAAGATTTGCCTAGATCGACATGTTGTCATAATGGGTCTATTCTTTCAGTATTTCTGATTACATACCCTTTCGACTTTTGTTCTGCAATAACGTTCGACTTTCTCATTTCTAAATTGCCCGTCAGGAGCCTGTTGTACGAAGGTCGGATAGTAGGTTTTTCAATCGTTGTACCCTTAACCACATGTTACTACATTTTCACTTTCTTTTCAATAAAGACCCAATGGACCTTACACGTACGCGCTATAGATCAACTTTTCACCTAGGTGAAAAAAAGGAAATTTTCGAAAAGGGCATACCGCATATAGCTACGTACTAAACTTAGTAAAATTGCCAAGTTTGGCTGCGATTTATTGTAAAGCACGGAAAATATAGCCATGCGAAGTTGGCAAATTTTGTATACTTCTGTATTGCGGCCGGAAGAGTGTATGTAACTAATAATAGTATCAGAGGGCTTTTGACAGACTATCGCATTTTTAAGACTTAGACGTTAAGGAATCACTACGGCCTGTGTCCTTACTGCTCTGGCCTGAGCTTCGCAATAATCTGTCAAAAACAAATCATATTCCGCTCAATTTTCCATCTACCAAAACCTCTCTATTTATATCCATGCCCATGGTGTGAAATGCCCTAAAAAACTGTAGTTCCCCTAAGCTTATGCCAATAACCACAGCAAGCTGACAATTTTAGAAAATACAAAAACATATTCCGAAAATAGACATCAAGAGCACAAGATGTCTATTTTCGCAACGAGCCTAAGTCAAGATCAAAGTTCGCATAGCTATGACCTAGTTGCAGAAGTAGTTAGCATTGCATGCACAACCGTTAATTCCTTTAATTTGCGTCTCCAAATGAACCTACGTGTTTCATACAAAACAATGCTGTTTATTATGATGAATACAACAGCGTTTTCAGGTTTTTCATACAAAGCTCTGTGCTTGTGTAAATTTGCAATAATTTCTGTGTCATATCCTCAGACTTCCGAAAGTATATACCATCAATATATGTATGTGTTCCTGTAAAAGATTTGCGAATGTTTATATGTTTGCTAATTAGCCATTTCCCAATTGAGCAGGGTAAATAGGAAATATATTAAGTCTGAAACAGCAAATATAAGTCTGAAATCATTTGTCCCTAGGGCCAAACAGTCCATAGATGCTTTGCGGTTCAGGATTATACCTAGTACCCTGCTCGATTGGGAAATGGCTGATACTATTGATATCATTTCTACCCTGAATAATTTGAGCAATTGTAAATTTTGAAGATCATTGAAAATTGAAGTTAGAAGTTAAATCAGGTTTGGATATTAGAAGATTAGTTTGAAAAAGAAATCCTCTTATTACTTATACTAATATAAGATTTTTCAAGACAAGAAGGTTTTCAAAATTACAGTAAATATTGATAGTCATAATAAACATGATTGAGCAACTTAAATTTTATTATGCACAGCACAGCCAGGTTGCACATTTCCTTGAATGGCCACTTGCACCCACTGAGAAGGGGTGCAAGGGGCCATTTGCCCTGATTTTCACTTGTTCTTAATAATTTTAAATATTTCTTCTTCAGAAGAAGAGACAGCTGAAAGTAAGCTGTTAGCACCAAAGTAAAATAATTAATCATAATGTGAGATAATGTAAAACGATTTTTGCTAAAAAATAAAATCTTGTTATACAATTTAAGAAGATATATTAAAGAAAAAATAATATAAGAGGAAATGCTGACCCCAAGTTAAATAATAGTATAACGATCACTGAAACATTGAGTACCAAGAGACAAAGAGCCTGTCTTACCTGGCTTGGATTGAATAGTACTGTCGAGTACATCCTATCAAGTGTTCTTTCTGAGCCATGCAGACCCGTTCCTTCCATCACTATTTCCCCTGTATATGATGAGTGTATATCACTGGTGTATATGTGTACTTCGTTCCTAAACCATTATGAATAATGATGAATAAGTGATTTGAAATACAACCACTTTGTTAGCCATTTTGAACGGCATATTTTCCAGTCGCGACCACATAAGTGTCGCGGGAAATATAGAGCATTTAATCTGCTAACGTTTATTTGCGTAATTAATCGACAATTTCATCGATATCTAATCGAAATGTCAAAAACTCGACAAAAGTTGAAAGCACGTTCGGCCACGCTGTTTGAAAATATTTTGAAATTGCCCGCTTTTTGAGTTTTTGGGCCTGTGGCCGGGACGGAGTCTGGGACTAGACTTCTTCCAGTGTCTTCTCTTCTGACTCATCTAGCTTCTTGACTTCTTCTTGTTGCACAAGATCAAGATGTCTGCAAAACTCGATCAAGTTAGGGATGTTAATATAGAGAGCGGTGGTCGATCTAAATACATTCTAGTGAAGATGGCAATAATGAGAAATATATTGTTCAGGGATATGAAGGGCAGCATACCATGTGTAACATTCAGGCCCATACATATGGGGTGCAGTCAGCAGTGTCAACTGGAGCAGGCGTAATTTTATCGTAACAGATTGCCTTTCCGTTGTTATCAAGAATTTGAGATGCAAAATGTTGCAAAAATTGCCATATTTGAGAAATCACCTTGGAATTACTGGGTTTTCACTTGTTGGTAGGGGGATTATTGGCAATAAAAACATTATAGTATGTTAGTCACACATACCCTCTCCTTGAGAAAGAGATGTACCATATGCATTTAGCACAGTATATTAAACTGTATAAGGTATACTAAACATGTTCAGTGGAACCATAGGTAGAACTGCTTGGTATAAATAGTCCCCAATTTTCATGCAATTGGCCTAGTTACAAGAGAAAAAGGAAGTTTAGGATGTTTTATTAGCTGAAAAGTGAAATACAATAATATGTCATTGACAAGCTAAGAATAATTGCAGGTAATATGTTAGAAAGTTTGAACAAAGTTAATTGGGTGACCCACTAAAGTAAAGACCCTGTTACTTAATTACATGACTTGATTAATTACATAAACTTATTACATGACTTAATTAGCAGTACACAAATTGTATAAACAAGTTTATCTATATACATACTTACCTTCACTTCAGTTTTAGACATATAATAATTATTCATCATCAAGCAGACTGATACAAGATCAGAAACATTGTCTATTGCAATTCAACAGCCTGCTAATAAGAGCTATCAGAATGGTTGGATTCCCTCTCCATTTCAACATCCTTGTTATCTTGTGGTTTTGCGTAGGACACACAAACCAACCAACAAAAGAGTTCTCGCCTCTAGAATTTCTTCTTTGTGGTGGTGCCTCTTGTCTAGAATTGATTCTTTATAAGGAAGAAGATGTTAGGGCACTGAACATTATCAGATGGAAAATGAAGGCAGGCTTGATTTTTAATCTCAACCTTCCTTCTTAGTTGAGCACAATAACAAAACAATATAATATTCAGCGACAAAGATCAGTCTAGTACACCTGGCTTTACAAGGATAATTTACAAAGATAAACCCAAATAAAATGATAGAGTATATTCTTGTTTCTTTTACATTCATATTCCATAAAATATATTTTAAATAAATTGTTACTGTAATATCAATCAGGGGCGTAACTATGGGGTGGGGGATGGGACACCCTTTCAATGTTGTATTTATTTATTTTTGTAGCACAAACATGAAAAATGCCGGGAAAGCACATTTTACAACACTATTTTACAACCACTGTTTCATGTATTTGTTTTCAAAGATAAAAAAGATTTTTAGGTGGTCTGTGCACCTGGCAAATACTTTACATATTTGCAAAGAACCTTGGCAAAAAAATACCTTTAACTCCACCCAAGCTATGCCCCATCTCTGTTTGCTATAACCTATTTTTCAATAGTAAAATTTAATTTAATTAATTATTAATTTAACGGCTTTAATTTGCCACATTAAACTACTAAAACATGCAGTTACATTGTACAATACAATAAAATATTTGCTTACCACAATCATCAGAATTATTATCTAATTTATGTAGATTATTTATATGTTTGTTATATAAATCGGGATATAAATCAGGAGGCACTAGTGAGATAGATAAAAAATACAAGAGATAAAATCATGTTTTTTGCTTAGTACCCACTGTCAGTATTGTTCTTTAAATTGGTTGATCTTGGATTAACTGAGCTTATTCAGAGCTCAAAATAATCTACAACAGAAAAAAAATGTATTTGTGGACTTCAATTTGAAAAACCGTGTTTCCATTCGCTTAGCAAGAACATATTATATTAAAATTCTAATACAAAAAAGACTTTACCTGTGTTTGAAAACCACACATGGTTATTATTGAAACGATTCTTCCTTTTCAAAAAATCAAGGAGAATTTGACGGGCTCGTTGTACCTGCAAGCAAAACATTTGCTGAAGCCAATTTTAACGAAATGATTTGGAAAGCTCCGATCCACCGTCACCCCTTTGCGTCAAGTGAATAAAATTGAGAGATTTTATTCTTCTTTGTAACTCTCTTTTGAATAAGTTACTTTAGTATTATAATAAGCTTGAGCCTTGCGACCAGGCGCAACTGTGACCAATACAATAATGGATATTTAAATTAGTATGTATTGTACGAGCTAGTAAGTCAACGATTGTACCTCCTTGAATGTTTCCTCTTCTCTTTCTTGTATCTCATTACTCGCCCCCGCATGGAGATCTGGGAAAAAGAAAAGAAACAGTTCAGTGGAGCGCAAGGTGAGGGGTGAATTCAGATCAAAGAAGGCAGATGTGTCCGAATTTTGGGGAATTATGTCAAATTAACATAATTATATTATAATTGTATTTGGGAGAATCTTTCAGGCTTTTACAAGTAAGCAGTACCATCTCTTTTTTAGAATTTTTTGAACCAAACATACATTCTAATATCCCTTACAGCATGCACCCTATCCATAGCAGGGCGAATGGCTTGCATCACCCTCCCCTCTACATTAGCCACACTCGTTCAATCCCTGGTGCAAGAGTGCATACCGTATTTACTTGATTGAGCGCCGCATTTGCGATAAATTTTTCTTAGGAGTGACGCACTGTCAGAATTGTTGAAGACGCTATTGCTAAATCGGTCTTTAGAATTTTCGTAAGGCGCAGGTCAGTCGTGAAGGCAGAGATTCCAGTGATTTGTGCGAGGAGGTTTGTTTTCTGTAAAATGTCCAAATCATAGGTCCAAATAAATGCTCGCTGTAAAAATGGGGACATTTGGCTACATCAAACTTTCAATTCTTTTTATTTAAAGTTCTTGTTACAACCACAAATAATATTTTTTAAAGAGCGCCGCCCTCGATTAAGCGCCGCATCTGAAGTTCTAACGAGTAAATACGGTCTCAAACGAGTAAATACGGTATAGGAAAAACAACTCGAAATTTTAGCACCATGATAAGTACTAAGTAGCTGACTTCACTCTGCAGAAGGCCCGAACGATTAACCCGGAAAATCATTGATATCCACCCACCTGGATGATGCAGTCGCGCCTCCCTACGAAAGGCTGCCTTCACGTCCAAGACTGAACAATCTCGAGTCAACGATAGGGTAAAGAGGGCAAAATCGAGGTTACACTCCTCATTGTATGCTTCTTCAGATAATCGATAATACTCTGTTGAATATAAAATATAATTCATATACTGTAAACTTCATTTATATGCGAAAGGGCTTCTTGCTCTAAGATTATCTGCTTAAAGTGGACCAGTAATCGGATCCTTTCAAACGAGACCGGACAGATTTGGGACCGTGTTTGAACTCGTCTGCCTACGTCTGGTCCCGTGTAAACTGGATAAAAAAATCTTTCACTGAATGAATAAAAATCTCTGGTTTGTAAACTGAGTATCTGAAAAAAGACGTAACTGAAACAATATCGGGCAAGATACCGTCTAAGCCATGGTGTCAAATTAGCATCTGACTAACTATCAATGCTACATCCCGAAGAGATTTTCAATTACTCGAAAACATCAGTTATTGGAGGTAGAGTACCTGGTATGCCAGTCATGGCGTAGATTTCATAATGTGCTTCACTGGCTTTCTCATACTGTCCAATTGCGAAGTAACTATATGGATAGTATAATTATAAACATATTATACATGGTATAATTATAAACGATCAAATACGGGATCAGAAGACGATACTTAAAAAAGGGCAATGTCAGCAAGGAAGTAATATTTCCAATTCGCTAGCTACTGAATATTCGGAAAAAAACTATTACCTAAAAAAGAAATGTTTACACTTAGGGGGGGGGGAAAAGAACGTTTAATTACTATCCATACCACTTCGCCCTGAAAAGATGTGCTTTCAGATGGCTGACATCCAACTCAATGGCGTCTGTGAAATCCATAATGGCTTTTGGAACCATCTTTAACTGTACAGAAATATAGAAAAAATCAATTTCCATGTTTCAATTCTTGAACCTGATCGTCAGTCGGGACTCGGGCCACTCAGGTGATGTTTAATAACGATGTCAACTTTATACAGTAGATTTTTATATATATATATATATATATATATATATATATATATATATATATATATATATATATATTTATTGAAAGACTAGCTTAGCTACTCGGAGTTTCACGCTATAAAGCTTCTATCTATAGTAAGCCCACTGATGCCCATTTATACCTTAGCGCTCAGTCATCGCACCCTAAGTCTCAGATACGGGGTATAGCTAAAGGTGTAGCTCTTAGGTTAAGACGTATCTGTTCTGAGGATAGTGATTTTCTTGCTATTAGTAAAATATACGCTAAGTATCTGATAGATTGTGGTCATAATAGTACTCATGTTAACCAGGTATTTGAGGAAGTGGGTTCGATGACTCGACATGAAGCGCGAAATAAAAAACCCAAATCTAGAGGTGGGAAATGTGTATTTGTAACCAAATACAATCCTCACGCACCCAACATCGCCAGCATTTTGGCTAAACACCGTGATATCATTGACACAGATGAGCGTGCTAGCGCTATTCTTCCCAAGGATTCTATCCAAGTAGCATATACCAGGGGTGCTAATTTGAAAGAGCTGTTAGCCCCGTCTAACCCTTATCGTATTATTGGGCCTGTTGCAAGGTTGTATTAAATGCACTGCCAGGAGATGTGATTGTTGTCAACATTTCTTAAAACCTGGTGGTGAGTTTGTGTCAGCCGTGACGGGGAGAAAGTTTAGTATTCGTAAGACTTTGACGTGTACCTCTGAGCATGTTATTTACCTAGCTGAGTGTGTGGCTTGTAATCTGCAGGGCATTGGTTCTACTATTAATTTCAAGCCCCGTTTAGCTAATTACAAGTCCCACATTAAACATGGTCGTAGAACATGCGGTGTAGTTAACCATTTTATTGATAAGCATGACAATAAGCATTTGAAATTGAAGTTTATGTTGATTGATCAAAACAAAGAGGATTTAAGAAAGTGTGAGAACTTTTGGATAGGAATGTTACTGACTAATTTGGGTGGTTTGAATAGCACTCATGACTTTTCTCAACAATAGGCTATAATTTGTATTATGTATTATGCATGTTCTTCTCCTTATATATTGGACTTATTTGTATTAGTTAGTTAATTTCTGAAGAAGGCTGCGGCATGTGGCCGAAAATTTAAGCTTAGTATATTTTTAATAAAATCTTTTAGTTTTACTTCTGGCCGTGGTAGTTACAATTGTTTCCTATATATATATATAATATATTATATATATACATAGTTATATACATAGTTATGCTATATAGTCTAAATTCATCTATAAGGTATAATAGGTAGGAAAAACTGATTGGTCTAATTTCTGTGCTGGTTTGATCTCAGTTTGGAAAACTTACCGGTGCAATAGCTCTACTGCCCTCGTGATTGGGATTATATTGCAGAGCATTTACAACGATGGCTATAAAGGCTGCTTGGACACGTCCCTAAGTAAAATAGCATTTTTAAAGTAAACTTGCAGAGTTTTAACATTTGGGGAGAGCTTTAACATTTTCTGTCGTAGTCTCCTGCACATGCTTAGTACAGCCTTCAGCTATGTATAATTAAGGAATCCTGGTATAGCTCATGCAATGAGTGCATGAATATAGGAGATAAAGGAGAAAGTTGATATATAGGTTCTAGTATTTTATTTTATATAATACCCAATTAAATTTAGAGCGTTTAATTGGTTGATGACGATCACGTGATATTGAATAGAAAGCCTCATTTCCCAAGAGTGCAATGGAAAGCGTTCCATTGCACTCTCCAGAGTGCAATAGTACTATACATTTTGTTCCATTGCACTCTTAATGCTTTCAGTAAATACCATCCATCAAAATGCTTCTCGCACATATGGTTGTTGATCCATACAGTATGTTTTTTAATAAATTATATTTTTGAAATGAGACAGTCTATTTTGGTATTATATAAAACAAATAATGAATGTTTTCATTTGTGCAATGGTAAAAATATTTTCACTTGGTGAAAGATGGAATGTTCCATTCAACTCGGCTGTCGCCTCGTTGAATGGAACATTCCATCTTTCACCTCGTGAAAATATTTTTACCATTGCACTCATAAACATTTATTATTTGTATAATATACAATTGTAACAGCAATCATATTAACCAGGCTAAACAACAATACTGCATGTTCATGGGGTGAAGCACAACATTGTTCACTTCTTATATGACAACCTCATCAATTAATTTTTTGTGGTATACACCAACCAAACTGCTTTTCAATCAAACAAGGCGTAATTAAGTTATGTTAGCAAATAAATTATTAAAAACACTAGGAACAATACACATGTAAAAATCAAGTTGTCCAAAACAAGAGTTTTTTGAGCAAAATTGCACAAAAAAATTGACTGCTTAGAACAGACATTAGAATTAAATTAGAATTAAAACAGGAGGATGTTTGTTTGGTTTTGTTCAACATCATAGCCATTTTTCATGTACAATGTACAACTACCATCTTCTTTATATTTGTTGAATGCTTAATTAGAGAGCAATTAACAACTTTCACCTTATAATACAAGAACAATCCCAGATTATACCATTCATCAGAACTTCTTTGCTTCAACAATGGCACAGAGCTAAATAATTTTACAATAAACATATGCTCATGCTGTTTTTCTTGACGCTTCTTCATATTTCTTATCATGGTTGGAAACTTCTTACAACAAATAGTAACATTAAATAAATGTACTATTCAAATGAGCACTGTGTACACTCTTGTTTAAAATCAACTTTATTTCGGCTAAACATTTTCACTGATCAAATAAAAAATATTAAAATTCAATGGTCAAGATTTAATCCAATCGGTTACTACCTTTATAGGCTCTTTATAGAGGACTATATCTATGTAAACAGGGGCATATGGATGTTTTATTTCATATTTTGCATTAATTTCATGGAAACAAATTTTTTGACATGTTATTGAAACTATTATGTGGTCATTGCGGTGTACTGCCAATAAATCATTAGGAATGTTAACAGGCCAATCATTTTGGTGGATGAACTTAGGATAACATAAAGATGTTATAAATTAACTCTAACTCTAAGTACCTTTCTGCAAGTTGTTGATCAACATGATGGCTTGGTGTATTTGTGTTGTGGTCGTCTGACATCTATGAAAAAGAAATAGAATAAAATAACAGAAATCTCCCATCTTGACATTGACCAATTCAATAAATCACAGTGAGTAGATAGTGACAACTTACTCATCTAGTAGAAGAAGCCTATATTTTACCTCCATTCGTTAGAACAACCTATCTTTTACATTGATAATATATAAACTGTTGGAAAATTTGATTTATACATTTGAATTGCTCCAGAGTTAAGGTAAATCAAGTAAAACAACTAGGTCTATGGCGGGAAATGCTCAAATGCATTTATACAGATAGATTTGGGCAGGCTAGGCCCCTGGCTTGGGAAGATGATAATTCTTTATGATGTTTAATATTAAATAATCGATGATAATAGTTTTAAAAATTGAGACATAATACAGGCACATTTCAATGATTTCATCCCTTCGCGGTTCACTATTCAGCCATCAAAATTCGATCATCATTCAAATACATCAAAAGTTTTGCAACTGACAAGTGTTCTATCAATTTAATACCATATACTGATTAGAGTAAACCCCTGTTTACACTACGCACAACTACACACGGCACGATATTTGGTACGGCACGGAATTCAGGGCCGTAAATATATATTAATATATAATACAGACAGTAATTAGTACAGACAGTGGAAGCTGACCGCGCGCGTAAACAAACTAGTGTGAAGCTACCACAGGATTGACCACAGGATTCGCTAGCACGATAATCATCCGCACTAAATTCGATACGTAAACACAATATATTATTATTTATTTTGCCGTTAAAAACAGGCAGTATATCAATGAAACTGGTATCGATAGAAAGCTTACATAACACAGATTCCGAATAGATAATTTTTATCCTGGCCCAAATTCGTTGTCGAATCTTACAGCTCCTGAAACGCAGACGTCTGCCAGCCTGAGATTCGAAATCGCATATAATGATGTACGTTAAATGCGCGTTGAAGTACGAGCGAAGTAAAAACCAAAAAACGGCTTCAAAATTTATGAAATTGGTATCGATAGAAAGCTTACATAACACAGATTCCGAATAAGACATTTTTATCCTGGCCCAAATTCGTTGTCGAATCTTACAGCTCCTGAAACGCAGACGTCTGCCAGCCTGAGATTCGAAATCGCATATAATGATGTACGTTAAATGCGCTTTGAAATACGAGCGAAGTAAACACCAAAAAACGGCTTCACATTCAATGAAACTGGTATCGATAGAAAGCTTGGATAACACAAATTCCGAATACGTAATTTTTATTCTGGCCCAAATTCGTCGTCGAATCTTACAGCTCTGAAACGCAGACGTCTGCTAGCCTGAGATTCGAAATGTCCGTGAAATACGAGCGAAGTACGCACCCAAAAACGGGTTCACATTCAATGAAACTGGTATCGATAGAAAGCTTATATAACACAGATTCCGAATATGTAATTTTTATCCTGGCCCAAATTCGTCGTCGAATGTTACAGCTCCTGAAACGCAGACGTCTTCCAGCCTGACATTCGAAATGTCCGTGAAATACGAGCGAAGTACGCACCCAAAAGGGGTTCACATTCAATGAAACCAGTCAAACCACAGGCAGCCCGGTCACTGCTGTTACGTCATGCTATATACGTAACAGCAGTGACCGGGCTGTCTGTGATGAAACTGGTATCGATAGAAAGCTTGCATTAATAAATATAAATAAAAATAAATAAGTAAATATAAAGCTTCGGTTAAATGTGTATCGTACTACGGTGGCCCATAGGGGACATGCTATAAATATAAATATATGCCTTTAGAATTTTATATAATGCCTTCAGAATTTTATATGATACCTTCAGAATTTATGTGATGCCTTCAGAATTCTATATGCATGATGCCTTCAGAATTCTATATGCATGATGCCTTCAGAATTTTAGATGATGTTTTCAAGATTCTATATGATGCCTTCAAAATTCTATCTGTGTACAACGGCAAAACGTCGTTTATTACGTCCCATGTAGAACGTCTGCATTTCAGGACCCAGTGAGCGCTACCTCGAATTAGGCTCTATAGAATTGTCCCTAAACGTAAACACAATGTTTTCAACGTCTTATATCTCATTAAATTGGTACAGTTGATAATATACAACAACGTTTTATCATAACATTTATTTAAAGAAGTATTCCAACCACGTCGTCGTCGTGTTGCCGTCCTACATGCTTAAGGTCCCTATAATATGCGGAATACGGAGTAAGGAGTGCGAATGCAGAGTATAGAGTAGAGCGAAGGATCAGAGTATTACAATATTTATGTAAGCGGTGGCAGCGCTACGGGGGTGTGTTGTTTGCCCCCCAGATCATTTCATGTTACGTAAGTAGTGTAATACTCTTTTAACTTTTAAATACTTTTCTAGTCTTTCCCCCCAAAACATTTCTTTGACCCCCAATTGCCCCCCACTCATTTTAACCTGGCGCCGCCACTGTATGTAAGAACAAACAAGGGACGTTGCGAAAAGTGCAACCCGGGTCTTCTGGCAGGAATCGAACTATAGCTGAGGTGAGGTTACGGGTATAGGGTTATATGACGTTTGAGAGATTTTGAATTGACAAAATTCTGCTGATTTATAGGGACTAGGCCATGAATTTGATGAATTTTGAATTAAAAAATAAAATTGCCATTTTTTAGCTTTGTGCCCAAATCTAAAATTCTACAACTTTATTCTAACAATGCTACACGCTTTTTAAAAAACATATCTTTGCGAAAGCCTTCAAATATGGTGGATTGCTTTAACAGAAAAAAAAATTCAGATTGCATCAGTTAAACTCTCCCATCAACCAAATTGTTGTGAAATGTTCATGTAAATCGCATAAATGATGGAGGACTCTGGGAGACTTGGAGGCTATCGTTACATTTGGCATGCGTTGAGATTAAGGCAGCATATGGATTTATGCGATTTACATGAACATTTCACAACAATTTGGTTGATGGGAGAGTTTAACTGATGCAATCTGAATTTTTTTTTCTGTTAAAGCAATCCACCATATTTGAAGGCTTTCGCAAAGATATGTTTTTTAAAAAGCGTGTAGCATTGTTAGAATAAAGTTGTAGAATTTAGATTTGGGCACAAAGCTAAAAAATGGCAATTTTATTTTTAATTCAAAATTCATCAAATTCATGGCCTAGTCCCTATAAATCAGCAAATTTTGTCAATTCAAAATCTCTCAAACGTCATATAACCCTATACCCGTAACCTCACCTCAGCTATAGTTCGATTCCTGCGAGACCCGGGTTGCACTTTTCGCAACGTCCCTTGTTTGTTCTTACATACAGTGGCGGCGCCAGGTTAAAATGAGTGGGGGGCAATTGGGGGTCAAAGAAATGTTTTGGGGGAAAGACTAGAAAAGTATTTAAAAGTTAAAAGAGTATTACACTACTTACGTAACATGAAAAGATCTGGGGGGCAAACAACACACCCCCGTAGCGCTGCCACCGCTTACATAAATATTGTAATACTCTGATCCTTCGCTCTACTCTATACTCTGCATTCGCACTCCTTACTCCGTATTCCGCATATTATAGGGACCTTAAGCATGTAGGACGGCAACACGACGACGACGTGGTTGGAATACTTCTTTAAATAAATGTTATGATAAAACGTTGTTGTATATTATCAACTGTACCAATTTAATGAGATATAAGACGTTGAAAACATTGTGTTTACGTTTAGGGACAATTCTATAGAGCCTAATTCGAGGTAGCGCTCACTGGGTCCTGAAATGCAGACGTTCTACATGGGACGTAATAAACGACGTTTTGCCGTTGTACACAGATAGAATTTTGAAGGCATCATATAGAATTCTGAAGACATCATCTAAAATTCTGAAGGCATCATGCATATAGAATTCTGAAGGCATCATGCATATAGAATTCTGAAGGCATCACATAAATTCTGAAGGTATCATAAAATTCTGAAGGCATTATATAAAATTCTAAAGGCATATATTTATATTTATAGCATGTCCCCTATGGGCCACCGTAGTACGATACACATTTAACCGAAGCTTTATATTTACTTATTTATTTTTATTTATATTTATTAATGCAAGCTTTCTATCGATACCAGTTTCATCACAGACAGCCCGGTCACTGCTGTTACGTATATAGCATGACGTAACAGCAGTGACCGGGCTGCCTGTGGTTTGACTGGTTTCATTGAATGTGAACCCGTTTTGGGTGCGTACTTCGCTCGTATTTCACGGACATTTCGAATGTCAGGCTGGAAGACGTCTGCGTTTCAGGAGCTGTAACATTCGACGACGAATTTGGGCCAGGATAAAAATTACATATTCGGAATCTGTGTTATATAAGCTTTCTATCGATACCAGTTTCATTGAATGTGAACCCGTTTTTGGGTGCGTACTTCGCTCGTATTTCACGGACATTTCGAATCTCAGGCTAGCAGACGTCTGCGTTTCAGGAGCTGTAAGATTCGACGACGAATTTGGGCCAGAATAAAAATTACATATTCGGAATTTGTGTTATCCAAGCTTTCTATCGATACCAGTTTCATTGAATGTGAAGCCGTTTTTTGGTGTTTACTTCGCTCGTATTTCAAAGCGCATTTAACGTACATCATTACATGCGATTTCGAATCTCAGGCTGGCAGACGTCTGCGTTTCAGGAGCTGTAAGATTCGGCGACGAATTTTGGCCAAAATAAAAATTACATATTCGGAATCTGTGTTATCCAAGCTTTCTATCGATACCAGTTTCATTGAATGTGAAGCCGTTTTTTGGTGTTTACTTCGCTCGTATTTCAACGCGCATTTAACGTACATCATTATATGCGACTTCGAATCTCAGGCTGGCAGACGTCTGCGTTTCAGGAGCTGTAAGATTCGACAACGAATTTGAGCCAGGATAAAAATTACATATTCGGAATCTGTGTTATGTAAGCTTTCTATCGATACCAGTTTCATAAATTTTGAAGCCGTTTTTTGGTGTTTACTTTGCTCGTACTTCAACGCGCATTTAACGTACATCATTACATGCGATTTCGAATCTCAGGCTGGCAGACGTCTGCGTTTCAGGAGCTGTAAGATTCGACAACGAATTTGGGCCAGGATAAAAATGTCTTATTCGGAATCTGTGTTATGTAAGCTTTCTATCGATACCAATTTCATAAATTTTGAAGCCGTTTTTTGGTTTTTACTTCGCTCGTACTTCAACGCGCATTTAACGTACATCATTATATGCGATTTCGAATCTCAGGCTGGCAGACGTCTGCGTTTCAGGAGCTGTAAGATTCGACAACGAATTTGGGCCAGGATAAAAATTATCTATTCGGAATCTGTGTTATGTAAGCTTTCTATCGATACCAGTTTCATTGATATACTGCCTGTTTTTAACGGCAAAATAAATAATAATATATTGTGTTTACGTATCGAATTTAGTGCGGATGATTATCGTGCTAGCGAATCCTGTGGTCAATCCTGTGGTAGCTTCACACTAGTCGTAAACAATGCAGTCGAAGACTGAGTATAAACAGATTTCTGGGCTGCTATGCACTTTTAGGCCATCCTCGTACCAAATCGTGCGCCGTGTAACTGTATAAACGGGGCTTAATTAAAGCAGGTGCTTTGACAGATTGATTTACAGAAAAAACCTACTTCTTCTTCGTAGTTGCGTTGATACTCAGTAAGCTCAGTAAAGTGTGTATAAAAGATCGTGAATTTTTATCGTGAAATTGTCCAGAA